TAAGGAATATAATATAATATATATAGCTATACTTACTATAAAAGCCTTTTAAGTAATAATAGCTATAACTACCTACCTTAACCTTAAGGTATATTAATTTAATATAAAGAATACTTTCTTTAATATAACTAGATTTAATAATATCTTAAAAGTCTATATATAATTACTTAATAGATAGATAGCCCTCCTTAAGAAAGCCTTATATAGCCTAAAAGACTTATCTTATTTATAGTTTAAGGAATTTATTAATACCCTTATAAAGTATAACCTATTATAATATAAAAAGAAGCCCTATCTATACTATTCTAAAGATAAGAAGATATTCTTAGTATTTTTTATTAATAATATCCTCCTTTTCTATAGTAAGAAGTATAAAAAGTAAGCTCTATTTCTTATAATAAAGATAAAATAAGTATATAATATATATAACTAGGGAGATCTTAAGTAGTTCTTTAGTATTTATATTATATATAATAGAAGATAAAAGCTATTATTCTTTAGCTATAAATAATATATTAAAAAGATAGCTAAGAAATATAAACTTACTTATAATTAACCTAGAAAGTAATATATACTACTACTATCTAGAAAGCTTACTTAATATACTAGTATAATAAGTAAAGTAGATATTTACTACTTTTAAGAGTTAATAGGGTTAATATTATATATATTAATTATAGTCTAATTAGATATTATATATATAGTATCCTTTCTTACCTACTTCTTTATAAATCTATTAAAAGATTATATTCTAACTATAAAGTATTATATATATTATTTATATACTATAAAGACTCTAGTCCTTACTTATAGTCTAAATAAGGAAGTAGTTATTCTATAAATTACTAGTAATATATTATATACTAATAACCCTATTACTAGGAAGTTATCTTAAGATTAAATAATCTTCTTATATAGTAGTCTTATATTTTAGAAAGCTATAAAATAAGATACTATTATACTATTTATAATAAAGGCTAAATTATTAGGTATATCTAGCTTAGTAAAAAAGGCTTCTATAATATATTATCTTTTTATAATAATAAGAAGATAAATAGCTTTTTTATATAAGATAATATATAATAATACTTAAATAATATATATTATTATTAGTAATAAAGAGTATATATTAACTAAGCTATAATATATTAATATTAATAATATATAGTTAAAATAAAAATATAGATATAGGTATTTTATACTTACTTTTATTCTAAGTAGAGTAATACCTATAGATAGTCTTATTAAAGCTCTTCTTTATTAAGCCTTTTTAGAGTTTAAATATCTTATTAATCTAAAAAAGCTTTTAAATATAGTTAAAGAAAGTAATATAATTATTCTAATATAAGATATAAAGTATAATATAAGTAAGAAGGTATTATTTAATCTTTAACCCTCTAAAGAACCTAAGGATAAATAATATTCTATTTAATTATTATAATATATATACTAATTTTTAATAGCTTTACTATATAACTTTATTAATAAATACCTTAAGGTAATATAAAGCCTAGGTCTTTTACTTAAAGAGAGCTTCTTTACTTAATACTATATTAATAATAGTAATATTAAATATACTATTCTTCTTCTTTAATATTTTAAAAATAATATATAATACTATATAATATAAGACCTTATCCTAAAAGAGAGAGTAGAGTATTAGTAAGTACTACTAAAAGGTAATAAAAGTAAGTAATAAATAACTTATAAACTTAAGGCTATTCTTATATATTATTATTAAATACTAAATAAAGGGAATTATTATAGCTAGGTATAGCTTATATTTATAGTTATAATAAGTATAATCTTTATACTTTTATAAGTATACTATCTTTTTAATTAATATAAAGTTATAATATATACTATTCTCTTTATTAAAGAGTATAGATTAAGTATATTTTAAGTAAAGGTTTACTTAATAAAGCTTAGGATTAGCCTCTATTAGCTACTTTACTAAGGTTTAAGGCTAGGAGAGTATTAATTAGCTTTAGTTAACTTAAGTAAAAAAGTAAGTATTTATAGTATATATTAATAAAAGTATTAACTATAATTAAATTATATAACTTATAAAAGTTATCTTAATAGGAATAGTAAAAGTACTATAGTAAGGATAGTATAGTATAATAAGTATTTTCTTTTCTTTCTCCTCTTCTTTATCTTTATTTTTAACCTTAACCTCTTCTTTAGTTAATATAGCTATATTAATACCTTTATTATTATTATTATTATTATTATTAATATCCTTATTATTAACCTCTTTAATAAAGGTAGGTATATATATTACTAATAGTAAGATTAGGCTTATAAAGGTCTAAGGCTTTAGCTTATTAGTTAAAGTAGTTATAACTATATTAATTTAATAGTAGTTATATTAAGAAGGATATATAATACTATTATAAGCCTATACTTCTTTATATAAATTAATATATAACTTATATACCTTTATAGAGGGCTTTTCTTATTTAGTAGGGAGTATAGGGGCCTTTAGGAAGGGCTTTTTAATATTTACCTCTTTAAAGGACTTTTCTTAAGTATTTAAGGATATAATTACCTCTTTAAAGGACTTTTTATTAATAATAGTAAAGATAAAAGCCTTAATAATAGTAAAGAAGGGAAAGTTAATAGTTATAAAGCTAGTATATAAAAAAACTATTATTAAAAATTTAATATAACTAATAATAATAAAAAAAAGAAAATAAGAAAGTAATAAAGAACTATTACTATTTTTAATAAGTAAGAAAGTAGGTAATTAAAAAGAAGTAAATAAATAATAAAGAATATAAAAATAATATATAGTAAAGAGTAGCTTTTTATATTTAAAAATACTAACTAGTCTATTAATTAAAATAAAAAGTACTTTAAATTACTTATTAAAAAAAGTAGTAGTTTTATTATTTATTTATTTTTATATTAAATTACTACTTATACTATAAAATATATACTTAAATAATATATTAATATACTCTTTATAAAAAATAAAAAAGAATATAAATATACTATTTTATTCTCTTTATAAAGTACCCTTTTATATAAATAGCTATTTTTTACTATACTTTTTATATATAATTATTTCCTTTATTTTATATTAATTTATACTTAATAATTAAAAAGTATATTATATAAAGTACTATCTTAATAAGAAAGTTTATTTTATTTATACTAATAATAAGTATAAATAAATAATAACCTTAAGTATTTTAAAATATAATATTATTTTATAACTTAAATTATATAGCCTAAGGCTAAGAAATAGGATATATAAATTAACTAGTTATTCTTTATAGCTTTATCTAATATAAGGCTAATTTTCCTTATTATCTTTGCTTTCTATTATTCCTCTATAAGCTATATTAGCTGCGCTGCTATCTTATGTAACCACATTGATGCTCCACAAGATTGATGTGCCCAACATCACCACTATCATTACTCCGTGCAACACGGTCATGTACGTCGGACACGGCCTTGGCTAGATTCCCGACCGAACGACCCCCTAGAAAATCGCGGCGTAACCCGAAGCTCCTGGCCCTCCTGGCAAGGAGGATGGGCACTAAGCCCTCTAGAGGGGCCATAATATCTCCCCCGCATACCCTGGACCAAATCGAGTTTAATGCACATGAAAGGTACTGCAGATGTCTAACACTATAGTCGCTTGGCTATCAGAGGGAGTTAATTAAGGTGAATTGCTATCTTAACGTGTATTTGGCCGTCAGAGCCTTGGTATTAGAGACGAAATATGCCACTCCATTCTTCCACAAACCAACCGTAAGCCCTCACTGCAAAGACACAACTCAAAAGGCTGGCTGTGTCCGGGTTCGACCTACCACAACTGCAGAAGGGCCCGAACTCGTGTCTCACTCGAAAAAGCACGGGTTCCAACCAGCCTACGACTAGCTGCTTTGTTGAGACATGCACTGTTGTTGCAAGCACGCTCCCCACTGGATGAACCTGATTGCGCAGGCTGTTCACGATAAACCACCCCAACAGAGAAACGTAGCCTGGGCGCTCTACATCTGAGCATACTCCCTCTAGGTATCCTTCCACCGCCAGTCTTCCATCTACTAGACTGACCAGAGCTGTCTCGATCATCTTGGCATTCAGAATCACACCACCCTCCGCTCACATATCCGATACAACAGTCCATGGTATTCAGGATGCCATTTCGACCAATAGCGGAAATCAATTCGGCCTACCGGTCCTGCCGGTTTCGCTTGACAACAGTGCTGGCCAGTTGTCAGTTGAAATGGCCACCCAAGTATCAGAGGATCGAGGCAAATACAGAGCCACCGCCGTTGCCCAGTCTCTCGGAGGTAGGATGGGGAGTCTACTCTTGGCTGTGAAAACAAAATAAATCATGCAGATCGCCGGCTGCAGCTGTTCATGTATCGTCCCAAATGGCAATCCTGGTGCTTGTGTTGACGTACTGACATCAGCGGAAGAGTCCGTATCAGAGTGAAGGTGTCAAAAACCTCAGAGGTTCACGGCCTAATAGATGCTATATTAAGCGACTGGCTAGAGAATCGTGCGCGTGAGCTAAGTAAGTCAAGTCAGTGTCTTACGGCACCCAATCATAGCTCTTTGCGATTGTTCATCACAGTGCTATCCCTGACTTGATTGCGAATAACCGAATGTCTCATCGATGAACCAAGTTCTATCCATGTTGCAGTTATGAAATCTTGGCGCACTGCCGTTGTTTCGAAGATAGCCGGTCCGGGCCTTCTCAACCGCTGTTGCAACTGACCCATTATCTTAGATTCGCAGTTCTTATTCGAGCAGTCTTTCCACAGTTCGGATTTCAGGGGAAGGGTCTGACGATTGATCGAGTAGAGCGGTGCAACAGAGACTCAATCATCACGTCAAACACTCCACACTCTGCTTGTACCATGTTCACGGTTGCGGACAGTAGAGAAAGAGCGCCAGTGTAGACACCAAGTAATGTCAATGCGTGTACAATTATATTGTGAACGGGTATCTTTATAGTAAATGTACAGTTATTCAGGAGTTTACAGCTCGTTGTCTCCCATCTCTGCTGCAGTACGGCCCGGTGTCAATCCCAAGCTGTCTAGACCACGGTCGCCAGCAAATGCCCCCTCAAATATAGCCCTCGTCGCAGACGTACCATCGCTGGAAAACTCAGCTGTCTTCCCCATAGCTTCCTGGTACTTCTTGCCCGTCTCATCCAGTAGCGCCTGCACTTCCTTCTCCCGCGTTGCGATGCCTTGCTTTTCGCTGCGCATCTGCGCGACGGACGCGCTCTTGAGCTGCATCTGCGCTTCCATTCCGCTGAGCGTCGTCTGCAGACGGGCGATACACTCGGCCAGGCTCGGCAGCGGCGTAATCTTGGAGGGGATCTCCAGCAGCTCCTTGGCCGGGTCTCGGCGCGGGCGCTTGAGACCATCCATACCCGAGCGAGTCTGCGCTGTTTCGTAGGCTATTCGGCGCTCCGCTTCGCTGTCGGAAGAGGAGTCGGAAGAGTGCCCCTCGGCCGCGTTGATGAGCTCTGCCATCTTTTCCCGGTTTTGTTTGCGCCGTTGCTTCTCCGCGCGCTTCCCGAGAGAGATGCCGCCATCTTCGACGAAATCATCAAAGCCTTCGCCCAGCTGATCTTCATCCGTTGCCAACCTCGCGTCCCCCTTTTTCTTGGTTCTCCCGTCATCGTCATCATCCTCGACAGACAAGAAATCTTGTTCCTGAGCTAGTCTCGCTCGGCGCTCTTTTCGTTCTTGGATTTCGGCTTCGGTGAGCACTTGTATTTTTGTTGCGGCGGGGGCAGGCGCCGGAGAGTCTACGACCAAGGCTCCTTCAAGCTCGGCGGCATCCAGCTCCATTTCATCACCATCTGTCGGTATGGACCCAGAGTCAATGGGAGTGGTCGGGGTAGAAGACTGCAACTCCTCGAGATACTCCTTGCTATACCGTGGCCTGTCATGCTCGTCATCCGGAGCCCGCGTCGGAAATCCTCGCAGTGCTATGCCTCGCTTGACCGCATTGTTTTCGACCACGCGTTGCCCTAGTGTTGATTTCTTTATCGAGCTGTCCAATAATTCAATGTCGGCCTCTTCTTCATTACCCCCCAGACCAAAGGATAGTCGTGACTTGGGCTTTCTCTTTTGTTTCTGCGCGCCAAACTTTGCTTTCACGACCACAGGGCCATCCTCGTCCTCATTGCCCGGAGATGCATCGTCATGTATACCATCAGCCGTAAGTGTTTTCCGAAGACCAGACTGCCTGCTGCCTTTTTTTGCCGATTTTATTCTGAAAGATGGCTGTGAGAATTCTGCATCAAACCCACAGTTAGTCTCATATGAGGGTGTTGCATTATGCCCATGTTCGCTTGATGTCATACCTGTGGTTGGGGCGCCACCAACCTCAGAGCTGCTATTCTCTGCAGCTTCTGCATCTTCATCATCAAATTTTATCACCCGGGCTTTTCGCCGCGATCCAAATGAGCTCATGATGATTTTGTGGCATTTTCAGAGTTCCAATTGTTGCTGGTTGCTACCTGTTGGCATACCGCACGTTGCAATCTTATCTGCACGTGACTCATTACTCAAGGTAGCACCACGATGTAGAGCGAGTTCTTCGTTGGCGGCAGGTCACGGCTAGGTTTGCTCGCGTTCGATTCACCGGTCTCCTCATCACAAAATAACAGCTGCTCAAAATGGCGCCCGCCCAGCCTGAGCTCAAGAAGGTTTGTTATGCCTTGATTCCTACGATAATGGAATATTTCCCACTACGATTGCGGGAACGCGCACGCGGGCTTGGCTCTTGCTAACTTTGCGATCATAGTACCTCGACAAGCGCCTGTTTGTACAACTGAATGGCAGCCGAAAGGTCATTGGTGTCCTGCGTGGATATGATGTATGCAGAAAACAAGCTCGATATGGTCTTGTGTCTCTAACCACGGCGCACAGGTATTTCTAAACATTGTGCTGGATGATGCGTTCGAAGAGAGGGAGGGTGGTAATAAAGCCAAACTAGGCATGGTGGTATGTTCCTTTTACAGCCCTCTCACAGAACATGTTCAGCTACTCGAGCGTCTACTGACTGAAGCTCAAGGTCATCCGTGGCAACTCGGTTGTCATGCTGGAAGCTATGGAGCGGATCGGCGGCGACGACAGACAACACCGATAAATAACCAGGGGGGGCATAGCTGCGAAAACAAAAACAAAACATGATTTTAATTTCACTCGGCGTTACGGTATGAATGGAAGCACGATATAGAACGAAATATGGGATCAGATACCGAGATACATCAGGGAAAACGGCCACCCTGTGCAAAATGCAAGAGACTCTAATCGAAATTTATCCTTGGGTTGCCCATGACTTTTCGTCATAATTCTCCATCAATTTTCCACCAAAACTCTTATGCCAGCCTTTGATACCGCCCGTCATGATGATTGCTTTGATATCAGTTTCGCCAACCTCGTTCAGGTAATCTTGCATCCACCGTGCAGACCTGGTTCCCCGTCCCGCTGAGCTGCCTGCAAGATCTTAGTAAAGTTTCAACATGTTGCGCAAATATCGTACCGCAGTAGAAGATGATCTTCTCGATGCCGGCCTGCTTGCAGAGCTGATACACGACGGGTCTAGTCTGAAAGAACGATTGCGCGGGGAGGTTGATGGAGGTAGCCACGGTGCCTCCATCCCAGTCGTTCCGCCGAACATCAACAAGAAGAAAATCTCTCTTTGCGTGCTTAGGACCAGAAAGTATCTTCTCCAAAAGGGGCATGACCTCTGAATTCTCAATCGTTTCACAGGTTGCCTGCGGCTCCGGTAGGGTTGCCCACCATGGAGGGGTTTCGCCCAAAGGCGGGGCATTTGCCTCTGTCGACATGATCGCGCAGAATTCTTCACCACAAAACGGCTGGCGGGCTATGACAATGACTGTCACTTTATTATTCTGACTTGTCAATATGTAGAAGGAGATTCTATAGATGCGGGCCACTGGAAATACGGTGGCTAGCTACCTACCTAGGCACCTACCTACTACTAACCTACCTAGAGGTCCACCTCGGTACCCTTTGTGACCTAGCATGTCATTGATGACTTGACGCTTAATATTAGGTCTGGCAGGTATCGTGAGTACAACCGAACAACTACTGAATTGAGACGTCGACCACTCAAGCAAAACTCCGAAATCTTCTCATATCAAGTTTATATCAAAGCTCACTTTCTTTACGGCAGCCATGACAATGCGTGTAGGAGTCCAACTGTTCGATACCGCTGGGAAGGTGACTTCCAAGCTCGGATGGAAACAAATTATAGAAACATCAATTTATAGCGCAAAACTTATCAGATGTAAATAGATTTCGAGCCTGCGCACTCTTCATGTCTGTGTAAAGACTGGAGGGGAATCTGGTGGTCGATACGGCGCTGTTTTGACATCTTGGTCCACATCGGTTCCTCGCACATCACTACAATTACGGTATATATGACAATTTCAATCCAAGACCATGCCTTGCCAATGAAACTTGTACTCTGGATCTCCGCAGTGCCGCATGCGCTGCATGGCGCCGCGACGTGGGCAATGAGACGCCAGCATGTTTGAACTCGCTTTCATCCTTTGTGAGGGGCAGGACTGATGTCATGATAAGCAAGATAGAATACCAAGCAACGCCTCCGTTTCAATGCGCTATTGGCGGAAACCCACAGGACATCGGGATCGTGGACTTTGTTCCTCCCAACGGCACGCATGCGATGGTCACTATAGGCGACTATCGTCAGCTCCTTGACGCTCTGTTGGACGCCCGGCCCTAACTCAAGAAGAAAGTTTGAGCACATTGACGAATACAACAGTATTCATCGATACGTTGTAGAGAAAACCCGGTCCCAGACGAGTGCACTCGCATGCAGAGTTGCTGCGAGCGCTCAGTGGCAAAGAAGATGCGGTTGAGGTGTCGGTGGTCTGTGTTCCTGTAACTGTCAGCACTAGGGCCACTTCTGCGACGTACTGTTCTTCTAATATAAAGAAACAATGGAAAAAGGAGGCATGGGGCCTCGGATGTTGAAGCGAAGCATGGAATCCGACAATTACGGGCTAAACGCTACGATTTCAGTTTTGGATGGGAGCTGCAGTTTGAGATTGCAACAGCGCAATCTGGTCTAAATGTCGAGATCCCAGTCGCTACCAAAGCTACCAATGGGTCGGCCGCTGAGGATAGTATGGCCTTGTAAGTAATATCGGAACCGAACAGCAACATCGTTGGCGTAGCGGGATGTAAGATCGGGGTGAAAAAGAGAAGCGCCGCCGCGAGTTCTTGCATCAGTTGCCCCGAGTGATTCGCAAGGGTAACTCAAATGTTGGGCAGAGTCAAGGCAGGCACCTTGGCAAACAGTGTGATTTGTGGCATAGCAGCCATTCGAGCTTCGGATGACGCAACTCAGAGAGTGTTGCGGCCGGTCGAATTTGATATCGAGTATCTGAGATTTCGAGCTAAGTTTCGAAAGACGTTATTATTAATGTAGTTGACCTGCTTCTACAGAAATTTATCGGCATTTTGTGACCGTGTTGCCGTGGAGGGGGGGGTGAGAATTGAACCCCGAGAATCGTTGTCGAAAATGAAGGGGACCAGAAAGAAAAGTAAACCAACATGTACCATTTTGAATTGCCGCCGCGAATAACGCCCCCATAACATACCAGTCGCTCACCACGGCTTGAAACATAATAATTATTGCTCAACAGTGCCCATCGAGTTCATAATGACTGCACCCCAATCAAGGTATCCATCAAACCAAACCGCGGGGTCAACTCCAGTAAGCAAATCACTTCGCCACGGGGTGCTTCCATACACATTTTGCATTTGATCTGTTGGCATGTTGGGGTCCATTCCCTGCCAGGCACCGCCGTCGTTTTGCATCATGCCGGAGGTCGGCGCGGACTGCGGTGTCCATCCTGACATACTCGTATCCATGTCCGCCTTGAGTTGCTGCGAGGGTGAGTGGTTCTCGCCCTCCTTAGAGACAAGATCGGCCCATCTTTCCAGCTTCGCCTTGGTGATACGAACCTTGATCGCGGTCATACTCCACACATTTGCTTCATCATTCCTCGTGTCTGTCGACGAGATCTGAAAGGTAGCGTTAGCTGCCTCGAAGCGATTGCAAATGGCCAGCAAGATTTCGCCGACATTGACCATGAGACCTGGATGCGTCTTGAGCTGCGCACGCAAATGCGCGACGGCGGCGGGTAGATCTGGGTCAAATACCCCTTCGGCTGGCGTCAGTGGACCAGGTAGTCGGGGTACTATTACGCAGGTATCCACGGTTCGAGGCGACGCGGCTGTTCCTCGGGCAGCTGTTCCTCGGGCATTCTGCGGGTTGGGCTCAAACGATGCCAAGCCGGTTGTGCCACGACTTGTATCAGTGGTTTCTCCAACCGGTTTGGGTGCCACAAGCTGAGCCCATCTTCCAAGCATTGTCAATGCGTAAACAAGCTGAGCCGCTACAGCCGTGGTCTGACAAGCGTATTGGGGAACTGGCACAGACAACCAGTTCTCAAACCACCCTGTAAGAGCGGCGCTGGTGTTGTAGAGGCGATCGAGAGGTGTTCCGCCACCCGCATTGATCATCGTGAAGGCATCTGCCATTGCCGATATCAGATCTTTGTCGACAATCGGAGGCTCATACAGTCTCAGACGAGCGGTATTAAAGTACATCGCTATGATGCCTAGTGGGGATGAGTTAGTAAACAAATATAATGATGTCTCGGTGTAATTGCGTACTGTCGTTCCTGAGATGATCCGGTAACTTGGCTCGTAGCTCATCGAGCTCATTTTGGAAAGCGGATATATATACAGCTGCTGGTGCTTTGGGGATGCTTGTGAACTCCTCGATGGTGTTGTCTCGTGGATTCAGTTCGGAAATGCGCTGCGTCAAATGCTGAATGCGTAATAGGAATACAAGATTGACATCCGTCTCATATTCCTTATTCGACGCGAGAAGTGCGATGCAATCCTTGACATATGAGGTATAACGCATGGGATCAATTCTCCCAAAAACGGTCGACATTCTAACAAAGACCTTAGCGTCGATTAGCCATAGGAGGTGAACATGGCTTTGAGCTTACGAAGAAGCGAGAAACCAGACGCCAAGAAAGGCGCGCTGCTCTTCACTATTTCGCGCAGAGGGTGCCGGCGGCTGAGCGGCCATCAGCCTAGTGCCCTCGTGAATGACGGGATGACGATTAAGTCCCATCTCCCCAACCAGAGAAATTGCAAGTGAGAGCAAGTTATGTAGTTGGGCATGGGCAAAGCAATGATACTGGTACCAGCCAAGAATCACAATGATGCCCAGAAGGAGATCCATCGACCGCTCCGAGCGAATCAGCATATAATCGGAAATATGCTTCTTCAGTGCGTACATCTGCGCTCTCATGGATCGTAAACTGCGAAACGAAGTAACCATGCGAATAGCCGACATGAGGAATGGGCGTGATGCGCCAAGTTGGGCCGCTGTCACACTTGGCAAGATGACGATAAATGGATACAGGTGCTGCAATTGAGTCTTGTACGTCTCTAAGCAGACATCGTCAGTTTCTGGGGGCGGAGGCGCATCACCCGGTTCTGGGCGGCAGATGCAGTTTGCTGCCCCAAAGCAGTTGTATGTGGATGGGATGTGCCATTCTTTCGGCGACGGTTGCTTCTCGACTTGAACTGTATTGTTGGCCATGGGCGAATCGGTCATCTGCGATGATGTAAGGTTAGAGTCATCGTAGTCACCAGGAGTGCTGCCATCCTGTTGGCCTTGGGCCTGGTGTGGCAGCTCTCCTGATGCTTGCAGCAGGCTCACCAAGCCGTTCAAACGCTCCTCGATTTGTGCGGTGCGTCTAGGGTCCAGCATTAGCTCCCTAGGATCAACGAATTCCATGGCGACGAGAAGGTGAAGAATGGGCTCCTTGAGGACGAGAAACAACTCACGAGGGCTTGGGCTGCCTTTTCTTCCTTGGCTTGTGTACCTGGTCTGTACATTCCTTGAGTAACCGCTCACATCTAGAAACATCTTCGGCGTCAGCGAAACCATGTTTTGGTCATATCCGCCGCGCCCGGCATGATGGTTGAGAATTCGCGCGTCACAATGGCAAACCGGGGAGGCGCAGTAGGTAACGGGCCGGAGCGACGATATATGCCACGGCGGGGAGATGGTTTTGGCCTTGCTTACCGGTCGCATTTTGATCCCGGGGTCTCGTTGGAGCGGATACACTTGGCCTTTGCCGTTGCACACGCAGCGCAAGCCGCACCCCATTTCGCCGTCGGCATTTTCGGACGCTCGTCGTTTGGCATGGTCCGACAAGGAGGCGCACGACGCCAGGCAGCCCCAAACTGATCAGATAATGCAATAGCAGGTCGCCAAACAAGTGGTCGTTGGATGTGGCCTTCCGGTTCGCCAAGCAGGGGCTCTCGGCGATGAGGACAGGCACCTAGAACAGCTCCTACGATATCAAGAGCAAGAGAAACGGCGTCTTTCGCAAATCTCCGTCAACGACTTGTGGCAGAAGTGGGCCGGTCGCCGGGAGCCTCGGCAGCGTTAGCCTATCGTTTTCAATGGTGGATAAATCTGCGCCACCACTCGACACTTAACTCGATAGTAACTAACTAACTACCTAGGTAGAGGTGAAGCTCTGCTTGCGGAATATTATACCTACTAACTAGTAGGTAGACATTTAGGGCTCTAGAGATTATTGTACTATTGTGGCTAGTTATGCTGGTAAGGGTCAGGGTCAACTTGAAATATTATAGAAGCGAATTGTTAATCATGAGACACGTACGGATGTAGTCGTTAGTTAGTTTTATTAGCACATAAAGCTGAAATGGCCGAGTGTTGCTATTTCAAAGCTCCAAAAAATCCTTCCCGTTGACTTTAAGGAGATTTGCCGTCCTCTCCATCGCCTATATAATACATGGTCGAGCCCACCCAATCATCATCTCTAGCCTACTAGGTAGTCGATGGTTCTAGTTCTAGCTACGTCGAGCTAGGTCTTGATAAAAACATATGCCAAGCAATTTATCGAGCCACGGCATTTATTACTTTGCGCGAGAAACGCCTGCGCCAATGACACCTGGAAGCTTCTCTTCACCAACGCTGTAGAGCAAGCTGATCGCCATCCAGACGACACCAACAATAATAACAGTGAACCCGAAAAAGAGCCAGAACGGTACACTGACATCTTGCTTAGCGCATGTTGGTCCACCCCAGTGCGTCGGCCCGCTGTTTTTATTGGCGGTGGACTTGCAATGGCACACGAAACAGACATCTCCTTCCTTCGGGTTCTCAGGAACTGCACCGTATTTGTTTACGCATGATCCATGACCTCCGGTGCAATTGTTTGTGCCCTCAACGCAGCTCTCGCTGGAACTGAAGCAAGCGGGGATGGGCTTCTTTGGGGTGGGTGATGTTGAGGAGCTGGCAACAGGGTGAACAAGGCTCACAGGAGCCGCCTTATGGTTGGAAGATATGACTTGCTCAGCTTGTCGACGGCGAAGCTCTTGGGGTTTATCAGACCATGAAGGCTTCGCGTCGTTGCCCGTTCCGGGGAGGAGGACGACAGTGGCTTCGACCTTTCCGGCTTCGGCAAGCTTGGGGATGGAACGCAAAGCTTCGAGGATACTCTTCATCGACTCTGGCTTCTGTGGCGACGTTAGTCTCGAACGGTAGTCGCACTCGTGGTTCAGCATACCTCTGCGACGTTGAATCTGGCAGCAGAAGATGATTCACTCCAGCATTTGCCGTCCTTCATCTGCACAATCTCGCTCAGTGAGCAGCTGTGTCGCTTCGTCGCGCCCGCATTGTAGGTATCAATTTCGAAAAAATCGCGATTGGCGGCGGAGGAAGGCAGATCATTTATCGTAAAAGTCGCATCCTGACCCAGAGCTTGCCCAGCATCCTTTATTTGTTGCGCAGTCATGCCATCAACCATGATAAGCAGTCGCTTAGTCGTCGGCTGGGACGCAAACAAAGTATCTCTCGAGGAAGCGAATTTGTTCAATGTAGAAACGGCATCGTCGGCGCTGACGTCGTCGGGGATATCTCTGATCGATGGGCCCTCGCCGGGGCTGGCCAGGCGCTGGAGGAACACGAGCCTGGCTAGGCTGCGGTGGAGGGAAGTTGTTGAGACGGACTCATCGTGGGGAAAAGTAAAGGCGTGTCCCGTAGTCGCAGCTGCCGTAGTACAGCTCGCAAGGGCCGCAATGATCCCGGCGGTGAATTTCATGATGCTTGTGGGATCATAAAAGCTGTGGCTGTCGAGTAGAGGAACGCCGAAACGTCACCACCAAGGGCGATGGCTAGTGAGGCAGCTGCAGTCGCCCACGTTATGCGGATATCGGCGTTTAGTTATTCCGGCACTTGGCGACTTGCAAGGGTCCATCCACTAACTGTGTGCCTGATGACGAGCTGGGCCATCACCAACCTGTACATTTTCAGAACCGGCGCTGTCTTCTAGCAGCATGCATTTTATTCCTTGTCAAGGCTTCACCGACCTGTACACATGACGGCACATCGTATCATTTTTCTTTGAAATATGGCGATGCGACGGTTGGCGCCCGCGCCTATATTGGCCTCGTTCAATGCTCTTCGATTGAAGCCTCTCCACAACCACCGATTTTGCCTGAATAGTCGGCAGATATCTCTGCTGCCATGGCGAAAAAACGATTTGACGACCCCACCTCTGCCTGTCTACTTCCACAAACCGGTTAATCAGTCGCGACTACGGCCAGTACGCCGGTTTGTCGGGTAAGAGCCCTTGCGCCCCTCGTCGCAGGAGCGCAGGCTGCTAACATATGTCATCTGTAGGCGCGTCCTTTTCACAACAGCAGCAGTGTTCGTCTGCTGGACTGTTTTCTATATCATCGTCCTGGAGCCCTTGTTCGACTGGGCGGAAGACGAGTGGGATGCCCTGTCCGAGAAGGAGAAGCAAGAAATGGCCGAAGAAGCAGATGATGGTCCGGATTCGATACTGTTCCTGCCTATGCCATTTGGCACAACTGAGGTCAATCAACCACAATATAGAAGCAACGACCCTGAGTGGCTGGAGTTCGTTGCCTTCAGTAGAAACAAGCAGGCACGCGAGGATATCAAACGTGTGTGACTCGTCGCATATTGCACCCACTGTGCTAACCTATAATCTCTAGTCAAGCTAGCCGACACGATCTGCAAAGCTGTCCAAAACAACGACCAATACGTGAGGATACTAGGCGGTAAAGATATGCACGTGTCCCAGTACTGGCTAGATACGATATTTCCCACTCGGCCGCCGCCCAAACACTATGTAGCGGGGTAGGTCATTTTTTTCCGGCTCTCGTCGCTGCCTCTTCTGGCTTCATACTGACTCTCAGGGCAGGATTAGTATCGAAGACGACGGAATATACTGGGCGCATCGCCCTATCGATACGCTTGCAGCGAAACATTTGTCTCTAGCCATCTACCCCGTAGCTGTGGCCAAGGCGGCCTGGAGTTTTCTCAGCGTTCTCGGCAAGGGCTTGGCTACAGATACTGCCGTGTTCTTGGGCATTGCCGAGCCGGTCAAACGGCTACCCACGTGGGAGTCTGTCGTCCTGAACCGGATGCCGCAGCAGGAGACTGTTGGCCCCGGCGCGGACCGAGAGCTGCAAGATTTGAAAAAGACGCTTCAGTCGGCCGTGCCGTTCGGGGATGTGATGCCGTCTAATCTGGAACATGCCAGCTCTGCGGCCATGGTGACCTTGGCCAAGACCTGGAAGCCTGCGCGGCAAGGCCCCGGCCCCGGCTGCATCAGGGTGGATGGCTTGATCCAAGTGTCTGGCAAAAGTGCATACATGACTGTTTATGTTGTCGCTTGGTTTGACCCCAAGCAAAGGAAATTCGTCGACATCCAGACTCAGTTGAAGCACCTATTGCCGTTCAAGCAATATCCGGCGAAATAAAGAGTTTTCTGTGGCGGGCCGAGGTGGTTGAAGGCTTTGTACTTGGGGAGAAGAAGCGAAACCAGAACTGTAATTTGTATTTTATTTCGGCAGCATGGCATTGGCGCTCGCAATTTCTCTTCTTTTCCCCGACAGAGCCAAAACCTGGGGCGGCTGCACAATTTAAATCAATCTCTAATAAGCAACGACGGGTATCACGAGCCATGGCGGCAGCGGGGATTGAACACTTCGTTTTTTCTTGCATTGTATTTTCAAGGAAAGAAATAACACCCATTAAATTGCAGAAAAATCATCAGCCATACCCAACAGAGTTCGGGTCCTGTCTGGACGGCTTCCAGCCTATACCCGTTCCATGTAAACTCTTCCAAAAGTTGAAAGAAAAAAAACCTTGTAACATTCCCATCACTGTGCGAAAGAAACGTTAAAGGGATAATTTAAAAATGGAAAGAACCCCTATACACATCGCTCTTCCCACGTGATTCGCCCACTTGCCGTCCCAATCTACCTTTATTTTAATTCTTCGTCACGTTGACGTATGCCGTAAAGATTTCCAACTCGGACTCGGGACCGCCCACCTCTCGCTGCTCACTGGGAATGGCCGCAATCAGGTGGGCCTCAACGACGTTGACGCCAGGGTGCAGGCCGACCTCAAAGGCGAGCTCCTGCGGCAGCTGGCCGGGAATCATCTGCGGGTACGGCTTCACCGGCTGCCGGTTGATGAGCGTCCAGAGGCTGTAGTGGCGCTCGTGCAGGAAGTCGGGCAGCATGGTGATGACGAAGACGCGGTTGCAGTGCTGCGGCACGTTGATCACGCCCGACTGTTGCAGGTACTTGGGGTCCGGATAGAGGGAGCCCATTTTGGGCTGGGCGAGCTGCAGCATCGGATGGGCCTGGATGGAGAGCCGGGAGAGGAGCGCATCGCTGACGCCTATCGCCTGTGGATTAGCATACGTGATTGGCGCAACTTTTTCAAAGTAGGGACCCTCACCTTTACCGGGGCCGCGAGACCGTCTTGTCTCGTTGTTTTGGGCGGGATTCGGGGGCGCAGGAGGGGGCACGGGGACGGGCGTTTCGGACAGTCCCGGTGGTCGCGGAGCGCCTGGTGGGAGCTCCCCTGGTGTGGGAACATTGGCAGGTGCTACATCGTCGACCTGTGCAACAGGAGTTACGGCGCCATTGACAACCTCGCCGTTCGTTGGGGGCGTCTCAGTGCCGGTGGCAGCGACTGGGGGGGCTGGCGACTCTGCATTGCCTCGACCACCAACATGGATTGTGATTTTCTTATTTGATGGGGTGTCACTGCCACCATGGCCGCCCACCCGGAGCTTGATCTTTGATTGTGCGGGCTCTGAAACAGCGGCCTTGGCCTTTCTCAACTGTGCCTTAAAAAATGTCTATTGACTGTTAGCCAAGAACTTGATTGTTTTAATATAGAGCGACATACCTCTAGCTCCTGTCCAAGAGAATAAATCTCGCTGCCTTCTTCATTGTAGAAATAGGCGTTTGTCCAAAGCAGTTTGGACCTTTCCTCAAAAGCGGCCCACGACTTGAATTCGCTGATCCCGGTCAGCTCACCGCGACCCTGAATACCTTTGACAATTTTCTGAAGCTTTTTTAAAGACAGGGGGTCAGTAACTATTCTGTAGTAGTCTTTCAGTGCCCGAGGTGGTAAATTGACAAAAGGCTCAAAGTAGACCTCCTCGTATTCAGGCTCGCGGTGCCTAAGCATCTCCTCCACAATCTTTTCTTGTGCTTCCTGGAATGTGAGTCCCTTGTAGGGAACGCCCTCATATTGGTGGCCGTCAGGCTTTGCTGGCGTAACAGGCTTCGGGCTTGCCTGGTAGGCAGAGGATCGACGTGGTCGAGAACGCGAGGAAGCAGGTTCTTCTCTTCTCTTGAGAATGATGGACTTGCGGCGCGGACCTTCTGGCTCTTGCTCCTCCGGCTCGTCTTCTTCCGCTTGCTCCTCCTCTACTTCTTCTTTCGCCTCTTCCTCTTCCTCTTCTTTTTCGCCGCCTCCATCTTCATCGCCCTCGTTCTCCTGGTCTTCATCACCCTCACCTTCACCCTCAGCATCCTCTTGAGGCAACGGCGTAGCGACAGCCTGGTAGCCCCTCTTTGCATAAGCTGGATTATTTTTCGTCATGTAGTTGCTGAGCGCCTTGCGAAAACGCTCTGCATCGTCAAAAACGGATGATGATCGCGGATAAAACTCTTTGGCGTTTACAATCATGCGCTTAAAATAGCTCTCGAGTTCGGCCAAGTTTTTGAAGTCGCCCTTTTCGAGCTTTTCTTCGATGATTCCGAGTGAAATTGGCATCCGTGTCTTCTTGTAGTAGTCGGCATTGCTTTGTCGGGGAATTAGCTTCTCAAAGTAGGTTGCAATTAATCGGCCACTGAGACACAAAGTCAGTAGCTGCGTTGCAGGCGAGGAGCAATCACTTTTACCTTTTATCAGAGGTGCGGCGAATCTGCTCAAGAAATGCAAGTCCATATGCGGTAGTTGATTCTTTGGTCTCGCCCTTCATAAGATCAAAATCCTAGACAGGATTAGCATGCGTCACTTTGCGCGACAGGGAGGGCGCATTGCGCGCAGCGACAAGCAGAGACGTGACAGAGGTTGTCCATCCGAGTAACTTGATCTGCATTGAGATGAGCGCTAATGATGGCGGGAATAATCGTACCGAAACCTTGCGACGCTTTGAGGAGCGGTCGCCAGAGTTGGTGCCGCTCCCAGAGTCGGCCTTGCGCTTGCTGTCCATCGCGGAGGCGCCGTATCGCCTAGGCAGCTAACGCCAGTTGCAGTGAAGAGAAATGCGACTCTGGACTTATCGAATCGTGCGTCAATGGTTCGTGATAGCAGTCGGCGCACAATGCAAAGCTTCAGGCCGTTGCCGCTAACTAGCAGACGCGTGTTTAGGTCGTAGAGCTCGCGTTTAAAGCTCTGTAGTAGCGTGCGCTCGGAAAGATGTCGCGCGCGTTGCTGCGTACAGTCAACATGCGCGGCTCCAATGTTTTACCGCGGCCCGGTTATGGGAATGGACGCTTGATGGCGCGGGCGAGCGTTGCGAATGTCGGGCTTTGCGTTGATGAGCTGGCTGGTGGTCTTTGTCCTGGCGAGTGGAAAAGCGCAGGGGCGGCGAAACGCACCGAGCCAACAAAACACTGTGGTGTCTCGATTGGGACTAGCGTGATCTGCCCTCATTTCGGACGATGTGATGAAGTCAACCCTGTCACGCACTATGCAGTGATGGCACTCGAGACGTATCGCTGAGCACATGAAATTCAGGAAAATCAGAGTCGATCAGAAAGGCCCTCTATATAGAATAGATTTGTCCTTTTGACGTGCGAATAGAGTATTGTTGTTGAGCTGCCGTGAATCCGATACCTACCTCCTAAGCATACTTGGGTACCTAGGTATGTCCCGTAGTTGACGTTCTGTCAATAGAACACCAACTATACAAAGAAAAAAGCCAAAGAAGCCAAGGCTTTCTACTTATCATGATTCTCTGAGAACAGTTTCTATAGTTTCTAAATGTCAAATAACTCACACATGCATTGGTGTTACAGCGACCTGATACTAGCCTACCTCCCTAAGCGCCCTGAAATGCCCCGCTGTGGAAGCTCAGATCGCGACCGAAACTTGGCCAGCACAAGCACCAGCTTTTTCACCTACATACATCTGAAGGCTCGCCACATTCAATCGCGTGCCATCAGACAACATGGCGGACTCAGAGATACCAAAGGGCCCGCCTTCTGGCTACGATGAAGCCGCAACAGAGCAGGCCGCCGGTGCGCGCCCTCGCGCTACGTCAGGACTACGCCGTGGCCCTGCGCCGCTCGACATTCCCATCATCAAACACCTCAACGCAAAGCGAGTCATCCTGGCCTCTGCGTCGCCCCGCAGAAAGGCGCTTCTGCAACAGGTCAGTTTGTGGCAGCTGGTGCAGCGAAACCCATGTCTAATGCCATATGATAGGTTGGCTTGAGAAACCTCGAAATTACGCCGTCTACCATACCAGAAGATGTGGACAAGTCCATTTACGGCCCATGGGAGTACGTCTCCGAAACTGGGCGTCGTAAAGGCCTCAACGTCTACCAAAGGTCGCTCGAGACGCACCTCAACTCGATACCCGATCCGGACCTAGTCATTGCCGCCGACACCGTCATTGTCACCCGCGACGGCCGAATTTTGGAGAAGCCGCGAAGCGAAGCCGACCACATCGCCATGCTCAAGCTCCTGCGAGACTCTCGCGTTCACCGCGTCTTGACCTCTGTGACTGCGCTTGCGCCCCGGGAAGATGCGCGCCACCCAGGCTACGACATGGCGACACACACGGTGGAAACCAAGGTCTACTTTCGCAGCGAAGAGGACGGTCTGCCGGATGATGTCATTGAGGCATACGTCAAGACGCGCGAAGGCGTTGACAAGGCTGGCGGATACGGCATCCAGGGAGTCGCCGGACTGCTCTTGATTGAGAAGATTGATGGCAGCATAGACAATGTCATTGGCTTGCCCGTACAAAAGACGCTGCAGTTGGCGGAAAAGGTCATTTTCCGCCAAGACGAAGTAGATTTTGAGGGCGAAGAGGTAGAGTCTGACGGGTGATGATAATAGACGACAGATAGATTTTTTTTTTAGAATTTGCCTGCTTTCAGTGTCTTGGCGCTTGGGGGGACGAAGTAGCCTTCGGAAACAGCCATCTCTAGTGCAACAAATATTACAATGCAACAGCGAGATGTTCCGAATTAGTTAATTTGTAACCGGCAGTCAGCGACTTATGCTAGCTTCTCACTACCTAATACAGATATCGGGGGCTGTGATGACCTTTTCTTGCATCCCGACTATCTAAAATTATATTTCACAATTGTCTCAGCTCTAGCCTAATGTCAACTCATGTACGGCAGCATCTCCGTGTCCCTCGGCTGTCTTGTACATCAAGAGCGCCACTAAATTATAAGCTACGGCAAAGCAGCAACACGTCGGCTGCGTCATGCCACTCGGAAGGAATCTGGGGCAAGACCCCTGCCAAAAGGAAGCAAATAAAATAGTGGACTTGACCAAGCCCGTCTCCCTTGCGGGCGCTGCAAGCCTCCAACGCCGACGGGACGGGGTAGTCCGAAGTAGCCTCTGGGCGTGCGCCGGCGCTGCGCATGTGATCCCCCACCAAAGGCGGCCAGCCGACTTAACCTCCCAGCCCGTCCCGACGAACCCCTCCAAACCATCCTCGCACAAGTACAGCCCAAGAAACAGGCCGTGAACATTGTCCCTTGCTGATCATGTCGTCTTCGCCAAACAACACCGCCGGAGATGCTGCCAACGCCAATGGCGACGACAAGCCCCGTCTTACCGAGGAAGAGAAGAAACAGAACCACATTGCCTCTGGTGAGTTGTCAGCATGCGCCGCCCGACGCCTCTTCCCCCCGCACACGCCGGACCATCGCCAGGGAGGGGGCCTGTTTGTTGCTTGGCCGTGAACTGGTGGCTAATTCTGCGAACAGAGCAAAAGCGCAGACAAGCGATTCGCGAGGGCTTCGACCGACTGACCGAGCTGGTGCCAGGTCTCGAGGGGCAGGGCCGATCCGAGGGCCTCGTGCTCAAGAAGACGGTCGAATACATGCGCCAGCAGCTAGATGAGCGCCAGTCCATGATTGAGCGTGTCGAGCGAACTGGCGGCGCCGTGGACCCCGAACTCAAGTCGTAAGCTGCGCCCTTTGGCCAATGCGCCCGCTGCCCTCGCACAGCTGACAATAGTCGTCACAGACAAGGCTTTGCCCACCCACACAACCGCGGTCGAGCCGATAGATGAATAAATGTACAGAGTACTGTCCCAAGCCAAGAATTCAGGAATAGACAAGACCTTTTTCTGCGCACAGCCACATGCGCGAGCGCGGCTGCGTACTCCGCGACGGTGAACTGCACCACAGCAAAGGAACTTGATCGCTGCCGCGGGACAACAAACGTCGCGCCGCGGCCGGCGCGCCGCTTACACAAGACCAGCATCTCGTCTTTTGAATGCTGAGAAGGCACGGATACACCCCTGGATGCAGCCTCATCAAGGTATATCGCTGCCAGGAGAGCCATGTCTATATTACATTGCTGTACACGTTGACTAGTTTACATTATTCGAATCGGTTCACCATCTCCATCATTCTATCTCTCATTTCGGCAGGCGACATGCGCTCCTTGCCCAGGCTGACTTGTTTACTTTGCACATCTGCGTCGCCTACGACAAGTATCTGGCTGTAACCGTTGTTACGCGCCTCTCGTATCTTGGCGCCTAATGATCTGGCCGTGGTGTCCAGGTCTACTGCAAGACCTGTTTGACCTGACAAGGCGATGCCAGCATCTGCTACTGGGGGCTCATTACCAGTGGATGAACTGGCAACATTTCCCAGCAGAATGTCGCGTACTTTATCTGCCCAATCCACCACGGGAGCAGTCGTGTTGACGGTCAGAATAACGGCTTGGCGGGGATTTAGCCAAAATGGCCACTTGCCGTCGTAATTTTCTATGAGAAGAGCCATGAGACGCTCCACAGAGCCAAGCACAGCGCGGTGGATCATGACTGGTCGTACTGGGCCATACTCTGCCAGCAGAGCAGGATCCTGTGTCGATTCGCCACGAGCCTCGTACTCAGGAGCCGGTGCTTGGTACTCCAACTCGAAGCGCTTCGGCAGCTGAAAGTCAAGCTGTATCGTCGCGGTCTGGTGCTCCTTGCCGTCCGAGTCTTGGAGCACAATATCGATCTTTGGCCCGTAGAAAGCACCATCTCCTTCATTGACGCTCCACTGCATGCCTGATGCGTCTAAAGCGCGGCGAAGACGATCCTCTGCTCTGTTCCATTCGTCTTCTGTGCCTATAAAGTGGTCCTTTGGCCGCGTAGACAGTGCCAATCGATAGCTCACGCCAAATTTAAGCGTAGCATAGACTACTTTGACAAAATCGAGCGTCTTCTTGATTTCTTCCTCTACCTGGCTAGGGCGGCAAAAGATGTGGCCGTCGTCCTGGTGGAAGCGGCGCACTCTTGTGAGCCCAGACAGCGCACCCGATATTTCGTTTCGATGGAGAGGGCTGAAATCGGCGTAGCGTACTGGTAGATCTCGATAGCTATGCAGCTTCGACGCGAAGATGAGGCAATGCCCAGGACAATTCATGGGTTTGAGTCCGTATTCGCTGTCGTCCTCGTCTTCCGTCGCGGCGGTTTCGTTCGAGTTCGTGCCACAGCACCCCTCTGAGTGTCCGAGGGCTAACGCTCGCTTGTTTCCGGTCACTGTGTACATGTCGTCGGCATAGTTTTCGAGGTGGCCGGACTTGGCCCATAGCGACTTTTTGTAAATGGTCGGGGTGATGACTTCCTCGAAGCCATATCGTACGTATTGCTTTCGCAGGAAATCCACAAGTCGATTGAATATTCGCGTTCCATTAGGGAGGAAAATTGGTGAGCCAGGGCTGAAGGTGGAGGTGATGAAGAGCTCCTGCTGGTGACCGAGCTTCCTATGGTCAGGAGGCTCGCGCTTTTCTAGCTTCTGCGAGTAGAGCCGGCGCGGCAGACATTTCGGGCACGTCCATTGACGATGCGTGACAAGTGCGACGACTCGCCTCGTAGACTGCAAGCGTATCATACGAGTGTGGCCGAGCAATTGGCTCGTTCAGTGGAAGCGGGTTTAACCAGTGATGCAACTTCCAAACTTCAGCGGCGCGATTGGAGATTTGGAAAGCCTGTAGCAAAGTTTAGCCCGGGGGCCGACCCACTTTGGTCGGTCAAGACAGACCGCAGGGGTCCAGTGAGCTTGGCCAACGTTCAAAAAGAAGCTTCAAACATATGAAAATTGTGGTGAATATCGTTATAAGATAACTAAATAACTGTTTTCGGAATTCATCAAATCTGGTGACTAAATTTAATTTTTATGCTCGCACCCGGCTCTGTTAAAGCCCCAGGTTGGAACAAGGCGGGGTAAACACATACACAGGCACCCACCCAACTAAATACACCCCCACCAGACAAACTTCCTCATGTTCACCAGCATCGTCCCGACGCCTCAACTGCATTTGCAGTGGCCTTAGCGAGTTCTGTAAATCCTCCAGGTGTGGGCTGTCGCCATGAGCTTCTCTATTGAAGTCGCTGGCGAGGCCAATCCGCTGAGCTTCGAAACTCTCTGTCGCGCACTCCTCGGAGCATCCTCGACAGGTTATGCACAACGGCAAGCCGCTGGGCAACAGCTTCTGTCTTGGGGCGAAAGGGGGCAACAAGGCTACTACGAGGCACTTCAGGTATTTCTACGAGATCCTACACATATATCGCAAAATTCAAAGTGTCAGGCCGCTGATAAGCTTGCAGACTGCCTTCCTCGATCGATCTCTCCCTGTCGATGCCCGCTTTCTCGCCGTCATTCAGTTGAAGAATGGTATTGATCGACTATGGCGCGTGTATGCCCTTACGAAAAAGGGCATTGATGCCAAGGAAAAGGCTTCGATCCGCTCTCGTTTATTCCAAGGCACGGTCGACGAGCCTGATCGCAAGCTGGCCTTGCACAACGCTCTTGTCATTGCCAAAATTGTTCGAATTGACTATCCGACTGACTGGCCCGATGCTCTTGCTAGTATCATCTCTCTTCTGCGCTCTTCTAAAAATGGCAACCAGCGTCATCTTCATGGCTCCTTGGAAATTCTTCTCCGAGTCGTAAAGGAGCTTGGCACCGCGCGCCTACGAAAATCTCAGACCGCTCTTCAGTCCGTCACCCCCGAAATTGTCTATGTACTGTCTGAAATCTACGCCGAAAAGTCCAATATCTGGGTTCCGTATCTCTCTTCCGGACAAGGCAACGAAGAAGAGGCAAATCTTGCTATGCAGAACAGTCTGTCCGCACTTCGAACTCTCCGTCGCCTCGTCGTCGTTGGCTACGACCGCCCGCATACCGATTCAACTGTTGAGCAGTTCTGGATGTTCTCTCAGAACCAGTTTGGCCAGCTTCTTACCTTTGTCAACGACAACAATGCCTCAAACGAAATGGTTGGCAAGCACCTTCTGCAGTTTACTAAACTGCATATCGATATGGCTGAACAACACGCCGCCAGCTTCGCATTTTTACCCAATTCACTACCCCTAGTTCGCGCATACTGGGACTTGATTGCCAAATTTGCCGAGGTATTTAATACATCTGGTGGCATTCGCCAGAGTTTCAATGATGTCAAGGCAAAGTCGGAAGGGCCGCTGTCGGAAAGACTTGCCCTGAAGGGACTTTTGTTGTTGCGCGCATGCGTTCGGGCTGCCTTTCAGCCCTTGCAGACATTCAAATACCACACCCCGGAGGTCAAAGACGAGCAAGACCGTGCACGCAATATCATTAAGACTGAATTGCTCAAGGATGACCTCGTTGTTCAGATTGTCAACTCCATAATCAGCCACCTGTTTGTGTTTCGCAAATCTGACCTTGAAGCCTGGGATGAGGATCCTGAAGATTGGGAGCAGCAGGAACAGAGCGAAGGAAATGCCTACGAATGGGAGGTGCGCCCCTGTGCTGAAAGGCTCTTCCTGGACCTTCTCACAAACCGCAAGCAGCTCATTATCCCCCCGTTATTACAATATTTCCAAAGCGCTCAAAATCCGCAAGCAGATCTCGCCACTAAAGAGGCTGTCTATACTGCTATGGGTCTAGCCGCCGCCCATGTCGTCAACTCTTTTGACTTTGAATCCGTCTTATCCTCAACTTTGATAGGTGACGCACAGCAATCGGGTGGTTTATATCGCGTTCTCAGGCGTCGAATTGCCATTTTGATCAGTCAATGGGCACCTATCAAGCTCTCTGACCAGAGCAGACCGATTGTGTATCAAATTTTCCGCCACTTCTTAAATCCCGAAGATGAGACCAACGACATCGTTGTGCGAATCACTGCCGCTCGACAGCTCCGCTGGATCGCTGATGAGCTGGAATTCAACGTCGAGGCCTTTCTACCGCATACTGCAGATGTTTTAAGCCAGCTTGTTCATCTTGTACAGCATGTCGAGGTCGATGAGACGAAACTTGCTATTCTAGAATCTATTCGAATTTTGGTAATGCGGATGGAGGATCAGGTAACACAGTTCGGCGACCAGTTGATGACTGCACTTCCCAAGGTGTGGGAGAACTCGGGGACGGAAGAGTACATGATCAAGCAACATATCATTGCCATATTCGCTGCCTTAGTCATGAGCATGGGCAACAAGTCGCAACGCTATCATGGCTTCATGATGCCTCTCCTCGGAGAAGCAGCGAGGGAAGGCTCCGATTTACACGTCCACCTTATTGACGAATCTCTAGAGCTTTGGAATGCAATTCTGGAACAAAGTAAGCCTCCTCTGACCAAAGATGTCCTCAACCTTGCCGATGCAGCTCTTCCTCTTCTGGAATATCAGCAGGACACGGCTTCCGTAGCCATGTCAACCGTGGAGTCGTATATTCTACTGGCTCCTTCTGCTATGCTTGAAGGTGACATGCGCACAGCGACATTGACTGCGTTATCCAACTCTCTCAGCTCAAAGAGCAGAGGACAAGTTCGTGCTGCTACTGTGTGCATCGAAAATATGATTCGTGCCGCTGCTGACCTCGGAGGATCCGACGGCATCTCTGTCATCATTCGAGACATGGTCAACATTGGATTTATGCACGTCATCATGGGAAATCTTCGCGATGCTTGGGAAGCTCACCAGACGACTGGGCCGAATAGGAGAGTCAGCAAGTTGAACACGGTGACCCAGGGAGATTACTTGGCCATTCTTGCGCGCCTAGCGGTGGCTGAGCCGTCACTCTTTGTGCAGCTGTTGGCGTCTTTCGGGGCTCTGGATGAAGTGTGGAGTTGGTTGTCTAACGAGTGGTTCGCATATATGCATGACATGGACAATCTTTCGCGTCAGAAGCTTTATCTACTAGGACTCACGCGCCTCCTAGAGCTTCCCTCCCCCATGCAAGAGCTGGCTCTTGGTAGCCTGCAACATTATTTCGATATGTGGGCGATGGTATTGGCAGACCTGCAGGACGGCATCCCAAACGGCCCCGACATGTTAATTGGAGACCTGGGAGACTTGGGGGAACCAACAGAGTACGATAGCCCAAAGGCTAGCACGGAAAGGCAGATGGTGGCCAGTGATCCTGTCCACACCATCCAAGCTTCGGCCTTTGTTCGAGAAAGACTGCAAGATCTTGTGAGCCGCGTGGGTGGCGAAGCCGTCTTCCAGGAGCATTGGGGCGCGAACGTGGACCGGGACATTATCACCAAGTTCCAGACCATTGCCGGTCTGGGCCAGTAAGACGGAGGGCGCGCATCTGGTGACAGCTGTGACGCCTCACTTATAAACGCAATGGACACAGGACTAGATGGACAAACTAGAACCAATATAAAGCGCCTGATAATATACAAAACACATTCCTTCGGTCTTGCTCGTCTTGGTCCTCTCCGTTTTCCAAATACCTAGGGTCGACTTGATGCATCGCTACAACTTGCTATCTGTCTCGGGGGCAATCTTGATGATGACCTTGCCCCAGGTGTCGCGCCCGCCGAGGGCCTTGAGGCCGTCCTTGACGCGGTCGAGGCCGACAAAGGCCTCGTCGGTGTACTGGGTGCCCGTGAGCTTGCCCTGGCGGACGAGGTCGAGGACGCCGCGCCAGACGACGGGCACCAGTTCGGGCTGGTGCAGCGAGTGGGCGCCCCAGGCGAGGCCGACGAGGGAGATATTCTTGAGCAGGACCTTGTTCATGGCGACCTTTTCAATCTGGCCGCCGGCGAAGCCGATGATGAGGATGCGGCCGTTCCACGCGGTGCACTTGGTCGACTTGTCGACGAGCCCGACGGGGTCGTAGACAATGTCGACGCCCTTTTCGTCGGGTGTCAGCTCCTTGACCTGCGCGGGCCAGCTGGGGTCGTTGTACGAGATGACGTGGTCCGCGCCGAATTTCTTGGCGATTTCCAGCTTGCGCGGCGTGGAGGCGGTGGCGATGACGGTGGCGCCAAACGCTTTCGCGACTGCAAAAGTCCAGATGTTAGCACACGAGGGGGGGCGCCGTTTTCTCTCTTGCTTCTTTGATTCAAGGCGGGACAAGCACCGACTCTGTACGGCAGCGGAGCCGACACCGCCGGCGGCGGCGTGGACGAGCACCCAGTCGCCCTTCTTGATGCCGGCGCGCTGGACAAGCGCGCTGTAGCTCGTGGGCGCCGTGACAAAGAGCCCCGCGGCGTCGGCAAAGGACCAGCCCTCGGGGACGGGCAGGATGGTCTGCTCAGCGGCGTGCACGTACTCGGCGTAGGCGCCCTGCGAGGCGCCAAACACGCGCGTGCCGACGGGGTACAGCGGCTTGGTCTCGGGCGTCTTGGGCACGGCGACGACGACGCCGGCGAACTCGACGCCGGCGGTCCAGGGGAAAGCTGACGGGGTATGCAAGTTAGGGCAAAGCGTGGCCAACTGAGGAAGAAGGGGGGCGGGAGAGGGGGGGACGCACGAGGTTGGTGTTGGTATTTGCCCTGGATCTGCAGAATGTCGAAAAAGTTGGCGGCGGCAGCGTGGACCTTGATCGTGTACTCGGCGTCTTCCTGGGCGAGGTCAGGCAGGTCAACGACCTTGAGCGCCTCGGGCCCCTTCACACAGTCAATACCAGAGTTCCGTTAGCAAAAGAAAAGAAAGGAAAAAATAGTTGACACAGCACGCCCTCTTCCATTGAATGTAGTCTTTGCGGCGGGTCCATTCCATGTTGGAAACACACCTTCACGTATTCCGTAATCTGGATGCCCTTCATAATGTCCGGTCCGTCTGTCGATGACGTGAGGAATAGCTTTCTGTGGCGGCGACTCTAGATAGAAGCCAACAAGTCTACACTGAGAAATTCTGGATGCAGAACTTGGCGCAAGAATAAGTCTAAAATGAATAGAATGGGAAAGAAATGACCAAGGTTGCACGGGGAAGGACAAGAGGAAGAAGCTCCCGGCGGAGTTTATATCGCTGGCGCCATCATCCCCCGGCCTTGGTGCGGCCTAGCGGGGGACGTTTCCGCGGAGTAGGTGCCGAGGTCCAGACGGACTTGGGGTCTGGGGAAATATGGACAACATCAACTAGGGTCTTGGCTCTGATAAGACTGTTCTGCTATTACATCAAAATAGGAGAAATATGCAGCTTGCACCCATCTCAGTGTCAGCACAAGACTCATTCACAGCGTCGAGTAGAGAGCTGCTACTTCGCTCCGGCCTCGCCTTTGTAGAGCAGCCGACAGTTTCACGCGCTCACAGCGGCAAGTTGGTCATCGACACTTTTCATAGTTATTGCTCTCTCCAACATCAACGGCTAGCACCATAACAAGCTAATCAAGTGGTATACATGCTGTTTTGTGCCTAGGTAGAGAATAATACACGAGCTTTTCCATCTCTGACGTAGGTTTCATCGTTCATCATCCTGCTGTGTCCATGTCTGGTATTCCGTCTTCTGGTATATGTATAAGAACAAAAAGCAATGCTGCCATTCACACGCACCGATTCAGGTTTGCATTCTGTCAAGCTCAGCCGGAGAGCAGATATTCTATAGCACCCTGCACGCTGCCTCCACTTCTTCGTAGCGCAGCCACATTGCGATCAAAATCAAAGAAGCCCATGTCGTTGAGCTGTCGAAGCTGCTCCTCGTACCGCTCCTCGGGCGGCCGGTTGTCAGGGGGTGCTGCCGGTGCTCCAGCACCGGCGCCGCCCATAGACTGCATCAGTTGTGACATTTGACGTAGTTGCTCTGGGTTCATGCCAAAGGGGTTGGTAGCGTCAGCTCCAGCTCCGGCTCCGGCTCCGGCTCCGGCTCCAGCTGCGGTTCCAGCTCCAGGGAAAAAGGCAGCAAAGGGGTTTTGCGCGTTAGCACGCGCACCCGCACCAGTGCCTGTCGTTGTAGCTCCAGCCCCAGCGCCAGCTTCACCTGGCCTGGCGGTTGGTGCTCCGGCACCAGTACCGGCTCCAAAACCAGCGGCACCCATGGCTTGCATCATGTCAGCAAAGCCCATACCGGGTATGGCGCCGGCGCCGAGGGGCCCTGAGAAGGGGTTCATAAAGGCATTCTGCGCCGCTTGTCCTTGTGCCTGCGCGCCGTTGCTGCTGGCATCGGCCGGGTTTTCGGGCGTGGTGTCGGTTGCGCCCGGCGCAGGGAAGCCCGAATCGCCTCCCCGCATACTGCGCTGCATGCGCATGGCGTTGCTGAGCATTGCTGGGTTGCTCATCATCTCTCTCATGAATGGCGAAGTGATGAGGTCGCGAGCGTTGGGCATGTTGCGGAGCATAGGGTTCGAGTCGATGAGCATGTTGACAAAGTCGGGGTTGCTGAGGGCTTCATTCATGCTCTGCTGAACGTTGGGGTCGGACATCAGCCGTGCCATTCGTTCCTCATCCATGGGAGGGCCCATCTGTTTCAAGGTGTTAGCTGGACGAGGCAATAAGGGACGTGTGCTGTGCTTGGGCTGGTGCACTACAAGATCAACTTACGCCACCGTCTGGACCAAACGCGTCCATACCGGGAAGATTCAGCTGGTGGCCAGCATACCGGGCACTAGTTAGGCTAGCGAGGGGGTTGTTGGCGGTTCCGGAGGCCATGTTTGTGGGCAGAGCCTGAGGCGTGGGAACACTAGTCGACGAGGCAGGCTGGGACTGGTTGCTGGCGGCACTCTTGACCATATGGATGATGTTGTTGGGCTTGATCTTGTATACGGCGAGGGCGTCGTCATTCTTCATGACACGACCAGAGTAGATGAGCCGTTGGCGTTCAACAGGGATCTTTTCAAAGTCGTCGCCAGCGAGCTTGGTCTTGAGGTCAATGACAGTGGCGCTCTCGGCCATTGTGAGGACGTGGGTGGTGTCGGCAGCGGTCTTGACCTTGAAGGTAATTTGGGCATCGCTGCCCGCTTCTGCGTTGCTGGCCATGACGCGGTGCGACGACGAAGGCGGTTGAGGGGGGAGAGAGAAGGTTGTTTGGGCGAGTTTGTTGGCTGGCGCACGACGAGGCGGGGTGAAGCGGGTGGAAGGGTGGGTGGAAGGTGAGAGGGACCGGAGTGGCCAACGAGCGAGCGGTGGGCGGGGCAGAGCAAGGAAGAAGGTCGGGTTGAACGAACTTCTGGGGGAGGAGCTTGTGGCCTCGGCGGCCAGACAGAGACGGACAAATATGCAGAGGCACAGTGCGAGAGGGAGCTCGGAGAAGTGATGTTCGTGTCAGGGGAAAAATACCAAGATAAAGTGCCCGAGAAGCGGAGGTGCATACATAGGTAGCTACCTAGTACCCAGGTACTGGTGCCGGTGGCGATCAGAGGTGAGAATGACGACGATACAAGAGGTTAGTAAAGAGCGGGATGGCAGTGGGCCGTTGTTCACGTTAGTGAGTTTTCTGGCGCTCAAGACGCTCAAGACCGCTGCAACTCCGTTAGCGGGTTGCTCGGATGCTGAGGCTCTTTCTTTCATCACATTCTAGGTACGAATTACGGATACATGGTACCTACATAACCAACTTTCAATGCAAACGCATGGGTACGAAAAGCTAAACCTTTTTTTTATTTTTAGACAACCGAAAACACGGTGAGGCGGGCATCGCCGCAGGCACAAGGTCAAGCAAGGTACAGGTGATAATCCGGGGCAATCATGCAAGCCTCACAGGCTCTCAGCCCGCTGTAGCGAGCTCTGAGCCCCTGTAGGTAGCCCTCCACACGCACGTCTCATCATGACGCCAACCCCTTCCATCCACATCTACAGTCTTCTCAGGCCCATCATTTACCTCTCAACTGTCAATCTATCAGCCTACCTACCTAGGTACTCAGGTACCTACCTACCTACCTAGGTAGGCACACGCCAGGAACGCAACCCAAGACAGTCATCATTCTCGTCATCAAATATCCAAATCCCTACCCTTTCACTATTGATAACTCCATCACTCCGGCCGCCGAGGCTGCTGCTCGGCACCCCAGCCGCCCCATCTCGGAAACAGATGCATCGCAAACTGTTTCACTTGAGCTTATCTTTACCTCGTCCAAAGTAAGAATCAGGCCCTAGTTCATTATTGTCAAACAGACGAAAACGTGATTGTGACCTGGCCTTGTAACTTAGTAGTCGCGCAACCCCCACAGCACTGTAATCTGTCCCCATCTAGGTCCGTAGGTACTTACTCCACTCCATCCACTCCAGTCTTCAGTTCAACCTCAACACCAAGCCAGACTCATCACGACAAAAGCTCACCATATCTATTCTCGTCCCTTCATCAATTCCCCTACCCCTAAATACGTCTTCGAGGAACCTCCAAACTAGCCCCCTGATCCTATCGAGCTCTCCCTGTCGTGAATAGTCAGAGTTCCGCTCCCACAATCATGCAGCCAGCATCATGATCCAAGGCATCTTCTACGCAAGGTTCTTTCCACAAGAGGGTACGCCGTGAATCCCTCCCTCACACACACCAGCCTCCCCGTACCATCCTCTAAACATCCGCCGCCCCTAGGCCCCAAGATCGTAGCCCAGTCACCCCCAGGATGCATCACCCCCGCCGAAAACTCGACTCGCCCGCCACTCATCGACTTTGACGTCCTCCAAGAGTACATCATCCCCCGTCAGGCCTTTTGCAACCGCTACGTCACCATCAACTCGCCCGACGGCAAGTACACCATCCTCTGCCACCCAGTCGTCATTGCGCACACTAAGTATCTGCGCAATGAGTTCATGTTCAACTTTGGCCTCCTCGTCGAGGCCGACGTCGACCACGCCGCCTACGAGCGCGTCGTCCGCTGCCTCGCTACCACCTTTTCCGAGATGGAGAAGCAAAACGAGTATCTCAGCCTGAGCCAGAATTCTCAGCCCGTCGCTGCTGCTGCCGCCGCCGCCGCCGCTGCAGCAGCACCAGCGACAGGCAGCCTGAGTGACAGCGACCATGCGTCCACCGCCCGCCGTCCCATTGAAAGTCTGCTCGAGATCATCAAGGAGGATCTCAACAATTATGGCGAGTGCATGATTCCTGTTGGTATGATCTTCTCTGCCCCCCACCCCGTCTCCCATTCATACGTCGTCTCTTTCTCACAACCCGCGCAGATGAAGCCAACACCATCAACATGAAGCTCTTTCCCCATCATGTCACGCCACCCCCCGTCAAGGGCTGGCACGTCCCCGTCGCCAAGACCAAGTTCGCCGACATTGTTGACCCGACCTGGGACCTGACCCTGCAGCGCGTCATCGAAAAAATTGACGGCGTCTCCGATGTCCGCCGCATCGCCCACGAGGCTTCCGTCTCTCTCGAGCTCGCCAAGACGGCCCTCCGCCACCTCCTCTACTACGACACCATTCTGCTCCTTGACATCTTCTTCTTCGGATCCTGTTACTCGCCCCGTCCTGGAATCCACGACTTTGTTGAGAACGTCGACGGCATGGTCGACGAATGCGCCGGCTACGTCTCCCATGGCGCCGCTCGCGTCAGCAACTTTATGCTCATCAAGCTCATGATGTCCTTTGGCCCCGGCAAGAGTGTCAAGGAGTGGCTCATGGCACACCAGGACTCCGGCTTTGATGTCATCAATTACGTTGACATTCGCCGCTTTGTCCAGTTTGGCGTCATCAAAGGCTGCCTCTACCGTGTCCACAAGTATGTCGTTTCCAAACAGTACATTGCTGCACTCGCCACCGGGCAGACCCGACCCGTCGACGACGACACCGCCGATCCGCTACAGAAGTACACAGACGGTTGTCACCACTTTGACCAGATTATAACGGAGCGCAATCTGACCAATGACGAAATCATTGACAAGCTGAAGCAGCTTCCCGTCCCCAAGGGCGATTTGGCCGTTTTCTACAGATGATATTGGTCAAATGTGCAACTCCACGCGTATTAATACGCATACTTCCACGACCAAGAAGATGTTGATTAAAAGCTAAATAATGTCCTGATTTATATTCGCCGTTTGATATGCCAATTAATGTACATTACATAGTCTTACAATATGGGGTTAATGTTTTACACGTGGGTCTCAACCACACTGGAGACTGACCCTTACTCTCCATTGCTTCACCATTCGTGCTCATCACCACGCGTGCGTCTCTCCTCCTTTTTATGCATGTGCGTCAGCCTGACGCGCTCGCGCACCTCGGTCTTGGTAGGCAGCTCAATGTCCGGATTGTTGGCCACCCTGAGACCCTCCTGGCGCCCCTTTTTCTTCAGCATCTTGTTGACCTGCGTCATGGTCAACGTCTTGCCGTCCTCGGCCGCCTGCGCGATGATTTCCTGCTTCCTGCGGCGCACCTCGCCTGTGTACGGCTCGCCCGGGTAGAACTCCCCGCTGGCCTTCCACTCCTCGTCGTCGACGAGCTCTACGATGCGCACGTTGTGCTTGCCCTTGCGCAGAATGAGCATGCGGTCGTCCAGAAGGAACTTGGATGTCTCCTCGGGGTACCACATCTTCATCGGCGTCCAGTTCAGATTGCCAGGTACGAGCCCGCGCTTCTGGCCGGGTTGGGCGGCGACATAGGCACCTTGCATCTTGACCAGACGCTGGCCTTCGGCGGCGCTGGGGGCTAAGCCGGTCGCAAATAGCAGCTTAGCGGGCGACAGCTTCATGACAGAGCGGGGTAGCTTGATGTCGCTTCGCGGTGCCGTGTTGGCGTTGATGATGCCAGAGCTTGCTGCCGGTTCCTTGACAATAGAGGGCAACTCGCCGCCGAAGCGGAATGAATGCTGCTGGGCCTCTTCCAGGGCCTTTTGCGATCCATGAATCAAGGACACGAATTCAAAAGCAAGGTTGTGCTGCGCGATGCGCTTCGCGGGGTCTGCATTGTGCTCCTCCATGATGGACTGGATCTTGGGCATGGGCAAGAAGGTGAAAAGCTTCAGCAATTTCTCTACCTCGTCGTCAGTTCGACGCATAAAGTATCCGTATAGTTCGAAGGCAGACGTCTTGAACTCGTCCAGCCAGATAGCGTTGCCTGCACTCTTTCCAAACTTGACGCCGGCAGAGTCTGTGAGTAGTGGTACAGTGAAGCCAATGGGGTCGTGCTGCCACCCCGACTCCATCCGCGCATACGGCGCTTCCTCTGTTTCTCGGATCGTCTTGAGCGACTCGATTCCCGACACAATGTTGCCGTACTGGTCAGAGCCACCAATCTGCATTTGCACGCCAATTTTGTTGTACATGTGCCAAAAGTCCCATCCTTGCAGCAAAGGGTACATAAATTCGCCCAGGGACATGCCGTCACCATCTGTCAGCTTGCGCTTAGCTGTATCTCGACTCAGCATGGGACCGATTCTAGTGTCCCTCGCAAGTCTCTTTATAAAGTCGTACAGTGTTAGGCCTTGCAGCCACATATTGTTGTTAAGCAGGCTCCTCTTAGCCGCCCAGTCGTCTTCGTAGCCGTACTTGATTCGCATCTGGACGACATTGTGCCACAGCTTGGATAATTGGTAATGGATTTTGGTGATGTTCTTGGATATGTCCGAGTTGGTGATATGCTCGCGACTTTGTAGACGGCCGGTAGGGTCGCCAATTCTTGCTGTCGAGCCACCAATAAGCGTCACGGCAGGATATCCATGAAACCAGAGCCAGAAAAGAGGCATGAGTGGCAGCATGTGGCCTACATGCAGAGAGTCGGCCGTGGGGTCAATTCCGACGTATGCACCGATTCGCTTGATTCGCATAACTTCCTTGATCCTGTCCGTGTTTCTGTTCAATGTATTTTGTCAGCCGCCTTGTTACTCAACGAGATACAAAACCTCTTGCGGGAGAAGAATGTGTACCCTGCGACATCCTTGATGTATCCTCGCTCGTCCAAAATGTCCCAGACGTGCCGTTGCTCTCCATTCTGAATCCGTTCCGCCCTGGCCTTCCAGCGCTCTTCTCCTTCCGCAACCTTTTTCAAATATGTCTGCGCAACGCCTCGAGTTTGCTGACTTTGTAGGAGAGACTGGCTGAGTTGGCGGGCCGCGCAGACCGAACTCGAGATTGGTCTTAAAGGGGCCAGTGCCGCGGCCGATAACCGGGCAGCCATGGTGCCGGCGGTGGCAAAAACGAGCGTTGTGGTCGACACGGTTCTGCGCCTTTGTCTCTATATACGCAGTTGTCGAGTAAGTCAACGGTCGTGGACAGCAATCCCGCGGCGCATGGAAAAGGTAATTCGATATGAGCAATTCGGACCAGAAAAATGTCTTGCCAGTGGAGCGGTCTTAGCGCAGTTCTCAAAAGCTTCACATGTTGGAGCCATTCAAGCGCAGTATCGGAGAAATATTCTTCCGCCGCCGACTCTCGGGAGCTAACCATCCAATCACAGTGCTCCTAAAGAGATCCTCGGCAATAGGTACATACATCCCAGCACACCATGAACCGCATCTTCCAAACCACCTCGACTTTGCCCACCCACGAGACAACCCGCCTCTTGTCCGGAACGCGCATCCATTGAGACAACCTACCCGACCGATTGTCAACTCCGAATATTCCGCGAGCGAGTCTGTATTGGTCGCCGCACCTTCACCATCCATCGTCCCTCTCTCGGCAAGACTCGGGCTGAGGTCATCGCGGCATTTCAATCTTCTCGTCACAATGGCTTCTATCATGCGTCCCTCCATTTTGCGACAGGCGGCTATCAGCCGCAGCGTCTTTTCTCAGCCTGCCATGCGCAATACCGTCCTCCGCGCCGCTCCTCTGCACACCACCACCAAGCGTCTTGCTATCCTCCCTCCCGGTCCCCGTAAGCAGTCACTCCCGACCCGGACCAGCGTCATACATTTTGGGGAGAGAATACTAATAGCTTTGTCATTACAGAGGTCATCCATGGAACAGGTACGAAATGCTCGACCAGGCGGAAATCACGCTCAATTGCGCTCTTGAGTGGTCGACTTAGACGCTCTCGACTATACACTAACGCAACGCTCTCTAGTCAATGACCCTGCGCCTGTTCCTCACGCCAATGCCGCCCACGGCTCCTATCACTGGGCTTTTGAGCGCCTCCTCGCCGCCTCTCTCGTCCCTCTTTCCATCGCTCCCTTCGCCTCCGGCTCTCTCAACCCCACACTCGACGCCATCCTGTGCTCGGCCCTCCTCCTACACTCCCACATTGGCTTCCAGTCCGTCATCATCGACTACATCCCCAAGCGCACCTGGGGTAGCCTGCACAAGTCCTTCATGTGGGCTCTGAACATCGCCACTGTCGCTGTTGGCGTTTCCTTGTACGAGTTTGAGACCAACGACGTCGGTGTCACGGAGGCTATTAAGCGTGTATGGAAGGCCAGCTCCAAGTCCGAGTAGATGGCCTTCGGAATTCGATACAGAACTACCCAATAGCGGAAGGAGTTAAGTTTAAAATAAGAGGCAAACTACTGGGTCTTGTTTCGTTTTCTTTGTCGAGAGGGTTTTTATGTGACTCGAGTCACATTGTATAGAATGGTCTACTACGCAGACGACACATGTATTTTGGTCCGTAACTAAATATATAACGGCCCTAGTTCCGTGGATACAGCTATTTTTTTAAGAGAACCTCCAATTCGCAATGGTGCACTTGCGAACAAAATTCACCAGCCACAAGACCATCCAGCGCAGCCGTGTTATCCGCACGTTGCGAAATTTCAAAAGTCTTCAGTATATCATTTGTTCGTTATATATCTCAAGGCTCATTTTTAGGCTTTTTTGTCATTTTGCTAGTTTCCTATTTTGCTATTTGCTATTCCATGACAGATGTCCATTATCCGTCTTGACAATTTGGTATATTTTCAGTTCGCTGCAATTCATGCATACACTTCTTCCGTTACTGTTTGACCACATCGAACCCGATACGATATCGTGTTGAACGATATCCGGGTTGAGATTATCTTGGTGTAGTGTTGGACTACATTAGATCTCGAGGCTGGTAATCTCGTGGCTGCCGACGCGTTCCAACTCAGGAGTGGGAGGGCGGAGATGGTCTACCTTGGTGCAAATCCAGCAACTAGCATACATGTTGACGCGGTCAATGCAAGCACCATCACGGCGGCCACCGTGGCACTTGGGGACGAAGCCGTGGGCTTCAAAGACTTTCAGGTACCAGGGCTCCAGGGCGGAAGAACGCAGCATGACGCGACCGCCAATAGCGAGAGCGCGGTTAAGCTTCGTGACCTGCTTGTTGGCAGCCTCAGAGCCAGGGTCAAACCAATCCATGCTGTCCATGACAACTGCAACGGTGAGAGTACCGGGCATGATGCGAGCAATGACCTCCTCAAGCTCATCGGTGTGGATACGAAGGCCATCAAGAGCGCCAGGGCGGGAAAGTTTTGCGTGGACTTCTTGGTCGAGGTAACGGAGATGGCACTTGGGAGAGAATTGACCGGCAAGACAGACGTAGTAGTAAGGATTATCGGCGCCAATGTGAGTCTCTTCACCAACCGGATCAAGGGTGTTGACCATGTAGTGCCAGATGGCATGAGAGCGGGTGTTCTTGGCCTTGGGTTTGGGGCCCTTGACCAGGTCAGACTTGGCATGATCATTCTCAATCATGGCGAGCTGGTTCTTGGGAACACCCAGCGCAGTCCACAGGAAGCTTTCCTGGGCAACGACGAGGTTGGACACAAGCTTAGATAGAAGAGCAGGGCGGATTTTGTTTCTCCAGATCTCACGCTGCTCGTTCAGAGTCTTGGTAGCGAGAACCTGGTTGACCGCTCCCCGGATACCAAAAAGGCGACAAACCCAGCGCATGGCACGGATTGCGTGGCGAGAACCTCCGGTGTCGTAAAGGCCATAGGTACTTTGGAACACGTGCACATTCTTGAGCCAGTACTGGAAAGCGCGGCTGGAGAGGTGGGGAGAAAGTTTGGTGATGAGTATTGTGCGGAATTCAGAGTGCTTGCCCTCGCCAAAAATCTTCCAGAAGTCCTCGTAGGGGAGCGCAGTGTAAGCGGCGGCTTTGAGCTCGAGAAGATGATTCTGGGTGGGGTTGAGATCGACAGCGTGAACACGAGCAGGGCTTTGGGCTAGGTAGGCCAGAATATTGTCACCAGCAGAAGTAATAGCAAGAACCTTGTCGTCAGGACCAAGCTTCAGAATGCGCTCATCGACACGGGCATCCTCCCAGGTGAAGGCATAGATGTATTCGTCGTTGAACTGCTTGTGCTTCTGGAGCTGGTCATCGTAGTAGATGCGCCAGTGGTGGTTCTGGTAGAAGAAGGCAGGCAGAGGCAGGTTGGCAGAGAGATTCTGAATGGCAGTGAGGAAGGCCTTGGAGCGGATTTCGGGAGCGGATCTCTCAATGGCGCGGGTCAACGCATCACTCTGGTTAACGGGGTATAGATACGGCGACTCGGTGGCATATGCGTCAATTCGCTCGAGAATCTCGTGAGGCAGGGCAGTCTTGGAGAAGGGCTTCTTTTGGCAACCAACCCAAACGTAGTAAGGAATGTAGCCGAGGCTGCGGTTGCGGGCGTTGAGGTTGAGAATGGTTCCGTACTTGTACTCTAGGTAGTCACGACGTCCCGACTCGAGTGCAACACGGTCAAAGTCGAACCAGGCACGCCAGAACATGCGCGAAAGAGCATTGACATGGCGATCGATGTATCCAGCGGTGTAGTTACGGAAAGAAAAGTCGGACTGGTTCTGAACGTAGAAATCAACGACACCGAAAACACCAGAGGGGGAGAGGAGAGAGCCGATGGAGTCGACAACAGAGTAGTAGTCCGGCTATTTTACATGAATTAGTCATTGTCGACTCAGAATACAGTGTCAAAACTCACAATCATGGACAAGCTGTAAGACAGGGTAACCAGATCGGCACCGCCGTGCTCAGGGCGCTGCTGCTTGAAGTAGCTCAGCGCAGGGGAGCGAAGCAGGTTCTGCGCGGCGGGCATGCCGTCTTCGTAGTCTTCCAGGCGGAACTTGCGCGCATCCTGGCAAACAACGGTGACGTTCTTCCAACCCAGACGCTCAAAACGCTTGCGGGCGACTTCACAGAGGGAGGGAGAGAAATCGACCAAGTAGACGCTAGAGAAGAATTCGGGGACATTGACGTGCTCGCCCATGGCTTCGATGTTCCAGCCAGTGCCGCCGCCAATCTGTGAGACGAATATTAGTGATTGTTCATAGGCCGGGTATGAGAGGGCCCAGGAAGACATACATCAACCCAAATTCTCTTTTCGGTTTTACCCTTTTCAGCGTCTTTGGGAGATTGAAACTTGGCCTTGAGCTGGGCGACAACCAGAGCGAGCATGTCCTCGCGACCGCGGAGAAGGATGCCGCGAGTGGTGTCGTAGGCTCCGGCCTGTCTCTTGTAAAAGCTCTCGAGGGCATCTTGCTGGGAAGCCTTAGATCCACCCTGGTGAGGCTTGAGAAAGGAGGAATAAAAGAAGAGAAAGAAGGACTTGAGGAATCCGGGAGAGGACGCGTCCTTGTCGTCGACGGTAGACCTGCCGAGGGAGAAGAGGCAAGCTCCGCCGAGGAGAGCAACAGCTATGCCAGCATAGTGCATAGGCTGCAAGTCAAAGTCAGTGCCAAACGGCAAAATGTTACCACCCTATTGATGCAGAAATAAGTAGTTAGCACGTGAGGTTAGGAGGGGGGAAGACAATGGACTGAAAGCAGCGTACATGAAAAGCCATGGTATTCTCTCATTGTCTTGTGAGAGAATACTATGTGGAAGGGGTATACAGCTCGGAGCTTGTTGAAGTGCTCAGAACTGTCAGCAGAAGAATGCGTTGAGTACGGAAAGCGAGAAAGGTGAGAAATCAAGGCGGGCCAGAAAGCTGCCCCTCGTCGACGGTGGCGTATATATACGGAACAGGGTCTGTCTTGTGCGTGCCTCGACTTTCCACTCTAGACAAGGGGACACATGCTTCCTCTGGGAGCAAACCGGCTATGATGCTACACCGCGGGGACCAGGCCCCTCTGATTCCTGGAGAGGATGGCAGACAGACCCGCAGCGACGCGATGCTGTGACTTGGTAACTACATGAAGTGTGCGTGTTAGTCGGACACGAGGGGCAAGTTTGGCTGTCTGCTGCCGTGTAACGCCGCCTAGAGCAGGTAAAAGACACCCCGCCTCCGGAGTCTGTCCCCTGCAACATGACGGCGGTGTTGGGAAGGGAGGCGGGTTTGGCATGGCGTGGACCAATGGCTGGGCCACATGCTGGACAACGTGCTGCATGGATGCACATTGATGGGGCGGTTGCAGAGGCGCATAGTCTGCTACCGTCTTTGTTGAGCCTAATAACAGTACAAGAGTCGCCGGTAACTAGTTAGTGACACTGACAGTGAACAGACAGAGGAGACATATTGCAGTGTGGGTGGGCCAGAGGCGGAGGAGGCGGTTGGATGTGCATCGTTGTATGGCGATCGCAGAGAGCTCACTGCCCAAGATTCTGGAGCTGCAACTGCCAGGTAGTATTTCCACAGGGACGCTTCTCCACAAGGCGGGCTCCCACGGTTCAAGAAATGGGCAGCCAGTTAGATACCGGAGGAGATCGCGACCGCTAGGCGGTGGGTAAGAGCTCGGGCTTGACGGGCAGTTGCGGAGGGTGGAGAGACGCTGGGGGCTGAGCAGCTGTCTGATTGAAAGCAGCAAGCCGAAGTCACTTGAGTGAGAACTTGGAAGAGACGAGGTCGTCTAGAGGCCTTGTCAGTCAGCAGTCAGTCCGTCCATCTGCAAGTCTCCCCAAACCCTAACTACAGCAACAACCACAGGCGACATGACCACCTCGCGTCTTCTTCGTCCAGCTCAACAAAGCCCCCAATTTACCTTTTTACATTGCTCCCACTCAATTGCAACAAACTCACCCGCTAGACCCTCCACTAAGCCGGCCCCATCCGCCCAATAAGATGCATCGACCCACGCACATGCGGCTACGCAGTGGACGGTAGACGCCAGCAGATGTATTGGTAGGCTTTCTCTTGTTTTCTAGTCAGGCCTATTGTTGATTGAGCCATCCTTCGGATCAGTAAATGGAGACGACAATACTTATCCCTTTGCGTACGTATGTAGGTATCGAGAGACTGCCGTTTTAGCTTGTGACAGCCCCGCCATTGTCTCGTCAGTAAAATATATCCCGCAAGGGTTGCACGCAGTCCAAGACAATTAACCAATGAGGCGGTTCCTTTAAAACGCCAGTGCATTGTTGGGAACCTCTGCAGAAGCCTGCTTCCTGCAACCTACGCGTGTCCAGGGGCTCCAGCGGATCCAGGATTGGGCTCAACTGCGACCTCGCGTGAGCAATTTCCATGTAATTTAGGTCCATTTGCCAGTGTCATCAATTGATGTTGCACGAGTTGGATTTATTGATTTCAGTGGCTGTGGTTTGATGCTCTTGAATGTTGTGCAACGTAATAACCTGGTTATCACCAACATTTTGACCACGACGCGCCTCGGCCCCCATGACGTAGGACAGCCGGCATTGTATCCCTGCAAGAATTCCCATGATACGGGCGCGAGTTGTCAAATTTAGCAGTAAAAATCCGGGCGGTCTTTCCCTTTCTGCAGTCATCTTTCTTTTTTCTCAAGACCAGACATTACGAGCACTGGCTCGAGACGGGTGTTGTTGCAAGTTACTGCGTGTTGCTACTCCCTGCATTCGGCGGATCAATAATCCGTCTCCGCCCTAGCTCGGCTCTTGTTCGTCACCAATCACCGTTCAGGGCGCGCCACTCGCATTCTCGGACACGGCCAACCATATCATCAATTGTCGCCTCAATTTTATCAATAGTGTATCCATGAAGCTCTGGCGCTGAGCCAGTCTTGCGCCATAATGGCTCCGGGATCCAGCCAGAAGGGAACAAGCAAGAAAAACGCCGCGATGCAAAAACAAAGCCGAAATTCGACCCCCGCGCCGACCGCGACATCGTCACTGCCGCCGTCGGAGTTTTACGACCCCGACTACCTCAACACCCGTGTTATCCTGTTCGCAAACCTCAGCTACGATGATCTAGTCGACCATGGAGCCTCCAATGCCACCGTCCCCGACTCCAAGACGGTGGATGGCATGCTCGAGAAGCTCAAGAGCCTGACGAACATCATGGAGAAGCGCTCCACTTTTTACGATCGCGGCATGCGACATCTAGCAGACGAGCGTAAGAACCGCCCGGATGACTTTGATCGAATGCATGCCGATGGAGAGAATGAAGGCAAGAAGTCGAAACAGAAGCGCAAGAAGGGCGACGGTCATGACGGTGGTAAGGCCCCCCAGTCTTGCAGAGTACTGCGTCGCAAAGCTGGCGCATCCAATGCGCAATTACTAACGTTGACAATTTGCCACAGATCAGTCCTCCCCGGTCCGAGACTCGAAGCAAAGACATACCCGAGGCGGTTCCGGCAGCTCCTCTCTGTCTCCAAATGCCGCTGGTTCCCCGTCTGCCATGGACGTGGACAAAAAGGCCAAGAAGGAGAAGAAGGAGAAAGATGGGGAAGGGGGAGAGGAAGACGAATCCAGCTCCGAGGATGAGGGCGCACCTCCAAAGCGAGAAATGCCCGCCGCGCAGACCTTTGGTGAGGACCCTAGCACATTTCCTGACCCGACAGTATACGAAATTCGTGACGTCTACCCTGGCATGCCAGAGAAGTTACGAAAGGAAATTTACTCGGTTGCCGTCTACCCACCAAGCGACCTTGCAGATTTGATCGCAGGTGATCCTCCCGACAAGGATTTTAGCAACGCAAAGCCCAGCAGTCAAATCAACTTTACAACATTCAACACATATATCGAGCCATTCTTTAGACCCTTTTCCGAGGAAGATCTTGCCTTCTTGCGAGAGCGCGGGGACCGAGCCTCACCATTCGTTATGCCGAAACGAGGCAAGCGACACTATACTGAGATTTGGTCTGACGAGGACGGGTCCATGTCTGTGGATTCACCTCAGCAAGGACGAGATAAACTCTCGCCTAATGTCTCGCGCGGCACCATTGAGAACATGAATGACGCTGTAGCTGAGACTGATGGGCTCTCTATTGGCCCTCTTGCGTCACGGTTGTTACAGGCTCTGCGTCCTGAAAATCGCCAGCAGGCAACGGAAGAAAAAATCGGTGCTAACGGGGTCAACGGCGACGTGAGCATGAACGGCGATGGTGACGACCATGGACCTGTGAGCGACGACAAGTCCCTAGCTCCAGCTACATACATGGCGGAATCTTCTACAGACGCGTGGAAAAAGGCAGTGCATCCAAAGCTGGAATATACGCAAGTTGAAGAACGTCTCAAGCAAGAACTGAGACACATTGGGTTTCTCCCTCCGGAGGGAGATGCCGACTATGATGGGCACTTTGACGACGAGGTCGCGGCCCGACTGCGAGTGCTGCAAACGCGCCTCAAGGAGCAGATGCTCATCAACGGTGCTCGCAAAGCGCGGCTGACGGACCTCGTGCGCGAGCGCATGGCGCACCAGGAATACCAGACGATTCTAGAGGATCTAGACTCTCAAGTACAGGCCGCCTACCTGAAGCGAACTCGCACTATGGGCAAGAGCAAGAAGGCAAAGCGGCCTGGTGGTGCAGGCGGTGGCAGTCACGCAGCCGGGGGTGCCGCGGGCATGGCGCGCCCGGGGATTGGCGACCTGACCAAGACGCTGATGGAGCGCCGACGACGCTGGATAGACACGATCGGGTCCGTGTTTGAAGACGAGAGCGTGCGGAAAGTTCCGCGCGTGGAAGACGAAGGCAGCTCCATATTCAAGTCGTCTATGATGGCAGACCTCATAAAGAAGGAGAAGGAGCAGTGGGATGAAGATATAGAGGAGGAATAAACTGGACAGCGAAACGGGGGGGGGGGTCTGGCAGCGCCGCGAATGAAGGCCCAAGGAGGCCATGTTGTTTAATATGAGTATTATAAGGGCGGCAGTGCGCCGGCCGTGGCGTTTTAGAGGATATCATGACCATGATTCAATTCCAATGGTTGGGCTGGCAGAGGACTTGTTCGGAGTTGGCGGATGCCCTTGGGTTGGGCTCTTTGTTCTTGTAGCATGTCTTGCAGCAATCAACGCTACTTGGGTGGATGCCAGGTTGGCTTCACAGAGGATACGACGGATTCTCGGCCTGTCCGTGTGACTGTTGCGTGACCAACGCGGCAACTTGCCATCATGACAGACGTACTGATGGTTACCCGTGGTACGAAGACACGAGGCCAGAAGGTACGCTGTGATGGTGCTCTGGTGATACCTTGTGGCTTGGTGAGGGATGCTCGACGGGCGAGGCAGCAAATCATACATGGTTCTGATGAAGCTAGACAACACATAGGTTGTATTGGAGGGATGTTTCACGCGTGCAGTAGCATCGAGTAGCTCGCAGGCAAGTGTGAGCCAGGTTGAGAGCTCGCTTTGCCGTATACCAGGTGCGGTGTCGCGGTGTGTGCGCATCGCCATGGGCCTCCACGGCACTGCAGCCGCTGACGAGCAGCAAAAAAAGCAAATAGAGTCAATTCTCGACTTGGGATGACATACGACCCCATTCCTACACGAACGTCGGCAGCTTCAAACAAGAGGGAAGAAGTCGTTGACCGCCCGTTGGCTTACAACGGCCCATGTACCAGGTATTACTGGTACCTACCTGCTGTCTCGTCTCGCCCAGACATGTCTTTTTTTTGGTCCTGCCTGGGGAACAACGTTGGACCCTGCAGCGCCACGGCAGCACAGCGTCCGATGGGAGACAAGCGGGTGGTGATTCAGCTATAATTTAGTTAGTAGGGTTCAGGTCGTTGGGCGGCGTCGGAGGGGGGAGTGACGTCGTTGCATGGCTGAAGCTGTTGGGGATGAGAGCGCATGGGCATGATGCAAGTTTCACAGGTCTCAAGTGTCATCTGAAAAGACAGGTCGCTAGGCTGACCATCCGGTAGCATAGTAAGAAATTATAAAGACAACTTTGGCGAAACGGGAAATTTTACTGCAAGTCGGTTCACGAACTGTCGAGTACTGGTCAGTGAGTTGTCACTGGTAACTAAAAGATGAAAAAGAACTACCAGATCAAAAAGAGCCGCACCAACGAGCCGCACTAGTGGAATAGCCGGCCAGGGTTGCCCGTGTAGGAATAAAGCCAAGGTCTATTCTCGCGGCCACGTCCGGGACGAAATGTGCGGGGACTCGACGGGTTGCCGGCCGTGTTATAGAGAATCAATAATAGACGCGGGAATTATTGAAAAGATGGGCGTCGCGTGCCAAAGATGTCCTGGTCGGCCCTGCAAAATGCTGCTGGCTGCTGTGCGTCAAGCAAGCCCCCCAGCCTCGTATCAGTCGACTTATCAGAGTATCGATTTTCTGCTCTTCCCCCCCTCCTACTCATGCTCCTCCTCCCAGTCGACTTGTTGCTGGGAGAAAAAGAGACAAGACAAGGGCAAAAATGGAATAGTCGGGGCCACCGAGTTGTTGGAGACGGGCGTGCCGTCCGAGGTAGCGCCTCGTCTAGTTCACAAACTATGTACCCAAGTTAGTTAGCTCTCACAGGGTTAACCAGTTCTGGCACAACCCAAGAGGGACAGACAGTTCTTATCTCTTTATCTCTGGGGAACCCTTGTCCGAGTTACGCTGCAGGACGGGTTCCCCCAGAGCACGGCTACTCGGCTGAGGTTCTAGATTGTTCAATGGGGAGTTGTTATCTCTCTGATAGAAGGAGACGGCCACTACGGCCCTCTCTCTGGTGGCTATCTGGTGGCTATCTGGTGCCGTCTCTTCCACAGCCTCTTTGTCTTGTAGCTTTCCATGTTGGATTAAAGATGGGACGTCCCCTTCATCCCTTGTCCCTTCTTGTTTCTTCCCATCTGTCGTCTCTTTCCCCAGACTTTTGGCACTTTTTGCTGCTTTTTGCTCGCCGTTTTACTCCCATCCCCATTGAGAGCGCAGGCATGCACACCCTGGCTGACGTCTTCCCCATTCGGAACACTCGACACCAATAGGGCAGGCGAACCAGCCCACTAACACGGCAGACACAATGCACCTTGTACCCAAGGAGGTAGGTAGCCAAGCGTTTTTTTGCTTACTCTTTTTCTTTGACCGTGGTTGTGTCTAGTACGAAAAGAAGAGAGGCTAACTGACATTGGGGGATACCAGCTCGACAAACTCGTCATCACTCAGCTTGGTCTGCTCGCACAGCGGCGGTTGGCACGAGGAGTCAAGCTCAACCATGCCGAGGCCACGGTACGTACTGGTACATACAAACATACCTAGTTGGCGCTGTTTTCTTATCTTTTGGCACCCACCCGCTACCCCCCGTGGCGCTCCGAATGTCGGGGGACGCAAGCGACTTGGACAAAGAACCCCCTACGTTATCTGTCTATATCCACTCCCTCGCGACAAAAATCCAATTGAATTGTCGGAAAATGCGACTAACATGTGAGCCCTCGATCGGCAGGCCCTGATTGCCAACAACATTCACGAGCTCATCCGCGATGGCAACCACACCGTCGCCGACCTCATGGCGCTCGGCGCGACCATGCTCGGGCGGCGGCACGTCATCCCCTCGGTGTGCCACACCCTCAAGGAGATCCAGGTCGAGGGCACCTTTCCGACGGGCACGTACCTGGTGACGGTGCACAACCCCATCAGCACCAACGACGGCGACCTCGCGCGCGCGCTCTACGGGAGCTTCCTGCCGGTGCCGCGCGACGCCGACCGCCTCTTCCCCGCGGCGCTCGACCCGGCCGACTTTGCGCCCGCGCGGCAGCCCGGCGCCGTCGTGGCCGTCAAGGGCGACAAGATCACGCTCAACGCCGACCGCCGCCGCATCGCCCTGCGCGTCGTCAGCGAGGGCGACCGCCCCATCCAGGTCGGCTCGCACTACCACTTCATCGAGACGAACCCGCAGCTCGTCTTTGACCGCGCCCGCGCCTACGGTTTCCGCCTCGACATCCCCGCCGGCACCTCGTACCGCTTCGAGCCCGGCGACGCCAAGACCGTCACCCTCGTCGAGATTGCCGGCCACCAGGTCATCCGCGGCGGCAACGGCCTCGCCACCGGCGGCGTCGAGCGCTGGCGCGTCGACGCCATTGTCGAGCGCCTGCAAAAGGCCGGCTACGCCCACGCCCCCGAGCCAGAGGTCAACGGCGTCGTTGCCGGACGCCGCCGCGCCGCCGCCGCCCGCGTGCCCCGCCCCTACCGCATGGACCGCACCGCCTACACCGTCATGTTCGGCCCGACCACCGGCGACCGCGTCCGCCTCAGCAGCACCGACCTCTGGGTCAAGGTCGAGCGCGACTACACCACGTACGGCGACGAGTGCAAGTTTGGCGGCGGCAAGACGCTGCGCGAGGGCATGGGCCAGGCGTCGGGCCGCCCCGACGCCGACTCGCTCGACCTGGTCATCACCAACGCCCTCATCATCGACTACACGGGCATCGTCAAGGCCGACATTGGCGTCAAGAACGGCATCATTGTCGGCATCGGCAAGGCCGGCAACCCGGACGTCATGGAGGGCGTCTCGCCCAACATGATTGTCGGCAGCTGCACCGACGTCATTGCGGGCGAGAACAAGATCATTACCGCCGGCGCCATCGATACGCATATCCACCTCATCTGTCCGCAGCAGGCCCAAGAGGCGCTGGCGTCGGGCGTGACGACGTTTCTCGGCGGCGGAACCGGTCCAAGGTACGACGACATGTTTCCACTTTGTCACTTTCCCCTCCCCCCCTCTTCGTCAGAAGACAATTCCCGCTAACACGTTCGCAGCGCCGGCTCCAACGCCACCACCTGCACGCCCGGCAAGCACCTCATGAAGCAGATGCTGCAGGCGTGCGACGCGCTGCCGGTCAACGTGGGCATCACGGCCAAGGGCAGCGACTCGGCGCCCGAGGCGCTCCGGGAGCAGGTGGCGGCCGGGGCGTGCGGGCTCAAGATCCACGAGGACTGGGGGGCGACGCCGTCGGCGATCGACACGTGCCTGAGCGTGTGCGACGAGATGGACGTGCAGTGCCTGATCCACACGGACACGCTCAACGAGTCGGGGTTTGTCGAGTCGACGATTGCCAGCTTCAAGAACCGGACGATCCACACGTACCACACCGAGGGCGCGGGCGGCGGGCACGCGCCCGACATCATCTCCGTCGTCGAGCGCGCCAACGTGCTGCCGTCGTCGACGAACCCGACGCGGCCCTTTACGCGCAACACACTCGACGAGCACCTCGACATGCTCATGGTCTGCCACCACCTGTCCAAGGACATCCCCGAGGACGTCGCCTTTGCCGAGAGCCGCATCCGCGCCGAGACCATTGCCGCCGAGGACGTCCTGCACGACACCGGCGCCATCAGCATGATGAGCTCCGACTCCCAGGCCATGGGCCGCTGCGGCGAGGTCGTCCTGCGCACCTGGAACACGGCCCACAAGAACAAGCTGCAGCGCGGCTGCCTGCCCGAGGACGACGGCACCGGCGCCGACAACTTTCGCGTCAAGCGCTACGTCAGCAAGTACACCATCAACCCGGCCCTCGCCCAGGGCTTTTCCCACCTGGTCGGCAGCGTCGAGGTCGGCAAGCTGGCCGACCTTGTCGTCTGGGATCCAGCCTGGTTCGGCACCAAGCCGCACCAGGTGATAAAGAGCGGACTCATTGCCTGGTCGCAAATGGTATGCTTTTTCCCCTTGTCCTTTGCCAGTTCTCCCCTTTTTTTTTTGGTTGCCTACGCTATTAGGCAATAGAAATGTAAATATACGCAAAGAAAAACAAGAAAAAAAAGCTAACAAGGAGCGATCCAGGGCGACCCCAACGCCTCCATCCCCACAGTCCAGCCCGTTATCGGGCGGCCCATGTTTGCCTCGTTTGTGCCCGCGGCCAGCGTCGTCTTCGTGTCGCAGGCATCCGTCGCCTCGGGGGCCGTCGCCTCGTACGGCTTGCGCAAGCGCGTCGAGGCCGTCCGCGGCTGCCGCACCGTCGGCAAGGCCGACATGCGCTTCAACGACGCCATGCCCAAGATGCGCGTCGACCCGGAGAGCTACACGGTCGAGGCCGACGGCGAGGTGTGCACTGCTGAGCCCGCCGAGACGCTGCCGCTGACGCAGTCGTGGTACGTGTATTGAGCAGCGCGGTACGTCTGTGAGGAACAGAACAGGAAGAGCAGGTTTATCCTTGGGTGGCGACCTTTTTTTCCTTTTTTTTTATGACATGGCATGGTTAGCGAGTTTTGTTAAAATTGGAGGAAATACCAACTAGATTTGTGAATGTATATATTTGAATTTCCACCACTCAATCAACACGACGCCAGTTAGAGTTCGCTAACAAAATAGCTTCTCACCCATTGACTTTCACATACCTAGGTAGCTAGCTACCTAACTAACTTAGTATTGTCATTATTCCTGATTTATTTTATTTATTTGATAAGTATTATTCCTGATTTACCCTAAGTGGACTTGCTAAGTCCTTCTAGAAACTCAATCAATTTATGACTGCAGGAAACCCCCGTAGGTAGGTAGCTAACTATGAGAATCTCAGTGGTACATGTACGTGGAGTTCAAAAATAGTCATATTTTCATTACAGGGCATTCTCGACAACCAGAATGCTCCCGCCTAGATACAGTCGTCAAAAAGGTTCGTAGCGAGCCTTGCCAAGATACCCTGAACCAGAGATATTTCTCTCCTTCCCGCCATACTTCGCGCCAAAAAAAAAACAAAAAAAGAACAAAAGACAAAAGACCGCAAGAATGAGAACAGACAGGAAAAAATTACGAAACCCTTCAGTCTTGGTTTCGCACGCCAGCGTCTTCCAGGCCCAAACCGGCTGCACCGCCCAGGACAGATAGATATAGTAGAAATGATGAAGAAGCGAAGATAGCAGACCCGCTACACGCGTTGCAATGCCACAGGACAGAAGAGGGACATGATTAATACAGCGTAGGACACATGGCGGTGGAAATGGGGCCGGCATGATTCGCTAACAGTCGTGAAGGATATGTCGACGATGCACGTGTTGGTTCCTCACTAGCAGTTCATGGCACTGACAGAGCGTTGAAAAGAAGCGTGGGGACAAAAAGTAAAGAATTCATAAAAAAAGCATGTCCCGTGGCGAGGTGGGTTGCGCGTGGGCCATTCCGTATTTATTTCTTGTTTTTGCGAGCCGACTTCTTGGTGTCGTCCTTGTCGTCAGGTGCCTTGGTAGACGTACGCCGACGCTTCTTGTCGGGGCTAGCAGGACCGCCCTTGGGGGTCTCGACCTCGGTGACTGGAGCATCACTCTTGCGCTTGCGGCCGCTTGCGGGCTTCTTGGGAGTCTTGGCCGAGTCATCCTGCAGCAGCTGCTCGGCAATGGCGGCCTGAACATTCTCCGTCTTGGAAGCATCCTTGAGATCAGGCATGGGGATACTGAATTCCTCGGCGTACTTGAGCGCGTCCTCATCCGTCATGTTCTTGGCGTTCAAGTTGCCGCCCTTGTAAGAGTGAACACGGGCGTTGTAGAGTCGCAGGTTGTATTGGTAGGCATTGTTCCAGCCCTGCTTCTCATGAGGAGTCATGTTGGCCCAGCGGCGCTGGCCCTCCTCCTGAACGGCACCCTTGGGGGCCTCAGTGCCCAGGTCATTGGCAATAATGGAGCGGGCATGCTGCATGTAGAGAAAGTACGGAGTGAGGGGGCGTTTAGGGGCGTTGGGGTCGTGGGTGCGCTTCTTCCGCTCCTTCTTCTCCTCTGCAGGGGGCCCAGCGAGATCACCGACGGGAAGCATGAGCTGGGCAGCGGCAGCGGCAGGATCAAAGCTGTTGATCAGCTCGTTGACATCGCCTTGCTGCTCGCCCAGAAGCAGGCTAGTCTGGCGGATGTAGTCATTGGTGAAGGAGCGGAGAAGTTCCAAAATGGTAGATAGACGATTGACAGCCTGGGGATTGTAAGCCATTGTTCAGAGAGTAAGAAACGGAGAATGGCGCGCGCGAGGGGAGGAACAGCTGTAGAGGGGAACGAGAGGGAGGGAGGGCAAATGGCAAATGAGGAAAAGACACACGAGACAGCAGCGCTGGCTGTTGTGCAGGTGCAGGTGCAGGTGCTGGAGCTGGAGCCGGAGCTGGCCGCTGATGAGGAGCGTGAATGAGGGTGAGGACGAGGGCGAGGATGAGGGCGAGGGTGTACAGGCTCACAGGGCCTTCCGTGGCTATCAAGTAGTAAAGTACCTGCGCCGCCTCACAAAGGCCAGAGCTTTCAGGCGGGTAGATGGTAGATGGTAGATGGTGGATGGTGGGGGCCACGCGCTGGGGCTTGACTGTTCGCGCCGCCCATGTAAACAATACAGAGTGCACAGTCGCGTCCCGTGCCAGCGGTCAAGCAACCGAAAACCTGGTTTGTGTGCATCCAGACGCGGGATTTGTAAAACGGGTGTAACATTGCTTGCAAATTCCAAAAGAAAAAAAAAGAAAAAAAGGACACCTGTACCCAAGTGGACGCCGCTGGCAGCTCGGCAGCAAGAGCTTCGCCTTGGAGCAATGGCGCGCCAGCAGCTGCTGTAGCTACCTTAGTAGCTACCTGCTAAAGCTGCGCCGGCGCGTCCATCTTGTTTACACGCAGAGCGGCTGGCGCGTACTAGCAGGGCAGGTGAAGAAAGGCAGAGACGGGACATTCAAATACACGCGCAAAACCGGCCAAGGCAAAACAAAAAATGAGGCTACTCACAGAGTCGCGGACACGCATGAAGCTCTCGTTATCAACCACGCGAGGACCGGTGGTCGGGTTGGCGGGAGGCGCAATGCCCGTAATGATAGGCGGCATCACCATGGTCGGAGCTACGACGACTCCCTTGGGCTTGTCGTCGACCTTCTTGGCGGGGCGAGGCATCGTGAAAAATGTTTCTTTGTGTTGATGGTGCAGTGCAACAGTGGTTGCGGAAATGTACAAGCCAGGCCGGGCGACAGGGATGAGCGTGGCGGTTGCTGAGCTTTGCGTAGCGGTGTTGAGGCACGGGATGTGGCTCTGTACTTGAACAATAACAGAATAGCCGTTTGTTGCGCGAGTTTGTGAAGAAGGCCTAGAATGAATGTCCACTGACGCGATAGCGGGAAGACACTGTTGACAGGCCGTTTGGTGATGGTGGAGCTGGGAGGTTTGGTGATTTCAGCGACGCCTGGGGGGAGGGGGATCAGAGGGGTGCTGGAAAATTCGTCAGACAGCGAGTGATTTGACGAGGACAAAAAAGAATTCAAAAGTCGGGGGGCTGAGGGGGGGGGCTTTAGTACCAGGTGGGTGCCGCGCGAATTAAGTATTTTTCAGGCAATCAGCTCTGCCCAGCAGCGGGTCGACCTGGTTTGTTGTGTTATGCGCTGATATTTGGGGGGGGGGGCGCGACGTGAATCAGCTGGAACTGGCGTTGGGAGGCCCTACGAATTAGAGGCAACTAATTTTGGGGCTTGTGTAGCTCAAGAAAATTCTGCCCAGCTGCTCATTGCTGAGCGCCATGAGGTAAGGTGTGTAGGGACCTGCTAACTGCCCACTGTTCGCCTCCCACCTCTCTTGATCCTCACCGCCGCTCCATACCACTGCTTTACCTTACCTTCTTATATCCTAGGTACATACTTGGTTCTAACTCTTGTTTATGCCTTATTAGCACCTCCTCTAGGCCTAAGGACAATCAGCCGCCGCATTTGCAAAGTCAATTGAGAGGGCCCTAGCCTACCTACTAAGGTGCCTACTAGTAGTCCTCTTCGCCTCCCATTTGGCTGCCCGCCGCTACCGGCCCTCACTGTATGACAGAGCCCGGCGCGCTCCTGCAGCTGCCCAGCCGCAAACAGCAGGTGGCACTATAATAATAAAGACGTGCACTACGACTCGCTAATTCGCTTACCGAGGTGCTGGCTTACAGGACCTACCCCACTACCTGCAACAGCATAAATTGCCTTCCATGTTTGTTTTGCACTGTTGTTTTGGGACAAGTTGCCAGTGCAAAGTTGCAGCGACCTCGCTACATTACTTCCCCGTGTAACATGCCCCGAGCCGTCCTCATCTGCTTGTCAGGTCGCTCTCAGCCATCATCTTGCCCGCATCACGCCCTGTTTTCCACTGACCTTATAAGCCCGCGTCCAGGTCCCCGAACCATCAGTGCTGGTCTGGTTGTGTTGCAGTGAATCACTGAACAGTCCCTATGCCGACATCCGCCGCCTCACATTATCCCTGTAATTGCAAGCCCAGCATCTTCTCTCCCTTCCTGGGTATTGTTGCGTGACCCCCCCCCCCTTCTCCCCCTTCTCCCCCAATAACGTGTCTGTCCTCGTGTCCAAGCCAGTGTGCAGAAGCCAGCACTGGTATAGAGTCTGTACTCGACTAACATCGCATGTTCTTTTGGAATCTACTCTTCAACCACTAAATGCGTCCAGACCGCTCGCATCAGCCTTGAAATCAATTGTGGTCCTAAGTGAGAATTCTTTGCAGCCATTGTGGTGCCTATCAGACACCGACACCACATCCACTGGCTGGTTTAGCTGCTGGACGGGACACGGCTTTGGTCTCGCGAGACCTAGCAGTGACTCTGGTGATACCCTGTATCGCTGTAGGCCTTGTGAAACGGTGGCTTCGGGGGCGAGACTGCTTGTGTTGGCGACCCGTTATGGAAACAACTGTTCGCCGCTTTTCTAGCACACAGGGCAGGGAAAAGCGGCGGACAAATTTGTCCCCTACACGCAGAGGACGACTCTTGACGCAACAGCCCAGACAGCCCTACTGATCGGGCACTACAAGCAACACATTTGTCTCGTCCTCGGCAAGGCCGACAAACCAGCGACAAGCTTGGAACACATGTGCCGTCGTTCCAGCGGCTTCGGGGCACAAAGTGTAAATCTCAGCACGGCTACCCCTCACTTGCTTCCCAGTGTGTCAGCAATGCACATCATGAGAACAAGGTACGGCCAGCTTTCAGCGCCTACTGTGAGTTGATCCCGCACTTGTTGTCTTTATTAGCAGCCATTACCACGGCATGCCTCTTACAGAGAACCCGCGCGTTCCAACCCGTACCTCGCTGGCGGAGAAGCGCTGTTGGGTCTCAAACACCTAAAAACCCTAGTCCAGCAAACCCTCGCGGTGGCCACCTCGTTTTCAGTCCAGGACACCAACAGTTCCAGCGACCAAGCTGGAGTTCGCCCCAAGCACCACATCGCCTGATGACTACCTCCTACTAACTTACCTACCTGCCTATACAGAGCTCTTTCTGCCTACCTGGATGTGTACCTAGAAGTGATAGTTACTGAACCAGTTTCCGGCCATTAGCTTCAACTACTCCCTTGTTTGACCAGCCAGCTACTCGTAGCGCTGGCTTGATCAGGCCTGTAGTGCCTCTTTGTTAATACCTACCTCTCAGTAAACTCATCATTGCTAATCCCCCCGACTTAAAGCTACCCGCGGAGATGTCAGGGGACAGGGCATCTTCAGGGCAGCTGGTGCCAGCCATCACGGCGAGCAAGCGAAGTCAACTTTATCGTCAACACTCTTCCACACAGGCGTCAATGCCAATGTCAAGCTTCATAGCTACCACTCCGCATACGCACCACGTCTTTATAACCACATTTACTTGACAGCCAACACCATTACGACGGCACTTCTCACAGTATGATGCATGGTGTGTGTTGATGTTTTCATCGGTTTATTCCTCCTTGTTCCTTTTGCCTCTCGATATATGTGGCATGTTCATAGGGTAGCGTGATGATATCTCACGATAACTCGAGGTGCAAGAGGGCTATACAGCGTGCACAATTCATAACATACCCAGCCGGCAATCTCGTAATACCGGCGATCGTCTGCCGAGATTGTGCTACACGCTGCACGTGCCTCGAAGAAAATGGTGAGTTTTGCTGACGGATTCACAACTCCAAGAACTCACTGGATTACCACAACGCGGGGCACCAAGAGAGGCCACAACAAGAGGCGAGAGAAACCGGCCTGCACGGATCGGATTTTAGAGCTTCTACATCATTCATGTTGATTTTTTAGAGCAAAGTATACTCTAGATATTTAACATGGTTCTTTTTTTGCTTCATTAACAGATTGCTCGTGAGGCCTAAGTGGCATACAAGCACACAGCTACGCGTCGCAGCATACCTAAACAAAGAGCCACGCCAATTTCCCCGCTCAAGGAGAGTCTGCAGCGGAGCAGCCTGAGGCTCACATGCTCGCTCAGGTGGCTTGCCCAGTTGAGTTGGAAATCCTCCAACGCCCCACCTTTTTTATTCAGTTTCAGGGTCTCAGCTGGCGTCTACCGTAGGAGGTACGTACCAGTCTAGGTACATACCTAGGTACCTACCTGGTAGGTACCTAGGACCTACCTGGTAGGAGGTAGCCAAAGTCAATCTTGCCCGATTCACGGCGCTTCATAGTACCGAGATGCTAAAAAACATTATTCCAACAACCTTTGAATATTCATGCATTGCCCGCGATTCAAGTGCCAGCGTCTACTTATTTATACACCTGCAGCAAGGCGGGGCCTACGACTCGGTATCGTGCTGCTCACTTCGCATTATCCTTCAGAACACCATCACAGCACCTCGGGCACCGCATCCAATTACTATGCTCTATACTCAAACAGCTGAATAAAGTATAAGCTTCGCCTCTTTAATTTAGCGTCCCCTTTATTCCCCTCCCGGCCCTCCCAAACTTGCCACAAATGGCCTAACAACTGGGCTCTAAACTACCGCCAGCCACTCAAATCGCATGCCCCTCGATTAGTGTCGTCGCTCGTCTGCCCCTCGGGCCACTATCTGCGCTGCTCTGGAGCTTCACCGGTCTTTCGATTCTGCCTTTTGAGCCTAAAAATAACGTACAACATCCGCCGGAGTGATAAGCACTTTGTAGCGTTCCGCTGCGCCATTCGCCGTGTTGTGCACTCCTGAAATTCGTTGTATCCTGTGACTGACGTACTACCATCTCCCCCGCCAAGCACGAACCCCTCCTCGCTTCAAGCCCCTCCTCTCCTCGTATCTTCACTTTCTCACTTCCCCTTCGAATCTCTCGCTTTTTTCTACTTCATCCCGCATCAGGCCAAGACTCATCCCTCCAACCTCGATTCCAGACCTGCTCACCTCCACAACTCCCACACAATCAGTGCATCGCCCAGAGAACAGCTTACACAGTCACCACCACCACCATGACCAGCTTCCGCTCCCCAGGCCTGCTGCTGGGTCTCGTCATCTTTGCCACCCTCGCCACCCCAGTTGCTGCTTTCGGTGCTGGAAACATTGCCTCCATCTCCAAGGTCGAAGGACAAAATTGTGTGTCATCCCTTTGTATTCTGTCCTCGCCGTCTGTAGGCCGTATAACTAACACGCTGTCAATCAGGGCGCCACGGCGACATCGAAGATGCTCTGCTTTCTATTGCCATGGCGCAAGCCTTCAACGGCAAAAAGTTCAGCAAGCTCATGGTCTCTCGCGTCTACTTCGGTAACTGGCTTCGCGACTACTCCCAGGCCATCGATGTCGGCACTGTCAAGGCTGTTTCCGCCGAGGCCATCCGTCTGCTCCTCTGCGTTCTCGGTTTCATGACCTTCGGGTACGGCTCCGGCGAATTCGAAGTCACCGCCGATCGCGTTGGCTGCTACCGTCCCGAAGACCACATTGACAACCCCAAGGATTATGCCGACAATGTCGACGCCCGTGAGTACTACGACCGCCTTCGAGGTCCCATCGATGTCAATGCCGAACTCTCTATCGATCAACGCAACGGCATGAAGAAATACATCGCTTCCGAGTCTGATAACATCATGACCTCGGCCAAGCATGTGCGCACTCTCTTCACCCGTTGCATCGAGCTTGGCCGTCGCTACAAAAACAACAGCGACAAGGCCGATCGCAACGAGTCCCTGCGCCTCATGGGCACTGGCCTTCACTGCTTGGAAGGTATTACTTCTTTTTTTCTCCATCTCTTGTGTCATATGGTCGAATCTAACGCGATTCCACAGACTTCTTTGCACACAGCAACTACACTGAGCTTGCCCTTGTTGAGATGGGCGAGCGGGACATCTTCCCCCACTGTGGAACTAACACCAAGATCCAGCTTGAGGGCGCGCAGGACTCTGTATACCCTATCGTGACTGGCACTTTTGGTGGCGTTGACTTTCTGCACTCCGTTACTGGCGAAGGTCCGTTCCCCCGCCCGTCATTATCGCCACCTGTGTGCTAGCTAACCTGTTCAGTGTCCGACAAGTTGACACAAAACGAGATTGAAGAGCTCGAGGGCACCCTGGAGCAGAGTAAGAAGGCTGATACCAGTTTCCTTCGCGAACTCCTTGACAAGATTCCCGATGGCATCCTCGGTGGTGGGCACGAGAAGCAGAAAATCGACGAAATTCAGGAAAATGCCAGTGCCGCCCAGATGCAAAACACTTCCGTCTCCCCAAGAGACCCAGAGGAATTCACCCTGTACGTCAAAAACATTTTTGAGCAAATTATGCCTGCCATCAAGTTTCACGATGATATCATGAAGACCATTGGTAATGCCATCGACAGCATCCCCGTCCTCCCCAAAATTATCGAGCAGCTTGAAGAGCAGCTCACCCAGTTTGTCTTTTCCATCATAGCTCCCTTCGTTATTCCTTTGATTAGACAGATTCGCAACGAGCTCAAGACCGGCTCCGAAGAGATTATTCAGAGCAGTGAGAACCAGCAGCATCTTGTTTTCAACGATGACAACAGCAGCGATCCTACCCACTCCATGCTTTCCAAGGATCATTTTTCCAATGTAAGATTAACTTGAATGTGCACCTACGGGGGGGAGTTACTGACTGTGCCAGATCTTGAACGAGGTTGCTGGCCGGGGTGCCGCCAAGACTGTCTCTTGGGCTGTTCCGCAGTTGATGGAGGCAATTGACGATGAAAGCATTGATGTTAATCGTCTTTGCGACCGCCTCATTTATGGCGTCCTTCACCACCCAGCCCAGAGAAGTATGGGTAGTGATGGAGTTAGTGAGGCACGCCAGATGATCTTCCAGGTCGTTGAGGAATGGTGGGGTCAAATGGGCGATGATCAACGCAGTGACTACCGTCAGAAGCTTTCTCGTGAAGGTGTCCAGAAGGGAGACAACCACAAAGAAGGCGTTCACGATACTGGTCACGGTCACGGCTGTGTTGGAAAGCTTGAAATGCGTAAGCTCTACGGTGCACCAGAGACTATGGAAACCAAGATTGCGAGTGCTGCGGCCACTGCTATCTTCTCGGGCGCCAGTGGTATGGTTTCCAACATTGTGCAGCAGCAAACTGGCATACAACTGCCGGGCAGGCAGGAGGGGGAGGAAAGCGGAGGCTTGAAGGAATTTTTCAAATCCATCTTCAACAAGGATGAGGAGGAGGGCAGGTATGAATAGCTCTTTGCTCCCGGCCAAATCTGCACGGTCTAATGAAACACAGTGCTGGCCGAACAGAAAGCCGGCCGGATCAGGGCTCGGGCAACGGTGATGGCTATGGTCGACAGGAGAGCAGTAGCTACGGTGGTAGCAGCGGAAACGCGGGGCATGGTGGACGCCAGGAAGACAGCTATGGTGGTAGAAGCGACACAGGCTACGGCAGCACGCAGGAGAGCAACTACGGCGGTGGAGGGGAAAGTTATGGCGGCAAACAGGAGAGCAGCTATGGTGGCCGAGAGGAGAGCCATGGTAGACAGGAGAGCGGTTATGGTGGCAGACAGGAGAGCCATGGCGGGCGGCAGGAGAGCAGCTATGGTGGCCGAGAGGAGAGCTATGGTGGTAGACAGGAGAGCAGCTATGGTGGTGGACAAGAGAGCAGCTATGGTGGTGGACAAGAGAGCAGCTATGGTGGTAGACAGGAGAGCAGCTATGGTGGTAGGCAGGAGAGCAGCCACGGCGGTAGACAGGAGAGCAGTTACGGTGGGAGAGAGGAGAGCCACGGTGGCCGAGAGGAAAGCAGCTATGGCCGCAGCAATAGACATGGATCGGGCCGCGATGACAACGAAGGCAGGAATGAGAGTAGCTATGGTGGTCGCGGCGATGATAGCTACGGCGGTCGCGGCGATGATAGTTACGGGGGCGGCAACGGGGGCGGATCTGGTGGTCGCTTCGAAGGAAGGTCCGGCGGCCACGGCGGCGGTCGTGATGGAGACGGCAGACAGGACGAATACGGGCAAGACAATGAGTATGGACGAGAGCAGGGAGGGTCTGGCCGGCACAGACGCAACGACGATGGGTATGACAATGACCGATACTGAAAACGGGAAGCATCGCACGTTTGACACGCTGCTACATTCGGGTATAGCTAGATTAGCTATATGGGCTCTGGCCTCTTTTGTTGTATGATGTATCGCACACACCAAATTGATGATTGATTCGACTTCGTTTATTAGACTTGAGCTCAACACGCGCGTCACCGTACTAAAGTGGGGTTTACCCAGACGCGTCTCGCGTTGAGCATCACAGGTTACCCTACACACGGCATTGGGCGACGAAATCGCCAGGAATACGGTGTTTTGGGTGGTTTTTTGTGCCTTTGGCAGCTGGATCTGAGACGCTCTTTATCTCAAATACCTCTTTGCACTTTCTTTTGCGCGACTTGCACTATTTCTACGAGTTTGTGTGCGGGGATGCTTGAAGGGCAAAGACGCTTCCTGATGGGTATATGAGTAGCAAGACAAATGAACCCACGAATTGACGAGGTTAATGGCTATACCACGTGACGTCCGTCAACCATGACAAATGAGATGGTGCAGATAAACGATAAGTTATGCAGCCATTCCGGCCGGAAAAAAAAAAAACACCACGACGGGATGAGTTGAGACAGACCGACAACCGAAGCACACTCCCGAGAGGCGGTTTGGCGGGCGCGCCCTCTCCAAGGTGTACTCTACTCTCTCCGCAATGCACATACTAGTTATTACGGGCCGAGTTGCGCGGGCGATGTGCGAGAAGCGGGAGCGGGCGCAATGTAGGTGTGGCACGAAGAAGCCGAGTTTCTAAACTGCCCGCAGAGATCCGAGTAACGAGCGAGACATGTCCGGAAACGAGTTGCGCTTGCGCTGTGTTGGCTTGCAAAAAAGAGGGTGTGTGACGATGGCACACAACACGCACGGCGATGATCAACTTCCCAAACCGGGCGCGAGACCACCCACACTATGCACAGTGTTCACAATGAATAAGAAAAGGTCCTTGTCGTAATGAAAAAAAAGCAGTGCGCCCGCGTCAGTTTGGGGGCGCGATCGACGGGGCCCCCCTCGCGCGGGTGAGGGGGTTTCCATTGTAGACAACGGCGAGGTCGGCCAGACGAGTGTGATGATAACGTTACTACATAGGACGGGTCTTTGCTGGGGAAGGCTCTGGTTGCCTTGTCTATACACATGGGAAAGTACGTATATATACTGGGGCATATCATCCTGTAAGAAAGCCACGACGGAGGAAAAGAGGAAAAAGCTCGAATGGTGGCGTGCGTGTGCATGATGAGACGCGTTCAAGACCCTGGCACACAATGGCCCATGGCGTCACCCGTGTTTTTTTTTTAAAAGGCTCTCGCTGAAGGTCAAGGAGCAGGCAAAAGGATCTCGCTCGTAGCCGCAATGGGGCCCGCCCATGCCAATCTCAGACTGTAGCTGTATCAGAGTCCAAGGGTAAAACTACGGGCATGTGCCTGGGTGAATGCGTTTATTTTAAGGTACTTCGTGTAGTTAGGTTCGGCTTGTCGTAGCCATGATCCGTTCCGTGTCTAATAAGGAACCAAGCGACGAGACCAAGAGGCTATAGTTACATATGTAGCGTGCTGATGGAGGTGATGTCTGTCTGGTGGGTTGACAGAATGACGGGCCGGGAGATAGATTCTCGCCTTGCTCAAGGCTGAAGATGAGCCAATATTGGGCGCGGCGCTAGCTTGTGCCGTTATGTATGTGACAGACAGATGCACTTGGAGATGGCTTTGTCGCCGATCCGGATATTACCAGTACATGATTTCATCGGGTGGCTTGGGCGGGCGCTCGTGTAGCAGTATTTCCACCCAGCTTTTTTTTTCGATTGATTCCCCCCTGTGTCCTTTGTCTTCCTCCGTGGCACCTTCATCTCCATGGCAGAGAAGAGGATTCCCGAGTAGCTTATCCTAGGGCGAGCTATTGAAATTGGGCGCATCTAGACTACCATGCACCCCAGATGGACGACAACGCTGGGACAAGGCGACACAATACTGGGATTTTAGCGACCTGCTAGTTCGTCAGGATCCAGGACAGACTAGTACTGGACCTAGAGCTGCGTTGCGAGTCACCCTAAAAGTCGGGGAGCCGCAGACATGGACATGTCCGTTGGGCGAGGGGCGAGTACGGCTTCTAGCTAGGACTTGGTCAGATAGCAAACGTTGTGATGTAACGTGCAATGACAAGCATGTGCTATGCAAGCCCCGAGTTTGGCTTGATTGTGAGATATCCATTTGCCGGCTGGATGGATGAATGGGTGAACGTGGGGGACATGACTCGATGGTGCATGGAGAGGTGAGATTGAGGGCAGAGCTCGGCGCGAGAAGCTGCCGTTCATGCATCGCTGAAGAATCAATCATACGGGTATACGAGTCCTGGAGAAACGGCAATTATGAAAGCAGAAAAGCTGAAGAAAGGTGCACAGGCTGTCGGTTGTAGATGGAAGAGCATGCATATTGGTGACGACGAACAGGCCCGTCGTGCAACCCGATGACGGTGGAGGTGTCACCGTCGATAGGCAGTGGGAGAGTCTTCAAAGATGGACGAGCAGCTGAACGAGCACATGGGAGACGTCGGTGCGTTGGCCTGGGGAGGACGAGAGATGGTTCATCGTGCGCAAGTCATACCGATGGCCTGAGTGCGCGTGTTTGCCTGACAGTGCGACAACAAAAGGGCCTGGCAGTGACCAAACAAGGCGAGGGAGGCGAGGGAGGCGAGGAGGCGATGGCATCGTGACACCAGGACAATCGGTGTTTGTGCAAAGGGAATAGTAAGCGGGCGAGGTAACGGACGAGAGTTTGTGTGAAACGAGACAGGCTGTCGTGGTACGTATCCGTACTAAGGTAGGAGGTAGGTACCTACTCAGTCAGGTATTTGGCTTGAAAGGTTGCGATAACAGAGTGCTGGTAATAAAATATAATTGCTGGTATGCCAATACGGAAGGTACCACCAGTAGTACCAAACATGTTAGCGTATTAGTTGGAGCCGCCACAGTGGAGAGGCCGCTGAGCCACGCAGTGTTGGTGCAACGGACAGAACAGCAGATTGGAATGACAAAGTGATAATAACAGGTTAGTAGGTACTGTAGGTACCTAGGCAGGCAAATAAGTTCACTTTGAAATGGATGGGTTGCACTGTTTGATGGGTTACACAATCTATGGTACTCCGTACACTCTGCTAAAACTTAGCCTTTCGAGACGATTATCGGGCCTTTTTCCCTCTTCTTGTTTGCCCGCCTGCCCTCTGCTCTCACCGCGCCGCACCACAACGTGCCAGCCAGAGGCGAACGAGTCTAGCTAGATCTTTGGTGCCCGTACGGAGTAACAGGTACCTGACCTCCTCAGTACGCAGTAGTTGCTGCTGCTGGCTGCTGCTGTACGTTACATAGTACTGGTGGGTGCCGCAGTGCAAGTGGGTCGGTGGATGCGGCTGCACGTACTTGGTACTTGCGAGTAAGTCACCGCACCTGGTCATCGTCGGGTACCTTTTCGATAGGGCCCATCCGTCTCTGCGCCCGCGACGCCAGCCAGCACCATGACAAGGCAAGGGCCGAGGGTACTTGGCCAGCCTCCCCCGAAGCTTGTACCTGTACAAGGAACGGTTTATTCTATTGTCCGTTCTTGATGTCTCTCCTCCAAAGTGCCCTCGACGCCTCCTCCCCCAGAAAGGGCCCTTTTCTGGTCTGCACCTTGTACCTCCTACTCTTCTCGCCCGCTATTAATAAACTCTGCCCTTCGTCCTTCATCCCAACGTCTCTTCATCGTCCCTCGACAACGCCGCTTACCCTCACTTCTCGCCGTTTCCCCCCCTCCAAGCCGACTCTCTCTCCTCATCCGAGTCATCCCCCCGACGGCTCATTCTCATTTCCTTTCTCTTGCCCCCCCGGCGAACCCACGGCCTGCCCCTGCGTTCCGTTCGCGACAACCTCGAGGCCCGTAGTGGCCTTGATTCCCACCCGCCTTCTTGCCCTGCGCACAACAACCGCACTCTCAACGCGCACGCACAAGCGCCTCCCCGTTTCTCGCGCTCGCACTCGCGCTCCTTGACGTACCGCCGCTTGCAAGCCCACCCCCGCCGTCCGCCCCGACAAGATTGCCCCGACTCTCTCGCTGCTGCCGCCGCCGCCTTGCCACAGCGCCGCTGATGCGCTCTCTATAATGTCCCCCGCACACTGATTGGCATGTCACAGCCACCATGTCTCTCACGGGACTCTACAATGGAGTGTTACTCTTCAGCAACCCCTCCTGGACCGGCGCTGGCACCGTCCCTGTCTCGCTGATACGAAACATCACCGATGTCGCACAGGACTTGGGATACGAGCTGCACCTCAAGAACAACCTCACCACTCTCTCCACCAACGGGGCCCAGACGCTCAACGGTGTCATACAAGGCCTCCTCTACGTTCCCGACATATCCACCGTCGCCTCGTGCAACGCTCAACAGTACGACTTCATCCCCCACAACGTTACCCGCAGGGCCCAGCTGCCCCCCGCAAACTATAACCTCATCGCCCTCGCCCCTTGGTTCAGCATAGACTGTGTCCAAGCCTTCCTTGCCTCAGCCCGTTTGGACCCCATCCGTGCTTTCATCTTCTACAAGCCAAACAACTCGACCGATAAGCCCCAAGGTCCTGACTCTGCGGTATGGAACCTCGACGACGGCGGCGCCTGGAAGGAATCCAGGTTCCCCATCTTTGCCATCCCCGGCATCGAGGGCCAACGCATGATGACTCAACTGAGTCTCTATTCCGGAACCGCTGATACCGTTCCTCATGGCGCCGAAATTATGCAGCGATACGGCACAAATCAAAGAGACTATGTCAGAATCTGGGCCCAGCTCACCATGAAAGGTGCCGCGAGCCTGCCCTCGCTATGGGTCTACTTTCTCATCGTCATCGGGGCCCTTCTCTTCATAGTCGCCTCCGTATCACTCACCATGCATTTCATCCAGCGCCGCCGCCGTACTTCTTTGCGGAAGCGTGTCGAGTCTGGTGAAGTCGACCTCGAGGCCATGGGAATCAAGCGCCTCACAATCCCCGCTTCTCATGTCAAAGATTTCCCGCTCTTTACTTACACCAGCCAACCAGAGCTTGCGTACGACCTCTCTACACCCACCTCAGAGGTCCCCTCCCCCATGCGACCCGGCAAAGGCAAGAAGAAACGCAGAGGCGAACGCCACAGCAACTCATCCGCTACTGTCGTCTCAGATAGCGTCCAGACCTTGCGCAGCCAACGTTCCGCTGTCACTGGAACGGCCAACACAACCGCCACAAATTATCAGCCGCAGTGTCATATTTGCCTCGCCGAGTTCGAAGATCGCTTCAGTGTCATCCGCGAATTGCCATGTCACCACATTTTCCACCCCATCTGCATCGACGAGTTCCTTCTCCGCAACAGCTCGCTGTGCCCCATGTGCAAGCAATGCATGCTGCCGCCGGGGTACAGCCCCAAGATAACCAACGGCATGGTTCGCCGTGAGCGCGCCCTGCGCAAGCTTCGAGAACGAGTTGAGTTTGACGACTCTTCCATGGAATCTGGCGATGTCAAGTTCAAGGGATGGGGCAAGCCAGGCTGGGGAAAGCGACTATTTCATTCGTCGTCTTCGTCGGAAGAAAGCCGGGATATCCAACTCGAGAAGCGACTCTCAACACCACCCGAACGCTCCAGCGAAGGCGAGTCTCCTGGAACGCGTGGAAATGAAAGCGATGAGAGTCCTGGAGGTGGACCCCCGGAAGCTGCTGCGACAACCGCCCCGGCAGCCGCAGCACCACAGTCGACGACGCACACGGCCGTCCCACAGCCCGCTGCTTCTGCCCCGTCCCCGAAGAAGGCCCGCCCGCGAAAGTCCAAAGCCCGACCCCTGCACGTACTGCCCACACAGCCCGAAGGCGCAGAACTTCGAACAGGGTTCGCTGGCTTTGTTGGCCGCAGCAGTCCGTCCTCGTTTGCGCGCGAGCGTATGCGAGAGATTGCGAACCAGAATGCGCCATTTGACGACCCCGATCAATCACGTCCCAAATGGCGCCGCGCAGTCACCAAGGTCTTTCCAGGGTTATAACAGCACCTATGCGCGACTTTGGCACCAGTTGCAAGGAAATAACTATAATGCTGCTGGCACGTTGCACTCGAAATCTCGGAGTGCAAGAATTAGCAGTGCAAGAAGCTATACGGGATCAACTACAACGCCGCGGCGCGTATCCGATGTGAGACTTGCTTATGTGCAGCAAATCTCATACAGACGAGCTGAAAGTGAATATCGACTACGAGGACTGGGCGCGGCACTCCCCTGTCCAATCCGGGCTCCTGTTCGTATTTCTTCTTTTGCGTGGGTCAGCGGGCACCTGCACCGCGAGGGAAAAGCATGGCGACGGCGTTTTCGCAAGGTCATTCTTGACCTTTTATTTTTCATGACTTGATGAAGTGATGTTTGTGCAAAGGCATAACATCCACAGCGGAGCACCCTTTCTTTTTTCTTTCTCTTTTCTTTCTCTTTTTCCACCTCTGCCCCCTCTGTCGGTACCCCCTGATGGGGTTTTTCTTTCTTAAGCTGTTGTATACTAGTATACACTGGCCATTCGAGGTATGTTCTTTATAAACTTCAAAACGTGGACCCGGGCACGGTTGGTTATTGGGGCGGAAGGGTAGGATGGAATGTTATAGTATATATGGGTTGAAATGAAAGCTTTAACTGGATTGTGGCGCTCTGAAAAGTGTTGCGTGCTTGACTGTGCCATTCTGAAGACTCGCCACCGTATTGAAAACTGTAGTCTAGTGGGAAACCATCTATGCATGTAGTGCACGTGTGTATCATTGTCCTGTTTTTTTGCTTTATGTTTGAGTGATCCTGTCCAGACTCGAAGAAAAAAAGCGACCAAAAAAGCATCTGTATCCGTTTGCCAGCGCCGATTGCATCAAATACTGACTCTTGACAATGAAGTAAAAACAAGGAGATACCAACATCATGAGGTTTCATTGCCGTACTGCACGAAGACAACAGAAGTTCTAACAAATAAACTCTAGTAAATACTCGACCAACAGGAACCTATTACGAACGTGGCGCATCGCCAATCAGCCTATCATCCTCGCGCACGCCGCCCCTAGCTAGCGCTTCGCGGACGCGATCGTCCTCGGCGACGCGGATGCGTTGGCGGGCCGCCTCGAGACGCTCGACGCCGCGGTCAATGGTCTCAATGTGGACGGTAAGCGGCAGCGCAGCGATGGCGGGGCTGTCGGCGTCGCGGAGGATGCCAGGCTCGGCGACGCGGTCGCGCAGGTCACCAAGGCTGGCCTGGATGGACTCGAGCTCGAGAACGAGGGCGCTGACCTGGGCGACGGCGGACGAACGCTGGGCGTCGACGCGGCGAAGGAGCGCTAGCTGCCGGGTGAGGTGGCTGAGGCGGCGGGCGTTGCCACCGACGAGCGTCCACACGTTCCAGAGAATCTCGTCACGCCGTAACGAGAGCGTGGCGGCGGAGCGAGACGAAACGTCGTAGATAAGGGAGAGGTGGTCCTCGGCCTTGGTGAGCAGGCGCAGCACCGCCTGTGCCTCGAGGAGCAGTGCGGCGATGCGCTCCGACACGAGCGTCGTGTGCTCAATGTACTTGTCACGCAGGATGCGCTCGCTGAAAACGTGATTGGCTGGCTGGAACGGCGCAAAGAGCCAGCCGGACCAGCCGGCCAGGGAAGTCGACAGGGAGACGGCGCCACCGACGGCATCGTTGGAGAGAGGCGCGAAGGAGTCAATGTACCGTGCGGTCCAGCGGTTGATGCTGATGACGGCGTCGACCGCGGAGCCGACATGCGTGTTGAAGCGCTGCAGGTCGGCGGCGCTCTGTCGCGCCGTGTCGACGAAGCCGTCCAGCTCAAATAGCAGCTCGTCGCGTGCCTGGATGTCGCTGTGCTTGACGAGCGTGCGCAGGTCGCGCAGGCTCGTCTCGGACCGCTTCATCTCGAGTGGCAGCGACGCACCCTCGACGCTCCGCTCCAGGACGTCCTCAAACTTGGCCTGCACGCCCATCAGGTCGTCAAATTCGACAGGGTACGCGGGCGCATTTGGCGTGTCACCATCGATGCCACCGTTGGCGTTAATGCAGAATGGCAGGTTCAGGAACGAGGCGCCAGGCACACGGCAGATGGGTGATAGCGAGACGTAGATAGACCTCTGCAACATGGATTGTGTAATGATGATGGCGCCGCAGGAGAGGTAGACGGCGAGGAGGAGCGCCAGAGGCCGCTTGGCGTAATGAAAGGCGAGGCCAACAACAGCGGCTGCCCATCGCGCGATGCCGATCGAGAGGGAGGGGAGAGAAGACGTATAGCTGTCCGTGTCTTCGTGATGCGTCTCATACTCCTCGTGGTCTATTCTTTGTCGCGCACTTCGCCGCTTGACGGGACTGGTCTGCGATACATGTCCACGTCGTCGCACAGCCGTTGAGTCGCTGTCGCGGGAGCTGCCGCTAATTAGGCCAGCGCGAACCGTCCGGGAGCTCCTGCGGTCGCTACCAAACTCGACCGTCGGCATTCTAAATTGCGGATCTGGCGTGCGGTAGCTGTACACCTGATGCGGACTGTGACTGCTGCTTCCCGCCACGGACGAGGGTATGCTTGGGCGAAATGGCTCACGCAGAATGACATTGTCGTCTGCCTGGTGCTTGGCAAAATCGCGGATGCTATCCTGCGAGCCAAAGTTGGAATTCGGCTGGCTCTGCGAGCCGGGCCGCTGCTGCGAAGGCTGAGAAGGCAAGCCTGACGAAGGCTGCTCGCTGGACAGTGGGGAGAGAATGTCGTCGTCTTCGAGTGTTGCGACGGGTAGGAGGGACGTGTCGAAGCTGTCGTTCTCGCCTTCGACCATGCGCCACGAGCCCTCGATAGGTATTTGTCGCCTGCGCGTGGGCATGGCGTCGCACAAGAGAAAGGGTCTAGTAAAACAACGTCGGCAGGACTAGATGGCGGGGTGTGTGTGGTGACCGGTGAAGCGAGACAAGGAGCCTGAAGCGAGGGTGGCAAAGGTCACTTCCGTTTTCCTTCTTCTCGACGCCTCAAGCTGATGTTCAGATTGTTGAAGAAGGAAGAAAATCAAAAACAGGCAGTACACAGTGGCCACCCTGCTTAGGACGAAAGTCACGCGCCCGTGTTAGGAGGTGTTTCGCGCTGCTCACGGGAGCTTGGAGGGCAGGACTTCGAGATCCGGAGCAAGGCGCGTATTGTTGTGAACGGCGGCGTGGTTGTTTAAATATTCAGTCTAGGCAGAAAGGTCAACTTGCAGAGGAGTCACAATGTGAGTTGGCGGACAGGGGTAAGTTGCCGCTAATAAGGATGGGAGAAGAAAGTCTGCGCCAACAGACCAAGAAGCGAGGCAGCCAAAGGGAATAGTTCGTGTCGCGAATGTTGATGGTTGAGTGGCAATTGATTGGTGGCGGTGACATCCTGATGCCTTGGTAGTGTTGCAGCCTGTGGGTGGAGGAGAAGGTCCGGGGGGGGGGGGGGTCGCTAATAATGACCAAGAGCTCTCATCTGGTGGGGCCGGCGTGAACCGTTGATGGAAGCCTAGGTGCCGTGCGATGTGCTAGCAGTTTTGCTTATTTTGTGCAATAGAGCTCTGATGAGGAATAATAAAATATGGAATGGTGAACAATTGCATCACCAGGTCTGGGGGTGGGAGGGTGACCAAATCGCAACAAACGGCACATGACCCGTTTGTTGTCGAGTCCGCTGGAGCCCCGACGACTGACGGGCCGGCGCATGGGTCCGTGGTGGGGTTGCAAACGGCGCGGCGACCTCGGCCCTGCCTCGTCTGCTTTCATCTGGAAGAAAAGGGCAAACAAACATGGCATACCATGTTTCTCATCCCTTTTGGCGGATTTGACTTTTGGGAAAATGGCCTAGTTAGCCTATGGCGACAGGCTTGGTCAGACCGTCGCGCTGGTGCCGGACATCGCTCACGGAGCGAAAGTGAACAGACGCCTGTCCGGGAGGCGACATTTTCAACTCGAGACGGCCGACTCGGTGGTTATTACAGATGAAACTTTCGTATGCACAGCTGCACTCGTCCGGCGCGATCGATCTGGCCTCGTACCACGTCCCTTCCTCCAGCTCAATCACGGCAGCGCACATGGCGGCCACGACCACCGGCCGCCAGATACCGTCTCTTCTTGGCCACTGCCGGAGCAGCGCGACTGCTTCTCGTCGTATCAAACGATCGCGGCATGTGCGGCCCACGCCAAACAGAAGCTCGGCGACGGACACAGAATATGAAAACCCCTGGCCGTCAATGCCCTGCCTGGCCTCTGCCTCCTTTTCGAGATGGATGAGCTGCCGCGCAAGATGGGTGATTCTGGCAAACGAATCTGTAAAGTGATCAAACGATTCCTCCCCAAGAGTACGATCCAGATGCAAGCACACGTGCACGGCTACTTCCATGAGTTGAAGTTGAGTTACACCGTGCTTGGTCGAAGCATCATCAGGCTGCGTTTCCAGTAATGCCTTGAATTTCGACCTCCAAACGGCAAGGCGACTCTTGTATTCTAGAATCGTCTCATCATAACCCGAGATCCTGGCAATATCCCCCGGCAGCGTGACCATTGGGAAGGCTTGAAAAATGGCCGTCAACATGGGCTGAATGTCGACAAACGCGTCACTCATTGACTGGTAGGGATCGGCTGGTGCCGCTGGCCGATTCCCCTGAAGATACCAGTTCGGCCTCGGCACACCTCGGATACGCCCGAATATTTGGGATTCGTAAAGTGAAATGAGGGAGATGAGCGCGCCGGGGGATAGTATGTGATCCCTACGTCCTTGGTGTTGGTGCTCCCAAAATCGCCATTGATAGAAGAGAAGTATGCTAGTACGAGCATGTTCGGCTGCCTGTGATACGTCTCCCTGCAGGCAACACAGACCCGTGTAGAGCATGCTTACGAGCATAAAAGTCTCCTGGTCGGCGTAGCTCGGGAGCGCCTGCTGCGCAATCTTAACCATGTGTCGAATGGAAGCGTTATGCTGCAGCAGCGCAAAGGAATACAGCGACATCTTGTCGGCTTCGGGTGCTTTGGGTTTCTTTGCCCTATGATCAAGCGCGGCGAATGAAAGGCAAGCGTGCCAGACGGCGGGATAGAGGCGCGCCGCGCGCAGCACATCACTGGTCCAGAAGACCTGGTTGAAACTACCACCAACTTGATGAACTGTGCGTAAACGGAATAGATCAAATATGTGCGCTTCCTGGCGACCAAATTTGATACCTTGTGGCGCTATTGAGACCTTGGGTTGGATCAGGAGAGGCTTGCATTGCGTAGGCGCTGCCGGAACGGAATGGTTCATGGCAAAGCGAAACATTATGTCAGGATACTCGCAATCTCTTCCCGTAAAGGTACCTGTAGAGAGAGAGAAAAGGTCAGAAACGGAGAGACATTGTTGGAACTGGCCTACAAGATCGGCGTCAAGGTTATACACACACTTGTTGCATGATGGCTTGCCTTCATCGCACTTGATACGCCGACGTCTGCCATCATCTCAGGTTAGTATATACATAGACTGCGGTTGCAAATTCCTCGAGGACAGGTCTTACCGACACGTCATGCAACCAGTTTTAACTTTGGCCGCGAACCTCTTTTGTCTCTTGGGTAGGACAATGGTCGTGGTGGACGGCTCACCAGGGGAGGTGCCGAAAGCCAGAACGTGCTGTTGGCCCACCACTGCATCGTGCCGAGAAAGATGGCTGTCGGGAGAGCTGGAGCTGTCAGAAGCAAATCTCGGAGCCATTGGCGACACCAACGCGGCGAAACAGAAACAATGGTTGTCTCACGGATGATGTGCTTGTAACTATGTTGATGGCGGAGGCGCGGCTCAAATTCATTCATTCCCGCGCCCAGTACTAGCAGTACCTGTGGGCCGCTAATTACGGGGTTCTGTGTGTTCATGAGCGAACTACGTATTGTCGTACAAAAGAATCTACTTTTTTTATGGGCATGGTGGACACCTGTTTTTCGGTTGGAAAGGAGAGTGATAACGGTTATTAATCTTGGACCGAGATGCGACGTGAGAGCCTCTAGCATTGATGTGCATACCATAGTAGGTACCTACCTACCTACCATAGTAGGTAGGTAGGTACCCTAACCGCTATGGGTCTGTACCATGTCGCTCATCATCCATGGTAGATCGGCAGCAGCCGTTTAGAGCAGGCTTACAACGAAACATGATTGTTTCTGGCCTGGAGGCTAAATACAGCGTAATCGTCTCATGTCTGAGTTGGTGGAGCGTCGAGTAACTAATATAGAGTAGGTAGCCAAGGTACCTAGGTAGGTATGTAGGTAGCCTGTGCAGACTGCCGAATGCATGGCCGGACGGCACCGAAAAGTTAGCCTCGGCTCGCCGATGCTACCCCAGCAAAGGCGCTAAAAACGGCAGGCCGCGGGACCCAAGCAAGAACTCTGGAGAGCTTCATGTGCGTTTGTTCGTTTTGTCACCTTTCAATCCACAGACCACGTTGCGCTCTCGACATCCATTCCCACCCCGCTTCCATACCCCGAACCGACAAATCCGCAAGATCTAATGCCGCACCGATGAGCGAATCGAGCTTCGTGCAAGCCCAGCAACGGGTCGCCGCCCGCCGACAGGCCCGCGAGGTGCAGGCCGCCGCCCGCATCGCCGTGCAGCGAGAAGCGTCTCGCACCAGCGCCCAGCTGCAGCGGCTGCCGTTTCCGTTTAGCGGCCTCGCCACGGCGTGGGACGCCGTGTCGTCGCGCGAGGGCACGCGGCCGGCGTTTCGTGTCGCGCAGGTCGACGCCGAACTCCTCGACGACGAGCTCGTCGACCTGCTCAAGGCGCAGGTCGGCGACGCGCTCCGCTACTTTGCCGGCGGCCACCTGCAGGACGACTGGTCCGACGAAATCATACTCGCCCTGCGCGCCGCGCTCTTCAAACTGACCATCTGGGACCACGACGCCACGTACGGCGCGGCCCTGCAGAACCTCAAATATACCGACGCCCGCCGCGCCGGCCCCGTGCTGGTACCGCCGTCGCGCGCGCAAAAGTCACTCTACGGCCTCGTCAGCGTCGTGGGCAAGTACGCGTGGGCCAAGTGGGAGGACTGGCTGGTCGAGCAGGACGACGGGCACGAGGAGCCCAGCCCCCGCGTGCGGCTGCTGTCGCGGTGGACGTCGCGCCTGACGACGGTGCACTCGGCGGCGGCGTGCGCGTCGTTTCTCGTCTTCCTGCTGCACGGCCGCTATCGCACACTGCTCGACCGGGTCCTCCGGATGCGCCTGGCGCCGCCGACGAGCCAGGTCAGCCGCGAGGTGTCGTTTGAGTACCTGAATCGGCAGCTGGTGTGGCACGCCTTTACCGAGTTTTTGCTGTTTGTGCTGCCACTGATTGGCATCAACCGCTGGCGGCGTTGGCTGAGCCGCACGTGGCGCAAGACCAAGGAAATTGTCAACACGAGTAGCGTCGAGGGTGGCGGCATCTCGGGCGAGTACGGGTTTCTGCCGGAGCGCACATGCGCCATCTGCTACCAGGACCAAAACGAGGCCACGTCGGAAAATGAAATCATGGCGGCGGCAGCTTCGAGCGGCGTCGTCGGCTCCGCGCAGACGGATGTGACGAACCCCTATGAGACGATCCCGTGCGGCTGCGTCTACTGCTTCGTGTGCCTGGCGACGCGGCTGGAGCGCGAGGAAGGCGAGGGAATTACGTGCCTGCGGTGCGGCGAGCACGTCAAGGAGTGCCGGCCGTGGGACGGCGACGTCGTGGAGCCGGCCGGCACCCGATCGGGGGGCCACAAGACGGTAGCCTTTTCGGATGACGTGACGGGCGGCATGGACGAGAAAGAAGCCAAGGAGTAAAGCTGGGTGGCTGAGAGCCGGATACCGATACAGATTTACGAAACGCGACTAAGACGGCGTCAAAGTGTACTTTTACAAAATGCGAGCGTACAGGCTCGAATGTTTCCTTTTGTTCTTTGCATGGCGGGGCGGGGAGATTTTATTCTAATTAGAAAACGGGTGAGTGTATATAGATTTCTGACTAGCTTTTTAATTGGCTGAAGCGATTAATGACGACAGTTTTGGTATCAGCTGATTTCGCGTGAGCATTGAGGGACGTTTCGATGCAACTGTGCATGAGGCATGATGCGACAATGAGCACTGAAGCACATCTGTTACAGTGGATCTCGAGTACTCTGCGCAGATTCTCTATCATCGCCCTGAATTACTACTAAAAGCCTGGAATAATCGTCGTATGCTAATGAATAACTGTGTAGTAAAGCCGAAATCCATTTCTACTTGCTTTACTACATACTGACTTGTTGCTGTCCGGAATAACTTTCACGTACCAAGTACGAGCACCATTTGTTGACCCTTGAACTGTGGCGTCATACCCACAGCGGCTCCCGTGTGGCTGGTGGCGGCAAGCTTGCTACATCTACTTCCTGCTAAATAGCATGGGCAGCCGCCAATTTGCCCGACATATCCACAAACCGCCCTTTTCGAAGCCGTCGCCTGCCTGTTCTTGCTCGCTGATTCTTCATCCACAAACAAACTACTCTACTCTGTCGCGCGGGCTGCACAGACGCATCAATCTACACACCCTGCGCACCATGGTCGAGTAAACAAGCCACACACGCCTTACGCCGAACCACCGCACGCGTGGAGGGAGCTACTGGCGTCGCGCGTTGCGTTGCTGCCAGAGGCCATTCAGCTCAGGTGAACGGAGCTCAACGCAAACACCACTCACCCGTCTTCTTGTCGTGTCCGAGTTTTCTTCCTTTTCTCCCCCATCCTCTCTCTCCCCTTGCGAGACCTGACGGAGGGCTGGCCGTCGGCCCGCACCAGCCATGCCCAGCTTCTTCCAGTTCACCCAGGGCACCGAGTCCCGCGTCCGGCCCAACGACTCCTCGCCGCTCCTCGGCCGCTTCCGCGCCGTACCACCCCCGCCCGAGTCTGGCGCCCGCCGAAGCAGCCAGCTAGGCCTGCTCTCGAACAGCATCGCCGCCGGCCGCGGCAGCGTGCACGTCGGCTACGGCGCCCTCATCGCCGCCCACCTCGGTGACAGCGACAGCGAGGATGAGTGCATCCGCCGCGACGGCCGCCTCGGGCTCGGGGAAGACGTTGCGGCCCGGGATCGGTTGTGGCAGAAGTGGGTGATTGACCTCTGGGTCGAGCCCAGACAGTTGGCTGTCATGAAGGTTGTGGATCGGTGGTGGAGCCGATATGGGCTCTTGGTGTTTATGCCGGCCGTTCTGGTATGTTGGCACTTCTTGTCCGTGCACGAAAGCGAGTTCTAATGTTGAGATGATCAGGCCATCACATGGTGCGCCATTCCTTTTCCTCAGTATCCCCTGCCTAGAGATGACGACGGCGACCAACAAGACCCGACAAAACCCGGCAAGCGACCCGGCTATGGCGCTGCCAACGTCGAGGTCAACTTTTGGTTCTTTCTCTTTATTTACTATGGCTTTTACAATGCTACAGCGCTGGTGTGGATTACAAAGGTGTTTAACCTCTACAACCTCAACTGGTAAGTGGGGTGATGAATGGTGGGTGGTTGGAGTTGGCCAATATCACTTACACGCACTTAGGTGGCCAAAGATTCTGGGCTTCCCGGTGACCGTGTCATTGATAGCCATTCTATCACTGGCAGTTCCGGTACCCCTTTACCTCATACCAGAGACGCGCTTCCTGACAAATCACAACACGTCGTGGATCTCATGGACGTTTTGCGTAATGGCCATGCCTGTGGCCATCGCGTTTCTCATCCTCATGACCAACGAGCGACACATTGGCCTGCGACACTCGCTTTCTGAAACGCAGCGCATTTTTACTACATCTTGGTGGACGGGCGAGCCTGACACCATGTCACGGCCGGATAGACGTCGGCGTAACGTGCCAGGCGACTTGTGGGAGCACGACGTGCTGCAATCGTATGAGGCGACGCGGCCGCAGGGAGTGGCCATGAGGCGTAGGTGGCTTCCGGCAAGCTTCATCCGGTTCCTGTGGCTTTGCGTGGCATTGTTTATTGGACTAATAGCATACGTGCTGGGAGAGGCATACGCCGAGCTCTACCTGCAGACGCTGCCGCACAACAGTTTGGAGACAGTAGTGTACGTCTACGGCTGGGTCATTACGGTGCATCTGCTGGACGCGCTTACTGGCTGGGTGCTGGGAGTAAGGGAGGGCGAGCGCGTGGGAAGCTACCCGCTGAGTTGGGTTTTTAAGCTGTCAGTGCATTTACAAGAGTGAGGTGAAGGGCTGTGCTAACGTCGAATTGTAGGTATTTTATGCTTACGTATCAAACATACGTGCGTGCGCTTTACGCTCGACTGCGTACGCCACAGCAGTTCATTGTGCTGCAGATACTGTCGTCGACGAGCTTGGTGATTCTGACGCCGCTGATGATGACGCAGACATTTCACAGGGCCATGTGCGTGCTGGGGCTTAATGGACAAACGTACGGGTCATATCAGAAGCTGCAAACGCGAAATGTGTTTATCCGGTTCTTGGCGGAGAATGCATCCATGGCGACGTTCCTAGGGAGCGTGCTCGTGCTGCACTATGGCGCTAACAAGGACGTGTATCCGTACTTTGCGTTTGATCGCGAATCGGAGCCGTACAATTTGAACTTGACGCTGTACTTTTCGGCGATTACCTGGCTGTGCGAGCTGGTGGCCAGCGTGGCGGTGCGGGGTCTGATTCGGTACTGCTTCAAGGTGGACGTCGGGCTGGAGGGCAAGCTGGACCTGGCAGTGTGGCCGGAGCTGCTGCCGACGTGTGTGGCAGTGATGCTACATGTCCTACAGAATATGATGTTTTCGATTATCCGGTTGCAGTTTCATTAGTAACAGGGGAGAGTGGGAAGGGGGGAGTTGCGCTGTCGGTTCGGTTTGGACTTGTCTTGCGGTATGAGAGACGAATGTTCCCTTTCTCGTTCTTGGTGCTCTTTGGCCTGCTTTGGATCCGACCTTGATACCCCAATCCTGTTTGCTTGCCTTTTTTCCCATGTCATGATAGATTCCATACATGGCCCTGAAGGAGAATGACGGGCTACTTGTTATTCGTTTTTTAATTATCATGCATTGAATAGAGATAGAGTTAATACAATAATTTGCTGTCGCTTAAATGTTGGCCGAGATGAAGTGTTGGAGCAGGATCCTTGACTTTGTGACGAGGTTGCAGCGACATGGTAAGGGCTGCGGGCGAACTTGTCAGTAACATTGGCACTGGTTAGAAGAAAAGAAGACGGTAAGCAAGAGAGCAGAGAAGAAAAAGGTGCAAAGAAGAGAGCAGAAAGAAGTAGCGAGACAAAAAGGCACATGCAAGATCGACTGGTGGAACCGAGCAGCAAGCAAAGGACGTCAAAGACAAGAATAGAGATGACTGCAGGGCAACAAGGCAACAAGGCAACGATGGCACAACCTTGGTGGGTAAGCCGGGCCGTTTCCATGTGTCCAAGGCTGGAAGCCAGCCTGGCTAACTAGAAGCCGAGAAGCCTAGAAGCTAGAAGCCTGAAGCCTAGAAGGAGGGTGGCAAGTGGGCTTTTGGCGTGCGGGCCGCGTCAATGTGCCGTGAATGGGGGTTGGGCCAATTTTGGGGAATATTTTTTACAAAGAAGAGGAAGAAGAAGTTGAAGAGGTAAAGAAAATCGTCCATCATGAGCCAACAAGAAGAAAAAAAAGAAAAAGAAGAAGAAGAAGAAGAAGAAATAAAACCTCTACTTGAAAAGACAAGAGGAAACCGCCAGTCATCATTGGCATGATATGGCACAGGAAATTAATTCGGGACCCCACCATGGCAGGCCATCGGGTCAAGCTCGTGTAACTGCGCTGTCACTGTCTTTGGACGGAGGGGCTTCCCCGTGAGACGAGGGACGCCGAGGACTGTTGTGAGTCAATATTTTTTTTTTTTTTTTGGCTTTTTGCCCCCCTTGATGCTGGTACTGGATTGGAGGGGGGAGTGTGTTAGAGCACCGAGTAACACGTCTTGTCGTGATGTGTGCGAAATTGCCTCTTTTGTCTTGCGGTGTGAAGGCAAACGCGGCATTGCAAAGGTGTCGACAACGATCGTGGAACCGAGACAAGACACACAGAACGAGCATGTTACATGCATCAAGAGGGAAAGAAGAATGCATCAATGCAAATCCTGAAATACCTTTGATTCGGCCCTTGTACGCAAAAAATAATAATAATCCATGCAGGGCCAGAGAGGTAGGTATACCGACATCGACATGTCCGCGGGTCATCGTGTTGTACGCGGTACTACAAGTGTCCTCGTAACTTCTCTCCGGGTGCGGACGGACGCCTGTTCGCATGTTGGTGACCTAGTAGCTCTCTTTCTACCAATTTTTATTTTATTTTATATTTTTATACAACGTTCGTTTTTGATTAGTTCCATTCTCAACCCTTGGCTCGGCGCTGAATCATGCCTCCTCCGGCCGCCGTATCCATCCAACCATCCATGCCGCCAGCCACCACAGGGCCATCCTATTCTCCTCAGAGATGCGAGCAACAAAAAACAGGTTATCAATCCTCTTCAATCTTCACACCGACCTTTTGCTTCGTGTCAGCGCCATCTGTGTGTGCGAGCTCAATTTACATGCGTTGACCAGCATTTGTACTTGGTTAATTCGTACACGTTTATGCCCTCGTTTATTCCCTTTTTTTAAGTGTACCCAGCACCTCTTTATTTTTTATCATTTTTATTTTCATGTCTCCATCTGTCTTCTTTATTAATCTATCCCACCCCCCTAGCCATGCACTTTTGCTTTGCCTAGGCCCGGGGTGCGTTCTGGATTGTGCATTAGTTACCTATCTACTCTGACTACACTATCGAGGCCCTATTTTATTTATTCTTCTCCTTTAATACTCATCCTCTTCTACACATGCAAGCTCCTTCCCCCCCCCCCTCCTCTCCCTCCCATCATTCCTTCTATTATCTCGACTTCATACCACGCGTTTGTTCCGTTGTTGCCGGCCACTTCACCTCCTTGCCAGCTGCCAGGTGCCAGCTGTCCGCCCGCCTCCGTTTGTTGACTCCCGCCTTTTTTACTATTTTATACTGGGGCGTTCCTGCCTCCTTGCGCCAGCGAGGTTCTGCCTGCCAGCTGCGCGTCCAATCTGCAGGCTGAATTGAGCCATCGCTGCCTGCCAGCCTACCAGAACCTCCGTGTCTGGCTGGCTCCACCCCAGTCCACCTCAAGGAAAAAAACAGTGCGTGCTTTTATCCCACCTTAACACCTTTTCCCCTTTGCCCCTCTGTTTGCTGTGCCCACCCGCCCGCCTCCGAAACTACCCCTCCAAGCTAGGTACCTACAGCCTGTGCATTATTATTCTCTATAGTACTCGTGCACCGCTTTCGCTTTTTTATTCACTCAATCAACTCATAACCTCTTCACTTTTAACCATTCCCCCTTTTTACACTGAGATATTCTGCCTCGAATCACCACCTGGTGGCTTGTGCTTTTTTTTTCTCGTCCCCCCCGCGCCACGTTGTTTACCCCTCGCCTCCCGCCAAATCTTGCTTCCGCCACGACCTCAAGCTGACAATGAGTGATCCCGCAGCCGCCCAAGATGCCTCGGGAAGACAGCCCTCCTCCTCCTCCTCCGCCACCGCCCAACTCGCCAGTGCAAAGGTAGTGCTTGGAAACAACCTACGCCGCTTCCCGGACTTTCCCATCCCGGGCATCAACTTTGTCGATATCATGCCGCTCTTTGCCAATCCCGAAGCTCATGCCACCCTCCTCAACGCCCTCGAGCTTCAGATCACCCAGACTTTTGTCAACACCAAGCCCGACGTCATTGTAGGTCTCGATGCTCGCGGTTTCCTCTTTGGCCCCGGCCTCGCTCTGCGTCTTGGTGTACCCTTTGCTGCTGTTCGCAAGCAGGGCAAGCTCCCCGGTCCTTGCGTCACCGCCGAGTACGTCAAGGAGTACGGCAAGGATTTCTTCCAGATGCAGGAGGACGCGATCCGCGAGGGCCAAAAGGTTCTCGTCGTTGACGACATTATTGCCACTGGTAATTAGCCCCAACCCCTTGCTTGGATCTTTCATCCGCTAACTTGTTATCCAGGTGGTTCTGCCAAGGCTGCTTCCGACCTTATTACCCAGCTCAAGGGCCACGTCATGGGCTACCTATTCATTCTCGAGATTCCTGGTCTCAACGGCCGCGACAAGCTTGGCGCTGCTCCCACTACCATCCTCCTCCAGGACGAATAAGTCCACTGCAGCCTCACCTGACCCGCACAAAAAGCACCCTCGAGATCCGCACATTCAACAATAGACATGATTATGACCTAATACCGAAAACACGTTGACACGACATGGCCACCTGTCATTCTTACACCACACACCGTCAATGCCGACTTATTTAATACCCGAGGGAACTGGTCTCTACATGTACCACAACCTTAACACGACATTCAACCGTCTGCATATAATGGCGCCCTACCACGAGGGTCGCAAGAAAGGAGATGCAATTATGTTACTACTCGATTTCTGCTGCCTACACAATGACAATCCGAAAAGAGCGAGAAAGAAAGGGGAGAAAAAGTTGACAACATGTGAGAAAACAAGATGTTGGAAAAGTGTAGCAATTTTAGTTCCGTCTTTTCCTGTAATAATTTTGTGTCGTCTTTAATCCATAGAGAAACCAGCAAGTAGCCATCTACCAATAGCGGGCCACTTTGTAGATGACTGTTGCTTGCTCCAGTACGAGCAATCAGCGTGTATACGATATATGTTGAGCGCGTTTTTCGCCTGTTCGAATGCCTCGCAGGAATTGATTTCTCATCTATCATGAACGTATAAACAGGTTCTCGGACATGTACCCAGTATCCTTTGACCTCTTCTCCGCCTTCGTATATAAACCAATACATCTATAATCTCGACCGATATATACAAATGTCAAAACAGTGCTTTCCACCTACACGATACGCCCTAATTACATCACAATGGCATTCTCAATCACGTAGCCCTGGCTCTTGACCACGTACTTGCGCCGCAGCCCGACCGCCGCCGCCTCGCCAAACAGCTCGTACGTGCCCTTGGAAGCAGGCAGGAGAACCATCGGTATGCCGTGGAGCCGCGGGGTGCCCCTGGGCGTCCGCTGCTCCGTCGCCAGCAGCGGCCGCGGCGCGTCGTCCACGTGTCCCCCGCCCTCCTCGTCCACGACGACAACGAGCTGCAGGCTGGCCTCGTCGGGCACAAAATTTGGCACGTGGGCGAGCTTGTCGCCAAAGGGGCACCCGCCGCGACGCATGACGATAACCTGGTGCCGGCGGGGCGCGTCCTCGGGCAGCGGCCCGTCGCAGGCCGAGCCCGCCATGTACACGTGGCGCCAGGGTAGTGATGCTGCTGGATCGGCGGCCGAGAAGTCGGGGCTGTTGCGGAGGAGCGCGTCGCGCACGCTCGGCAGCGGAAAAGCGCCGGCGCCCGTGGCCGTGTTGGCGAGCCAGCTGTGGATGGAAGCGACGCCCACGTCGTCGTCGGAGTTGGAGCTGTCATCGCGGCTACCGCTGCCGCTGCCGCTGCCGCGCAACGGCGAGGGCGACGGGGTGCTGGCGGTGGCGCTGCCTTCGAGGGCCGATGAGACGGCGCGGAGGATGGACTTGAAGAGCGAATCCGGATCGGTGGCGGGCGGCTGGCCGCTGGCACGGACAGAGGGTCTCCGCGTTGAGGACGTATTGTCAGGGGCGGCGTCGAGGCTACTGACTTCATCGAGGGCGCCGGGCACAGGAAGTGGCATCACTGCCGGAGGTAACTCGCGGCTTGCTTGCGGCGTCGGTTCCGGCTGGACGAGCAGCACCACCTCCACCATGTCCTTGCGGCGGAGGACGGAAAAGGCGTCGTCGCGGAAATGGCGGACGTGATCGGCGTGAAATATGACGTTTTCGTGGCGACCGACCGTCTTGCCGGCCACATGCGTGACCATCCAGACGTCGGTGCCGGCCGCTTCGTTGAACTCTTGCTCGAGCTGCAGCTTCAGGCCGTCGACCCTTTCGACAGTGGGGCCGACATTGTGGTACCATCGCAGCGGCGTGTTGCTGTCGCCGCCACCGCCGCGCGTCGCAAACAGCGACGGCGCTGGATCTACGGTGGGGAACTCGATCCACGACAGGATGCGGTTCGAGGGCACCGGGCAGGTTCCGTTGTGCGGGAGCATGGTTGGCGGAAGCGTCCACGGAAAGACGGAGTAGTTCGACGTGGCGCGGTACTGCGTAATGATGCCCTTGTGCTCGTCCCTGGTCTTGAACGACTCGAGCGGCCCGTGAATGTTGGGCGTGTTGTAGAGATTGGTGAAGCGCGACACGTCAAACAGGTTGCGTCGCGCCGCCGTGTTGGAGCCTGCCAGTGGCTCTGTAGGTGTGCGCGCCGCCGGGCACGAATTTGTGAATCTGGTGTCGTAGTAGCTATACACGGCTACGTCTTTCTCTTCTTGACGGGATGTACGCGAGGCGCGGCGTCGCGGCGTCGATGAGCCACGCGCCCGGCGCGGGATAATGAGAGGGTGTCCCTCAGTCGTGAATACATAGGCAGCATCGAGATTGTTGAGAGGATGCTCTGGGTCGAAGAGCAGGTATAAATATTTTGTTGTCTCCCCCAGGAAGAAGCTTTCCATACGGTCCTGTTTCTCGCCCGAGAGGACGTTTTCCAATCCGGCCCAGCCGCAGGCTACCCAACAACGACGCTGAATATCGTGCAGCACCATCTCGCCCACGCGCAGGTACCAAGGGTCGGCCGTGGCGCGGTAGATGTGATAGGTTGACTCGATGAACTCGGGTCTGCCTGGCCACCAGGCAATGCCAGGCTCGACGTTACTCTCCCGGACGGACCAGCGCTCCGGGATGGCACCGTATCGCGTCCACAGCGCCGTATAAACGAGGTTCGCCTCGACGGCCTCGTCCACCTCGCCAGCCAGAGCTAGCAGACCAGGGTAAAACGCGCCGAGACTATCGATCCACATTGTGTAAGGCTGCCCAGTGGCGCGGTGGTTGTTTGAGTAGTATGGAAAATGGTTTCTATCCGTGTAAATATAGCGCTTCACCGACGCATGAGCCTGGTGCCAGGCCTCGAGAAATGCATCTGACGAGTGCATCTCTGGAGGGAGGGGTGGATGCAGCGAGTTGGGGTCGAGCCAGCCTGTTGTACTTTGTCTGTGAGACCGCGTCATGTTTGGCGTTTCCTGCCCGGACAAGAGAATATGGCTCTTCAGGGCATATTCGAAGAAGCTGTCCATGCCGGCGCCAATGCCAGAATGGGGACCTATCCAGACACCACGTTCGGCATCAATGCCGTTGCCAATCAAGCCGATATCACTCCGGCGCTCCCACACTTCCCAGAACGCTCGCTTGGCGGCTTGCTCGAAGCGAGGGTCCCCGGAGAGACGGCTCAGGACGGTAAACTCCAGAGTCAAGCTCCCCGCACCAGCACTGCACGTTTCCGTGATTTCCGCATTGCCGACGACGGGTTCTGTATCCTCGGAATCTTGATGCAGCGGTGAGTTGATATAAAAAGGGATGCCGGAGCGAAGATTGACGCGGGGATAAGGTATCCCGGTCTTGGTGTAAAATGCAGGAAGAAGTCGTTCCGAAAGGTCAAGAGCGAGCCGCAAGAGCTGGCCGTCATATCGAAAGCCTCCATGCCAGCTGATGGGCGCCGTTTCTAAAGGATCTTCGCTCGCCCACTTGCTGTCAGGTTTTGGGTCGTAACCCCGGATGGGCAAATCGCCTACGGCAAAAAGATGTGCGCTCAAAAGACCACCAACACCGCGGATGACCGTTTCGAAGACCTGCACCTTGCTGTCGAGATCAAATCCTCTGGATCTAAGGCCCTGGCCTGACGAGCCTTGTCTCCCGTCGCCATAGTATGAAACGAATTGCGCCACACTGTCCTGAAAATCACTCAACGCCTGGGAGCCCGTATATTTCTCGTTGGCAGGCCCACCGGCAAGTATAGCCAAGGTTGACAGGCTGTCGATGAGGGTCAGCGAGTAGTTGCCGAGCACGTCGTTCAGGCCAATGTCAGCCGGCTTGTTGGGATTTCGAGTCAACGGTTGGCATGATACGGGACGGAGCTGTTGTATAGATAAACAATTAGCATTGGTCCACGGAAAGCAGCCATCCGGTCACTTCTACCTCGTCTTCTGGGAACGCATGCAGCATGTAGTTGTTGTAGCCGTGGTAAAACATGTCGACCGTCTCCTGCCGCAGCTTCGCCAGGTGATCCGACCGCATAGCCGGCGCCGTCCATGGCAGCGCCGACAAAGCAAATAGAGTCGCAAGAAGAAACATGTTCCATATAGTATAGCTCGAGCAAATTCGATACTCGTCGGGATCGGGAGATGTGTGCTGGGGGTGGCCAGCTCAAAGGTCGATATTCCCGCGCTCACAGGCGCTCTAACGGCCTAGGAAAACTCATGCGGGTGCGATTTCATTTGAAGCGTCTGGAAATCGATAAGTAGACGACGTCCTGTATGTCCTTGGGCCACCTGTCGCTGCTGGACGCTGCGCTTGATGTTAGGGGACTTCTGGCAACTTCAACTACGCCACATCGCACGAGACCTGGTGGAGGATATGGTGTGGCTGGTGTAGTAGTGTGGCTCGTTAAATCTGTATTAGGTAATGCTTTCAACACAAAGCTTCTTGACCAGTTCCCTACGGCGAAAACGCGGCATTGTTAATTTTTAGAGCCTCGTATACATTGCTTTTAGACTGATAAAATGACAGCCAATGTATTAGTCCTCTGAGGGCCCATGCGAAGCGCGACGGCATATCACATGCTCTGGTGATGCTGCGTCACATGTGGGTCAGACTGTGACTTACACGCGATTGCTGTGCGAGTCACACCGTGAGGTTGCCTTAATTTACTCTCTTATTGCTACAAGGCAAAATGAACCCATTCATCCTTGATATTGAATGGTGAGACTGGGCGTTTGAAAATGAGGAGGCGTCCATGTACCTACTTGGCCCTGGGAAAGTAGAGGTACATGAGCCAGACTAGCGGTTATTTTGCGAGACATATATACACCCCCCATGCTTTCCTCGACAACTGACAGAGAAAACATCTACTTGAACAGTTCGCGGACCGTGAATATTTGAAGTTAGGCGGCCATGTCAGTTTCAGGCTTGCCACTGGGCCGTTGCGTGGACTGGATTGTGCACCGCCTCGTGGCCGGGTACAAGCCTGACGGGCCAATCGTCGACGGCTCCCTCGTGGTTGGCGGTGAGGCAGGCTTCCCTCATGTCGAAGATCATGACTCTAACAAGAAACATCCAGGCGGTGTCGCTGTCGTGGTCTTAGCTGTGCTGGTGAACGTTGTTGCCTAAGTAGGTTGGAGACCCAGTCGGTCGCAGGATGGGCCGGGCGGAGCCTCCCACATGGATTGCGGACCGCGCAGACCACGCCGGGCGCCGGAGCATGCGGCCTGCTTTTGCGACCGGGCAGATTTGAGCCAAAATTCGAGTACAAACCACAACCAAAGTCAGAATCTTCCCCTTTCTCTACACTTCAGAACATATTTTTTAAATCGAGAACCGTAGTCCACCTTGCAGACAAATGTCCGCCAGACTGCCACTTCTTTGAACGAACCGGCGGCTTGCTGGGCTCATGGAAACTGGCAGGTGGCGCAGACGCAAACTGTGTCGCCATAAGGCGGAAAGACGCGTTGTTGTCGTTCACAAGCAAGACAGAACATAGTATACCATGGTTGAGCTCTGCAAAACTCGATGGAAAATGGGGTCAGACGAATGAACTTCCCATTCAAGGTTCAGCTAACACGCCCTTCTACAACGGGCCTGCACTGACACGCGCGATCCAAGTCAAAGTCCAGCGTGCGGACGTGAAAGACAGGAACACAACACAATTGCTCACTCATTCTCGTTTTTACAAGCTCTACATTTTGTAGCCTTATGAGAACGACTTTGTGACTCTGTCAACTGGGTGATCGTTTTGAATACTTCCGCGCGCGGAAGTAGCGGAACTGACTAAATGACAAGCTCTTCAATGTCTCAGTCGTGTAGATCTGCACATGCCCGTACTTCGTCCAGTAATAATTCACTGGTGGTTTTTCGTTGGAAACTGGGGTTGCCAAATCACGCTTGTGGGCGGTACAGCTGCTGGCAAGGACGCTGCAGCACCATCCTATCACGTTCGACTTGTTCAAGCGTTCCATGGTCATCACTGCTTATTCATTTCTTTGTAAGTCTTTCTTTGAGCGCCCCTGTCGCAGATGCTGGCATCAGTGACAACCAGTCTCTCAATCTCTACAGTCACGCCCTGTCCTTCTTTTCAACGCTAGCCTTTTTCCGAGAAAGAGCGAAAACGACGTGATACACCCCATGGTTCTTTTGTCAGATGGCGCGCCACCAGCTACCTGCCTGGAGGGGGGGGGGGGCAACTGTAGTCCTAGACAAGGGGCGGAACTCTACCCGCCAGACACGTTAGCGCTGCTCCGAGTCCATTAGGGCGTCCGGCGTAGAGATTTGCAGTGAGGGTTCGTTCCCTGCATGTCTCACAACGAGATGGATTATCAAAGATAGCGTTTGAGACAGGCAACGGCGTGCGGTGGGCACCGTACGCTGCTTGTCTCTTTTCTCTGTCGTCTGTCGGCGGTGTCCGCGTAGGCAAGCAAGGGCCGAGAAGCCGATCGCCGAGGGCTAGTTCGACACGAACTCGCGTCCATATAACTGGGCACCAAGTATACTATACATGAACAAGACAAAACGACCAGGCAGGGGGACATTCAAAGTAATGAAAGTAGGAGTTCCCCGATGGCTAGCAAGTTGGTAGCCCCATAAGGCAAGTAGCGAGAGAGCGCGACAGAAAGACCAAAATAGAACCGATGTCGAAGTGGGCGAGAGGGGAAAAAAAATTGCGGACGCTGCCGGCAAGCGCCGCTGATGGCTCGAAGAAGAAGCTGGCGAAATTATGATGAAGGCGCACGAATGGGGGATCAACCAGGTGACGGCGAGTGAATGTGGCTCGTCCCAAATTGGAACCTCCAAACGAAGCAAATAAAGTGAAAATGAAATTCGATAGTATACTGGCATAATCCTCTTTATTACTACCGGCGGCAATACTTTATGATACATTAATAGCGTCCGTGGGGTATTGATGCATCTCAGACCCGCCGCCAACACCAGCAAGCCACAGAGTCGCCTAGGACTACAGTACGCCAGTTCGGCGATGATGGGTCATTTTAGGCGGCTATAATCGAAATTATGCCAAATAGGTTGGGGGAGCAGTAAAAGCTTCGTAATAGAGACAGCTGCTATGGTCTTGACAAGGATTGGATAATAAGCCAGCTCAACCAATCGAGAAGACAAGAGGAAGTGGTCCCATCACGGCAACTAATTACAGATACCAGGAACAGAGCCCGGAGCAGAGCCCGGAAACTGAAACCGAGAGAAGAACTCGATTACAGATTCAAGATGTGAGCTTTGTGTCTTGTATTCCACATGCCATTGATGAGCGAGACATACCAGGTATTACTCTACCAAATTTGCCCATATAAAAACGGACAGCACATATGCGTAACCGGCCGAGCTCTGGAATTTCCGAGTTTTTCGTCTCTCCAGTCAGTAACAACGTTAGAGTTTGAGCAGCGGGCGCGACGAGTCAACGACCCGCTAGGCTGTCCCTGCAGTGCAGTGCCACAAAACCACCTGAATAGAGCCAGCTGAGACGGGGATTCAAAGGTTCGCACTTCACGTTATAGCCCAGTGGTGCCAGAATCCGCCGCTTTTCCGGCTGGGAGCCGTCCACTCCAGACTATCAGGCCACGGATGGCGGCGAGGATCCAGTTCTGGGACCGAGACCGACGGCGGACGTGCTAGCGGCAGTCACCGGCGTGGTGTTGCCGCCGGACACCTGCCAACTTGACAAGCTAACTAGACGGGTTATACGATGAATGCGCTAGTCAAGTTCCAACGGTCGGCAAAAAGACATTGGACTAATATTCGTTCAACTCTGTAATAGTTACCTGACGAAGATTGGGCCCGCTTCAAGCCGTGCGGCAAGGGCAGAGAATATCAACCTGCACCCCCTCCATGTCGGCTGATATACCGGCAGGTCACCAGTACTTGAGGCATTTCCATGCTGTTCTATTGTTCAGGTAGGGCGTGTGGCTTGAACGGCCCTTGGCAGCTGGAAATTGGCGAGCAGCGTTGCACTGGCACTGTTTCGTCTGGCGCGGAGTCGTCCATATCCGAGAATCCAAGAGGCAAGTTCGCGTAGTTCTGCCATACGCCAAACTCTCTTGATTTCAGAAAGAGTGTAGTGGCGCGCAGCAGCGTCTTGCCCGGCAGAGTATACCCAGGACTTGGCTGATCTGGTGGACAAAACCATATATGTATGCATGTTGAGGCAGATTCTGCTTCGAATCGGTGTCAGAAGTACCCCCGTAGAGGCCAGTGGGCCACATATCATTAATATCCTATATTTCAACGGTTGTGGATTGTCCACAAACGCCCGTAGCAATCTTGTTCGCAAAGGTTCGGTTATAATTCAGCCTGAGACCAGTCACTTTTCGGCCGATACTAGCAGTCCATGTCTGTCTGTTCGCATCGGGCTCCCGGAGAGCGGGCGCTCTGGTTTGGGCAAGGTGAGCGTAAGGATCTCAAGGTCTCTAACACGTACCTTTGACAAGGCTTGTTTTGTTGGCTTGGAACTAATACCTGGGGTGGCTTCCCCGAGACATGGAGCCCAAGCCATGAAAAAATGATGCCAACTCGCGCCAGTGACATGTTAGGTGCGACTACCGACACGATTCTGTTCTGTCCTTGCAAAGCCCAAAAAGCAAGCCACATCGGAAAAAACCTTTCAAAGGGCAACCCGATAGGAATAACACAACTAGCCTTCAATAGCCCAGCTGTTGTGATGTGGCTTGCTAGGCCACTTATTTCGCGGACCTAGTTTGGTGGCAATTTACCCAGCAAGCTGCAGCCATAGAAAGTGCTGGTTAAACGAACTGGAGACTAGCAGGTTAACAATGATGGGTTAACAATGATGCTAAATAAATATGCCAAGATGTCGGGCAAATAAGGTGTGCAACTGGTTGAAATCACGTGGTGACCCCCTCCTGCGGTCTCATGATCCACATGGCTGCCAGATCGTGGATGGAAGGTTGTAATGAGGGGCTTGGCCGTTGGAGATATTTTACCGATTCTCCAGGGCGAAGATCTTGCAGCGAATTGCAGCAAATTGGGCTGCAACGTGACATGAAGCAAGCCCACGAGATGAGAGAAACAAACTGATTTGGAATTGTACCTTGTTCGCCATCGTAACGCTGTCTTTGAAATCTTGCAACTACAGTGCAAAGTCGTCCAATTCGACTCGACTGCGAAGAAGCGATGTAACTGGAGGATAGTCTTGTGATCTTTTTCAGAGACATTGACTTTCACCATTTCTTAAAGACAAGGGGCAACGATGCTTGGGTGCTTCGGGGAGACGGTGAACAACGAACAACAAGGTCGTGGGGCGCGTAGAGGGGGTGTGCGAAGACAGAACTCGAGGAAGCTAGGCTTGAATTTGATGGATGCGGGAAACGAGTACAAAATAGGAATGGAGATCGAGCAAGGAAAGCCAACGGTGGTCGGCAAACGGGCGATAGATGGAGATGGAATGGAGACAATGGCCGTGGCTGTCTACGAATAGGTACAGAGTGGATGTGGCCAGCTGTGGCTAGTTAGCTGTGGCTGGGCCGCCTTGGATCAAGTAATCAAGGCAACCTACCTACCTACCCAGGGTAGTGTTGGTGAGATGAAGGCCAACAACCTTTGTGCCGATCCTTGTTTGAGATGACACGACACAGTAATTCGTACAATAAAAGAATACATTTAGGAGAGTCTTGCAATGCCAGACCTTGACTGGTCACAATTTAGGAAGGGGGGGGGGTTAAATAAGAGCCATACTTGGCGCGGGACAGCTTCCGCGCGTCCAACAAGTTCCGTAATAAAATAGGTAGGGCGAATTTAGCGGCTCACTTCCAGCTGCCCTGTGGCTACCTAACAGGTAGGTACCTAGGTAGGTAGGTAGGTCCTCCCTACCTGCTTCGGCTCCTTGATCTCCGAGGCGGTTGCCGCCTGTTGGCCCCTCCAATGCACCAGCCATGCATTGCCCAAGGGTTCCCTGCAATATGTAACGCCATCCCCGTCTTCATCTCCCTCCATCTAGCTCTCCCACCAAGCCGCTGATGCTTCTCCATCGCTGCCCAAGCCTCCAATAGATCCTATTCCCACCCCACCGACCCTTCTCTCGGCCTCCTCTCCCGCAATGCGTGATGATGCATACTTGTCCTATAACGCGCCTTTGTTGACATGAGTTGAATAACGCCAACGATGCCAGGGTTCTTTCTGCGCAAGAATAATTTGTTCCCGCTCAGGCCTGAAACTAGTGTAAACCAGGTACCTAGTTCACACGAAGAAGTAAGGACCAAGGTTCCACATAGCGCACTATCAACTCTGCTTCTGCGGAAATATACGGACGTAGATGCCGGGGGGTTGCCTAGGTTTTCCTCGTGGATTTCGACCACCCTCGGTTAGCCAAGTACACTTTTTGTCCTTCAGTGCTTATCGGTGTGACGACAAAGCTTTGTTGGGCGCCTCTAGAGAATGCTCTGCTGGGCCATTCGCACAACGAACGACGCCAAGAGCAAGACTAGCGTATACACTTCCAGCTGGATCACACTCGGTGAAGTTGATGCGATGCTGTGTCGATTCTGGTGACGTCTTGCTCGGCTGAATCTACTACTTGGCGCAGGCTTACTATAGATGGCAGCGGCATTGTGAAACTTGAGTGAGAAAATGAGGGCGGGGATGGGATATGGCGCTGTCGATACGGCCGTGTGCCCGCCCCTCTGTAAAGTAACGGCGAGCATTCTTGTGCCCAGTTTTGGGCGGGATCGAGGCCCCCATTCGCCCCCATGATGGGCTATAATAAGCGCCCGGTGTTCAAGGCCGGCCCACAGATGACGCCACTTGACGCTATGAGCACTGATGGAGAGATGAAGAAGAGCATGCATTTGCGTCTAGTGACGTACCAGTAGGCCCATGACGTCTTCAAAATGATAGACGAGTGTTTTGCACAGTTGCACAAGGGCTATAGCACCGCGGACCGTTTAGTCGACAAGGCTGAGCCCCGTCTGAAAAGCCAAACAGTTCAAGACAAGTCGAGAAAAGCAAACAAGCAGCATGTGGCTCGAGTAAGAAGATGATCTGGACACAATGACCCTAGCAAGCGCGTTATCTTGCGGGGGGGGGTCTTGGTGGGGGTGCCATGGAAGACTGTGCAACCAGCATGCAGTATGTCGTACTGCGAAAGTTTTGGGGGAAGAAAAATGGGTTGGGTGTGTGTCTAAGAGAAGAGAAAGTCAGGAAGGATGGGACACAGAGTTGGTGTGGTGCTTGTGCTGCGGGAAAAATCGAAAAAAGCAGGTGAGTTTGAGGATGACACATGGACTCCCGGAGATTCTGCCTCGCTCTTTTCCATTCGGGGGGCAGTTCTGGTCTCGGACATGCAGGTGTGCGCTTGCGCCATGCTCAGCAACCAAAAAAAAGTTGGAGCGATATCTGGATAGGGTTGTCTTGGCCGGCTGGGACGAGTTTGCAGGTTCGAAAGAGAGAGCCGCGTTGCAGTGGCATTGCGAACACGAGTTCCCGTTGTGTTTCCCGTTTCGCCCAGGCAGTGGCAGAGAGGGCGTGGCCACCATCATCCATGGCGCCAGTTCAGCCTTGTTTGGTGAGGGAGCAGAGGAGGGGGGGGAGGGCGCCGCGCCTGGTAAACAAGGTAGACAAGAGATCAAGAGACCAAGAGACAGTACAAACAGCACAAGCAGCTGCCGCCACAAATAGCAGACTGCAGAACTGCACCAGACTAGTCCCAATATGGTCCGACGTAGCGCTGCCGACGAGCAGGGGCACAACCGGATCCGCCGCCAGCGCGATAGACTCGGACATCCTTGCAGCTTTGTCGTTTTTTTCTTTTGCCTCTTCAAGAGGGACAGGGGGGGAAATGCTGTGTACCATCGGCCCCCAAGGACATAGATGGGCTCCCAGCTTAGTATCCGGTCGCCGTCCCCCCCCCCCGTCCGACGTTTCGCGATCTTCTCGAGGGGCAGTAGCGCCTATGTAGCGCTTCACCGAGGCTGTCGTATGAAGCCATGTCAAGGAATCGAGCTCTCTTCAAAATTGAAGCAGTCAAAAAGGAGGGTGGGGGGGGGGGACACCGAACTACCTGCACTCGTATTCACGCGCCGGAATCCCCCCCTCCCCCGTTGACCACATTGTCTTTGCTCCGCCGCCTTGCTGCGCTGGCACCGCTCCCTCTCATTTACCAGATAGTCGGTACCCTATCGCATTGCGGCGTCAGAGTCATCGAACCGCCGAGCCACCATGCTTCTGCACCAGTATGCACAGTACGGCTGCTGCCTGCGCAAACGGGCCATTCGCGGTGGGTGTGCCGAGTAGTTGTGTGGGTAGAACGATGGGTGGTTCGGTCGCGCATGTGGACAGCCATTTGATCCTGCCTTTCCCTGTTCGCTTACTGCTTTGGCTTTGGCTTTGGCTTTGGCTTTGGCTTTGGCTTTGGCTTTGGCTTTGGCTTTGTCGTTTTCCTGCCCCCAGTCTCTCATCGGCGCCGGCGCCAGGTTCCTGCCCGGCGCGAACGGGCTAAGTGATTTTTTTGCTTCTTTTCTTCAACAGCGGGCGCATCAACCGCCCCATACTGCGTCAGGGGAGGGGGGGGGGGTTAAATACCAACGGAGATGCGTGTGCGTGGGTGTGTGGAGAATCGTGGCGCGAAGCTCAACTATCAAAGAACTCGTTCAGGAATAATTCTTTTTTATTGGCTTTTATTTTATTTCAGGAAGAAAAAAACCCCCATTTCTCCTTTCAAGAAAAGATGAGAGAAAAAGGCAGACGCCCAGAAGCACGCCTTCCCGCCTGCCCGTCTCCCCTCTACTTTCTACCTAGTCCCTAGATACCCAGTCAGTCCCTAGGTAGGTAGATACCCAGTCCCTACCCAAATAGACATGTACATACACGGCCATGACAGGCATTGGGGTGGGCACCAAAAAGAAAAAACGCCCAGGGGTCAAGCCTGGCGAATAAGCCCGCCCCATCCCAACACCCTCGATTCTGCCCCCGACTTGGGGGCTCTTGTGCTCTATGCTAGATGCCCTAGCTCAGCTCTGTTCAAGGAAAAATGTCACGAGTCGTCATCACCATTTTAGAAAAGAATATCAACTTCAACACAAAATTGGAGGCTAACGAGTGACGGTACTACAGTCATAATAGCAAACACAAACAAGGTCCAAGAAGCAAAACAGAATGCAAAACAACCTCCCATTTGAAGCCCATCCCAACTTCCGAGACGCCGGTACCGAGCATAACATCGACAACACACACCCTTCATTGACGACCCCGCTCGCCAGTCTCATGAACAGATCAACCCGCGTAGAAACGGGTACAAGTTTTCAAAGCCACCCAAACGTCTTTGCTGGGGATAAAAATACCCCCTACAGAGGGAAAAAGAAAGTAGGGTCTCTTCGTGGGAAGATGAAGCAGTCTAGTCAGTCAGTCCAGGTGGTAAGTGAAACGCATTTGGTTGGAATCACGTGGTGATCCCCTCCTGTTACCACCTGGACTGACTAACTAGACTGCTTCATCTTCCCAACGAAGAGAACCCCCTGGCCTCTTGCAACTGGCCAGGGATTGAAAACCGCGTCGAGGCAAAGTCCCCATCGCCCAACTCAGTCCTTCTCCAGTTTGATCTTCTTCAATACCCGGCTTGGCTTTGCGCTGCTGCGCTTGCGTCGCTGCCCCGAGCCTCTGCGTTCCGCGCCGTCCAGTTGATGCTCCACCACTTGATCAAGAACCTCATCGACGTCCACTGGTCGGCCAAACAAAGAAGGGCCGCTGTAGGAGGTGTTGAGCTCTTCCGTGTTTCGGCCTCCCGTCTTCTTCTTTCCCCACCATAGTCGGAAGCGGCGCCGGAGCTCCATCTCGTGCATATGCCCACTGTAAACCTCATCTTCCAGCCTCATATCTGCAACTACCTTGACTTCGATATCGCTTGGATTCAGCAGCATGTTGCGCGAGCCTCCAAGTCTGTGAAATTCGTCAAGCAATGTCTTGTACCGATTGCGCTCCATGTTCTGCCACGCCTGCAAAAGAATCTCCTCCTACATCCTTCAAGTTAGCACTCTGGATAAGCTATCTTTGTAGAAGCCAGCTCTGTACTTACATCCTTGACGTACCACTCAATGTACTTGGATCGACCCCGAGTGAGCTTCATCTGAAGCGTCTCCTTGCATTGCTCCTTGTCGAACTCTCTAAAGTAGTCCTCTTGTATGCTGTCCCACATATCCTGCCCTTTCTTGTCTCGGTGCTGCCAGCGTGACAGGAAGATGCAGCGCTCCTCTTTGGGGCAGTTTTCCTTGAGTCGAGGTGCAATCATGTCACCAAAGCAGTTTTGATACTCTCCAACATCGATTGATGCGATCCGAGAGGCGCTAGACCGCTTGGGAGCCGCACGCTTCCTCGGCTTCCTCCCGCTGCTATCACGACGCGGGCTGGAATCAGCTTCGTAGTGTGAATCCTGGTCGGAATCTCCGTCCTCCTTACTGGCCTCAGGGGTAGTGCAAGTTGAGCGCTTCCTCGAGGCTCTTTTGGATGGTGCGGCCTCTGACTTAGACTCTTCGCCTGGTGTGCTCACTTCAGAGAACGTTTCCAGCGTTTTTGGGCTATCCTCTGAGTTCATAGTGCTACTATGCATCATGGGAGGGCCATTGCTGCCAAGATGAGGAACGGGCGCAAAGTAGGGAACGGATTGGTTGAGAAGCGACGGGCTCTGCGAGTCAGCCAGAGGGTAGCTGCTAAGGTACGAATCCGGGTCCGGTGTGCAGCGCTCTTGCATGTAAAATTCTTGAGGGATCGCGACGTCTTCGTTTGGGCCGGGGCCATGGTCCAGACCAAAATTAGCATTCCAATGCTGCGGGTAGAACATCTTTGCACTGGTGGGAGGGCTAGGTAGATGGGCGAGCGAGCTCTCAGTGTACAAGGCGTATTGCTTCGCCACGTGCGGCATTGGTGGCGAGGCTATAGACGAGGCCGGGGGGCTGAATGGCAAGCTGCAGTCGGCGCTCATATGGTAGGAAGATGACTGTGCAGAGAATCGATCGTGTTAGCAAGAGCCGAGCGCTCAATGCCACCCCAATCAGGGCAATCCCGTGTCTTGGTAGAAGCACTTACAGCAGTGAAGGGCATGAGCTCAGGGAAGTCGGAGGATGGCGGAGAAGCTATCGTGGTTGAGGCATCGGAAATATCCATGGGATCGGAGAGGCCGCTGGTGGATTGAAGCTGGTCCATATAGGTCGCCTCAAGCATGATTGCGGCGGGAATACCGAGATGGTGGTTGACGTCGCGGCAGCTGAGGCGCACTTGAGTAGTAGTGCAACTGGTTGAGGTTGCACTAATTTTGACAGGTCGAATGTTTGTAAGTGAGAGGTGAGGGTACTGTGTGAGTTGAAAAAGATCGGAGGGGATTCCGGCGGCGGATATCGACTTGATTTATCTAGGCGAGTGGTATAGAGCAGACGATGCAAGTAGCAGGCGAAGGAGCTGAGCAAAGTTGGTAATGTGGGAGAGAAGCAAGTCAGCCTATCTATGGAGGTCGTGGCCGCCAGTATAGGTCTGAGCAGACCCAGTGGAGTATGGGCAAGGGAGAAGAGAGAGGCAGAGAGAGAGGAGTGATTGAAAGAAAAGGTTCACGCGGGACAGAAAAAGAGAGGCCCGGCGGCGGTCTTTTGTATGTATAAGCCGCGACAATCTGCCTATTAGTATCGAGGCAAGAATGGGGGCGCGGTCCTTGGCTACAGACGGCTTGCAGCACCCTTGCGCGTAGAGACAAGGATCTCCAAGTACTCAGGAAAGTCCAAGGTACATACCCTCGGGTCGGGGGGAGTGGTCAACGACAAGAGGCGTGTGCGAGAGAGAGGAGGGGGGTGGGAGTGGGAGCGACTTCAGGTGACCGGGGGGAGGGGGTACTGGTAGTGCGACTCGCCGCTGGTCTTGCATCAAGTTAAGCAGTGAGCTGCAAGCTTCCATCCATTGATGGAGCACCAAAGCATAGCCATGCTGCCGTGCGGGCGATGTGTTTGTTAGCGCAGAGACGACGAGGGGGGTACTGGGTACTGGCGACTGGGCAGGAGGGGCGTGAGGAGCGGCGGCGAGCAGCGGCGCGGAGCAGAGCGACGAGGAGCAGCTAAGAGAAGAAGGCTGACTGTCGTGCATGAGCATCAGCGAGCAGAGATGCTGCAATAGCCGCTGAGCAAGGGACCGTACCCACCTCCAACGAGACAACCCCAAGGCTGTCCAGGCTAGCGACTTGGCCGGCTAACACTCAAGACTCACACCCGTGCCAACTCCAGCAACGGCGACGACAGACAGGGGCCATGGTGGTGGTGTCGTGTTAGCACAAGTCTCTGTCCGGCCAGCACCCAGGTCAGTACGGAGTACTTGGCAGTATTATTATTAGCTGCTGTCTTTCAGGCTGGTAGAGTAGCATTTCAGTGGAGTACCTAGTTACCTGCGTCCCTCGTCTTTTCTTCTCTCTCAATTTTTTGGGGGGTTCTTTGGCGGAAGAAGTCGCTGGCGCGCAATAGGTATCAAACGCGACCTGCTCCAGAGACCAGACGAGGCCGAGGGCGGAACGGACTGGTGTGTTCTTTCCAGACGACCGAAAGAACTGAAGGAAACTATTCGGACTCAGTGTGCTCCGAAATCGGGAATCGACAAGGTCAATACGTTGGAAAGTAGGCTTGCACGCCGGGTCGGCAGTTGCAAGAACGAGCACCCATCTCCCTGCTCCCGTCGAAAAGCAACGATATGCCAGGGCCTCGTACCGAAGTTTTTGCCGTGCACGGCTTCCTCTTTTTCGTCACCGTACGGTAGTTACAGCTTGTAGAGTGACAATTGTCTTGCTTCTGTCTCGTCATCGAGCGGCTAGTGAGTTGGCAGCGGCCGACAAGCGCATCTCGCCGGCGCTACGAGGCTGGTTATTACTGGCTTCAGGCACTTGCGCCCCTGCGCGGTCTCTCAACGACCCAACTGGTAATGGAAGGTGGGTAAGTGGGAGCGCCGGTTTTCTCAGACTGCCTTTGTAGGAAAGAATGGACAAGTCCCCGTCGTGTGCCATTCCCATCAGGTCGAGTCTGCACAGGTCGGTTCTTCTCGTGCTTCTCTTGTCCGTTCCGCCCAAACCAGTCTGGGGTCCCCTCGGGCATAGGGACTTCCGCCCACTCTTGCAGGCCGGGGGCTACCTTCCGGGAAGACGGACTTGGCGACCGCGTTGCTTCTTGCTCGCAAATTTACCTTGGGGAAAGAGACTGGACTGAGTAGAAGGAGCTGGTGCTGGCGGACAGTTGCATTCGTCTTTGCTTGTCGATCATTGCGGGAGTGGTCTTCAAGGAACAGAAGTTGCAGGTGGGCCGAGGCATACGCTGCGACAAATTGAAGTATGTCGCTGAGTGCAGTGTTTTGGGGGGGGGGGGCGTTTCCATACATCAAGTGGCAGATGTTAATTAAGAATCTGTGCCATTGCTTGGGCCAGTGGTGTTCAGGTCCAGGTACCAGTACGGAGTAATCTGTACAGAGGTTGCTGTGGCAGGTTTGGTGGCGCAGACATGGTAAGGCTTCGTCGACGTTGCATGCATGAAACGAGAACGCACATAATTCTCAAGGTATGGCCTGATCCTTGAGATGAATCAGATAGGAACTAGAATTCTGCGTCATATAACGTACTGGGAAGACAAAAGGCTCGCCGCCTCGTCGTTTGGCGCACAAACGCACCGCAAGCGGGCCTGGCGAGAGAGGGCTTGTGGATGAGGGCTGGCCCCCGCGCAGCAAAGCGTGGTCCGCGTGGGTTTGGATCGAAAGGACGGTCTAGATGGCTAGATGGTGGGCGATGGGCGATGGCGGTGGGCGATGGTCGATGAAGGTTCCGTGGTGGCCGACGAGGCGTTTGTGTTAGTTTGTTTGGATTCCCTGTCTTTGCCCGTCAACTGTCAACTTCGTGTGGGTTAGTACCGTTAGTACCTCCGCTGGCGCAGGAACCAGACCCCCTTTACATCTGTCCTCCTGTAAGGGTTGTACCTAGCACAAGGCAACTTTCAGGCACTAAACCCACGGTTATAGCGAGCCCACTCCGTTGCCTGCTGGGGCAGTTCCACTGTGGAATGATGGAATGATATCCTCAGCACCCGCTGCACCCACTATCTCAGGCGCTGCAAGTACACATAACTGGGGTGCCCATCGCCTGAGTAGTACCAACCTACCTCCTGGCAGTGAGCTGCACAACAGGTAACAACATTCAATTAAACCAACGTCGTTTACACTCCGGTACGAGCATACTGTCTTCCTACCTAGATACCTAGGCTCCTAGGGTACGGTGGAGTTGGATCCTTCTCCAGGGCCACAAATGCCATATTTCTCTATCAGAATATTCCCTGCCCGTCTCCATTAACGGAGCATATTGGTTTCCGTTCGTAAGGACTCAATTTTGTGCTTTGCCGAGCATCGTCTAGCCATGGCGCGGCGGCTTCGGTGCGTTAACCGCCCTTGTTGTATCTCGGCACAACGCTCTTGCCAGCTCTTAGTGCTGACCGTCTCGTCAATCTGCCCTTGGCTGCAACGTAAGAAACGAGGTCACTATGCGCGCTTTTCTGCATCTGTGCTAGTTAGCCGCCGTGCCCAGCTTCTCCGTCACTTCGCGTCGTTGTTGCATTGCTGCGCGGTCTAGGCGACGCTGACGACCCTGTTCTCTCACCACCCCCTCCCGTTCTCCGGGATCGTCCAATCGCGGGCATACTGTTTCCAATTCATCATGCGGCATCATAAATTAGCCGTGGGTGACATTCCACCGCCGGTACGTAACGTGTCGTGTCACCTGGCCGGGCCAGTGCGGCCCAATTAAGGTGTCGGCACCTGGAGCCTCCGGCGCGACTGGCTTCCGCTCTGGTTATCAGTACGGACTTCTGGAACGCCAGTATTATCTGGATGCTGGAACCAAGACCCAGGCCAGTAATGTAGGATTTATTTTCCTTTGTACAGTGGTTTAGTTCCAATACAAGCATCCAGTCGTATCATTTTGGGCGAATGATATTCAAGAACAGACGGATTAGCAGCCTCCTCTGCCCCTTACAAGACTGCGTTCACCAGCAAGGATGCACTGCTATTAAACTCTATCGCCTAAGATCAAAACCTGGAGCCTCGCTGTCTTCAGACCGATTCTGCCCCCATCAGCTTCCATCAGCGGCCACACCAGCCCTAATAAATCGTGACCCCTCACAACTGTTCTGTCATATCTCGTCCAGAGTCAGGCCGTCGGGCTCCATCCGTCTCGACAATGCGAAGTCCGAGATTGCTGGTGTCTTGTGTTTTTGCTGCGTACCGGCCAGCCGCCGCTATAAGACTGAGCCTGCTGGGTGCAGGGCATGGGCTTCACCACATGATTAGAGTAGCAGGGCGTGCGGGCCGCCTTCCTCTGCTGTTCTGTAGACGACAATTCAAAGGTTAGCCATATGTGAGCCAGCTATGCCATCTCCGTGTGACACAACGATGGTCTCGATGGTATTGCAGTTCTACAATTGAGGGCGTGTACGTGTCCACAAACAGGAACCAGGCAACGAACAAGACGAAACTATCGCCGATAATCTGTACTTTATCTGTCAACCGAACCGTCGCCGCTTTTACTTGTAATAGCTGAGGGGATGATTGGCGGTGCTGCTAATCAAAAAAGCTTTTTTGGCCTTGGCACGCTTCTGACAGGGACGGTGGCTCTTTTCTCTCAGCATGGGTGACGAAGCCGAGGCTGCATCCAACGCATCGATGGCATTACAACAACCAAGGTGTAGAATTGAAACGCTTGTGGTCTACCTAGTAGGTGATTGACTCCCCGCGCAAAGGCTACCAGCTGCCAAGACTACTGTTGGACGTGGACGATGAGATAAATCATAAAAGCGCGATGGGGTGGGCGCTTCGAGAGGGCAGGCACACGCAAACATTTTCCCGGCTTCCCGAATTCTCGAGGGGCCCCCCTCCTGGGCGGAAAAGTCGCGGGGGCATCAAGGACGAGCAAAAAAAGGTGAGCAAAGTTTTCCGAGTCTCGAAGTCTCCCCGCTGCAAGGAGCAACAAGGAGAACGGAGAGGCGGGGGGCCAAACTGAGCCTGACTGGGGCTAACTCGCGTAGCCGACCAGTCAAACCGGGCCATGCGGCTCCACCGCGCTAATTTAGGTTACCAGATTCCCGGGACGCGCTAGTAGGGGTTAGAGCGGGGCTGAATGTGATACACCCCCCTCGACGCCCCTCCTACTTGACGCGCTCCACCAATGAACTGCATGAGTACACACACTCTGCATTTCCAGTCGCTGTGTCGCTGCTTTCCCCCTCCTTCTCCTCTTCTCTTCTCTTCTCCTCTTCTCCTCTTCTCCTCTCCTCCCAGCCCTGGTCACTGGCCTGTTCGTCTTATTCTTGCCTGTGTAACCCATCTTTCTCCTTCTGCCTTCTCCCTTCTGCCTTTTTTGCCTTCTGCCTTGCCCATGTTCTCCTCCATGAGGCCCCCTCTTGCCCCGTCCCTCTCTCTCTCTCTCTCCTTGTCCTCGGTCCAGCACTCGTGCTTCCAATACCACCCTACTCCAGCCAAGCTGACTCGTCCAAACCCCAATCACGCCAATGAAGAGTCCCGGGGGCACCTTGTCCGCGTACCGCATGTACCTCGTTCGCGCGCGTCAACAGCTCCCACTTCATTCGCTTTGGCCTTGCCATTCTCATCGCATATCCTTTTCATCGTGAGCGATTTATCATTCTCTTGTTCTGCTTTGCTCTCTATCGCGTCTGCATCGTGATGCACTGCCAGCGCAGACGGCGTGCTGTCAGCCGGCGAGGCACAGCGCCAGTGGGCAAACAGGCCGCATGACCAGTGACCGACCGACCCGTCAGGGACAAACCATCCGTCGATTCCCGGCATCTCTCATGGTCTGTTGCATGGAATTTCCGTTTCTGCAGTCATCCTGTTGAGTGTAGATCGCCGCCGCTTGCTTTCCCACGATGGCTTGCTGCAATCCGGAGCCCCTCCCGCTCCCGGCCCCCTACCATGACGCCTTCGATCAGCGCCACAGACACCTCTCTTCCAAGCATCAGCCTGTTGCTCTGGAGATCCGAACATTTGCCTACATATTCTCTATTTTCTACCCATTTTATTCTACCTATAGTGCCGAGTATAGATGGCCCTATCTATCACTCGCTCCAGTCCAAGAACAAGTCGCCTTGGCCCCTGTAGGCACACTTGACTACAACTGGTCCCTAGAACAGACATCGTAAATACTACTCCTCGGATTTCCTCAGTCAGCCGACTTGCTTGAACTTGATTGGAGTCATTTGACGTTGGTCCTGCCAA